ATTTAGAGTATATGTATATTATAATATTATATTATAGAGCATGAAAGGTTTTTTAAGGTAAATAATTTTCCTTTTTTTTTTTAAAAAAAAAGGAAAAAACTTTTAAGAAATTTTTTCCCCTTTAAAAGTACCTAAATAACTAATTATATTATAATGACTATACTAGTAGATTACTCTTATTAAATTTTTATTGAAATTAGCATAGTTTCGTGGTAAGTTAAAGTTATCCAAAGTAAAAAAAATGATAACGATGTTATTAGCAGTAAATATACGTATTTGTTATATACAGCTTCATTCTCAATGAGAAAAGGTCCCGGAGTTAGAAAAATATGTGTGGGAGTTAATATGTCAATAATTTTTTTTTCTTTCAGCTGTATATCTTATTAGGTAGCGGGATAAACATGCTACATCAGCAAGAAGTTTGCAGTTTTAGACGATGTCGCTTACATAATAGTACCGTGACCGGTATTTTACCGGAAATATACTAACCGCTTGTAATTAGAGAGAGCAAATATAAATCTTATATGTAGAAGATATTTGCTAGTATTAATATACGTTCTGTATATTTTGTAGTTAATACAGTCATGGTTGAGAAAATCTTTAAGACTTATAGCTGTTGTTTTCTTTTAGTATACCTTATACAAGCCTTTTTTAATTATTAAGTTACAGGAGTATAAAGTTATTATAGAAACACTGCAATTAAAGCACGTATGTAGAGGTAGTTAAAAAAGTTACCTGAAACAATAAATCAAACAGTATTTTTGCTACCTTTTCGACTCTATAAATAGTTAGCTCTCCCTTTTAGACGAAGAAGAGGAAGAAGAGAGATAAAGATAAAAAATTTTTGTTAAATTTAGTAAAATAATAATGAGGCTGATAGCGACGTTAATGATAATGGTATTCCGGTTAAAATTAACAAAAAACAGTTTTTAATAAGATATGCATGGAGTTCTATATATTAATTGTTAGTTTACTCTATTTATTAGTTGGTAACAATCTAGGGCACCGAATTTAACTTTTTTTTAAATTATTAATGAGAATTTTATTACAATAAAAAAAAACTTAGTTTAAAAAAAGTATATATAAAAAAAGAAGACGTAAAAGTCTATTTATACGAAAGGGTATTGACTTAAACAAACGCTGCGATATAATAATTGAAGATGTAGCTTTTACTGTCAAATGAATTCCGAAAGGTTCAAAGAACACTATTAACTTTCCATTGACACAGTAAAACATAAAAACTATACAAAATAGCCTATCTAATTCTCTGTCTTCCTTTTATATAAAAATAGTATTGCATTACTTTGCCTATTTACTTAATTAAAATTAGAAGTGTTTTATAAAGCTCTATTTAATGTATATATATTTAATCTGAACTATAAACATGACTTTTTTTAAGACATTCCGTTTATGCTATGAATTAACTGTGTGTATTATTAATTCATATATATTAATAAGAATAGAATAAATGTATACGGCATGTGTATATAACATATAATATAATTTACAAACGAATGAAATATTCATCTTGGCATAAACAACAAAAGTACATAAAAATATACACACACATATACAGTATATATATATATATATATATATATATATATATATATATATACATATATAGAAGTATAAGAATACTAGATGTGCATAAATATATCACCCTGTATATAAGATACTTTTATTTATACGTGTTCATATTCTTATGTTACCGCTAACTTTAAAGTTGCTAAGAAACATATGAATAACCCTTCTAATTGGAAATTAGAATAAATTTATCAAAGAACTTAGAAGAAACTCAATTACATCTTATTTTTATTATTCTATGCTAATTGAAAAGATATTAATAGAAAAGATCAAAAATATTTTGCCTGATAAATCATCAGTAACGATATTTGTATAAAGCTATAGATATACTGCATTGTTACTGGACGGTTCTTTTTATACTAAAGCTGTTGTATACACTCGTCATATGCATATATTTATCCTTTACGTCCTTATCACACGTATCTTTTGTAGTACAAAAGATTAAAAATGACTCTGTCATTATTTTGTTTGATTACCCAGAAAACACCTATCAGAAGAGAATAGAATACTTCCAACAGCAGAGTTCTTATACAAAAATGCCCTAGGGAAAAGTTTTAAGTTTATAACAGTAGTACAATTTTTTAACGATAAAAACTACAACTTTTCCAAGTAAGAGCTCATAACCCTAATATATGAAAATAATTGCCATAGTAAAAAACTCGGTTAAACATTTAATGAAATAAGAAACGTATTACTTTTCTTAGAGATAGCTTACACTGAACAATATATAATTTACAATAGATGATTTATCATTCATTTGGAAATAGTAGCTTAATTCAAGATATTTCATATAGACAGGATGCAGGGGCGAATATTGCGTTTGATTTTAACATTTTATGATTCCTCCATTAGATATACGAACAAAGGCTTAATGGTACGAAGTTGAGTAAGTTAAGGTGGACTTAAAGGATTAAGATGAATAAGTAAGAGATTAAGCAGCTCATTGCATTGTAGTGTATTGAATACTAACTTTTTCAAAGTACTGGAAAAATGATTTTTGCTCCCGCTGTCCCTGGAAAGTCGGCTCAATCGAAGAATTAACTCTTTCAGGTTTGGGGATGTAAGAAAACTCTAGAAAATTAGTCTTTAGTCTGAACTAAAAGTGGACAGGCCGAAATACGAAAGAATTAAATAGCTATAAAAGGGTGTTCTTCGGCACGAATATCATTCGCGAATAGCTTGAAGAGAGATAAATAAAACAAAATTGACACCAAAGAAATAATTAAATTGTACCACAGTTTACCTGATGGAATTAGAATGTTGTGGGAGAAAATGAGGTCCGAGTAGCTAATAATTTTCATGTGGAACATTAAATGTAGTTAATTGAATTGTACTTCCTAATACTTAATTTCTAATTATTTTCATACTTTTAATTAAAAAACCAATATAGAATGTTTTTATTTAAATATATCAAACTGATCTATCGCTTTCCTTTTATATTTCCATTCTTCTTGTCTGTCTTCTCTCCTAATACCCGCTAAACACCCACCTATATCGACAAGAGAAAAAAGCCCAAAAAGTCTCAACTACCTATATTTAGCTAAGAGAATTAAGTTTAACAAGAAATGATTATTGTATTAATATTTGTAAGATATCTGTCTACCTATTAGATAAATTTGTTTTTCCTAGGGTTATGTTTTCTGCATCAATATTAATAAGATTTAATCAGTTTTTACTGAAAAAGAGAAGTATGGTAGTTACATTTTTTACGGTAGTACGAGTCATAAAGTATACATAACTCATTGAATTTTAGCTCAATTTTTATGTTTATAAGCTTTTCTTACATTATTTAATCATCAAGAAATGTATTAGTTCGTAAGTTAAATTAAATTGATATTTTTCAGCTGCAAGGAAGAAGCAAGTTACTTTAACATGAGAGTTATAGTTGAAGAACAATAGATTAGTATTCTGTTTCATATGAATAATAAACTTTAAAGTTTAATATGATCTTTGACGTTTCTAAAGGTGAATCTATAATGACAATACAAAATAGGTTTAATAAATTTCTGGTATTGAATCATATTTGAAAACTACATGCACAAGGATTTGAAGTTGAAGAGTGTCTATCTTATTTACGAACTGGTTAAAAGATCTCCATCTATTTTTTTTAATGGGATAAAGAGTAATAGGTGATATTTGTGTCATCATTTTAGAGCAGAATAGCTGCTGTTCCCTAAGCATCTGTATTCGTTTACCAGCTTTTAAAATTCTTGAGTGAAAAAGAAAAAGAAGGAAAGTAAATAGATGGAACGAGAGAATCAGTACCACTTTTGAGACACGCTTTAAGACGTGTAAGTTGAATCCAAAGCTGCCGGAGTTAAAAGTCACGTGATGATGAGGAGTACTTCAATAGAGTAATAAACTTTTTCGCAGACCGTTGGATTTTCCATTGCGGAACCGAACATGATTTGTTTACATCTATTGCAGATTGCAAATTTTCCTGTAGGCTACTTGCCTTTTTACGTGGTATATTCAAAACTAAACAGTGTGTGATTGGGTGGGAAAGAAATCTTCGAATTAATACAGATGCGACGTCGTGATATTTTAATAACTTCTTACCCATAAACGCTAATTGTAATGAATCACGAATACAGTAAGAAGCCGCCCATTTTCCATCAGTTTTAGTCATGTATAGATAAGATATTTTAAAGCAAACATATATAATACGGCGCTGACAGTATCTGAATAGCAAATAGGCAAATTTGATAAGTTATCTGTCCAGAAAAGATTTTTCCTAGGCAACCAATTCTGTTGGTTTGTATTTATAAGTATGGTACACATCTATAGAAAAGAATATCTAATGATAAAGTTCACTTCTTTTTCGTAGACAGCTACCAATTAGAGTAGTAGGCTGCAGAAATTACAGATTTTTTTTTGTAATACTGTTGTCGTTAGGTCTCTTGTAAATTATCTCGATACTTAATCTACAATAAAGCCGGATAAATACGAGTAAATTTAATTACTCCGTTTACTGTTGCAGAAACACCACCTCCGCGTCTGATTAAAACTAAAACGTCTAACGACGTCATCCGACACCTCAACTATTCATGAAAATTTTCACAAAGTCGGTTTAGTATAACTCAGACGTTTCGTCGGTTGCTTATTAATTAAGCACGACTTCAGGATTATAATTCCATATTTTAATAACATATAGATATAAATACTTTATAAAGTTTATGTACCCTATTTTCGATTCTTAAGTTAGGGACTTTCTTTCTCTCCTTAAAAAACTCCTACTTATTCTTAGATTCCTGTTAAACGAAAGAAGAAAAAAGCAATCAGACGCACGGTATCCTCTGTATCTTTTACGTATTTGCTACACTGATCACAATGAATGCGAAACATAATTATTGGCAATAGTTAAATAAGAATGGTTCTTTGTTAAACATACCTCTTTTATATTCTTTCTTCTTCTACAACAGTTTTCTCTTCAATCGTTTAGTAGCCGGCTGTTTTTTCTCTTTTAACTTTCTTTTTCGTTTTTCGATGCTTTTGACGTGTTCGCCGTCAAAATGAGACAATTCGTAATCTAAGCAATGTTTCTTCTTTCTCTTGCTTGCTTTTAGGCATTCTTTCTTGTCTGGTTTTTCCTTCAACTTCCTCTTTCCATTTTCAATGGTTCTGTCAAATTGAGACAAACTGTAATCAGTGCAATCCGTTTTCTTTTCTTTCATATCTTCTTTCATCCTCTTATTTTGTTCGGTAGAGATGACGCATTTAGCGTTAAGAGAACTCAATCCATTGTCAATTGTTTTTGTTATTTTTTCCTTTTTCAAAGTTTTCTCAGAACTTTCAGAGTCTTCATCCACTTCTGTTAATCTTCTGTGATCATCTGGCAAGTGACAAAAACCACATTGTGAGCAATGCTTTCTACTTTCCTTAACACATTTTTCACAAGCTCCGCAATGAACATATCTGCCACCATCCTAGTTAGATGTGTATTAAATTAGTTATTTGGAAAGGCAATTTAAGTTAGATCAATCATGTTATACTTTGCCTGTACAGGAATTGCATTTAGGGCAGTGTACATTATTCTTCTTAACATATCGTTCACATTGGCGGCAAAATCTGTAACAGTTACAATTATCACGTATATCGTGTAAACGAAAGGTTTCATCCGGGTTTACCTGTAGTCTTGGCATGGTAATCGGATTTTTGCAGGGGAAATATTGGTAAATATTCTAACTGGTGAACCCTTTGCTCCATTTGAGGATCTCTTCAACTTTTTATGATTTTCATATGTAACCTGTATAAAAAATTTAAAGTATAATAGCGACGTAAAGAAGGCCTTATCGTTAGTAAAAATATATGCTTGCCTGATATTCGAGCATAGCTGCACCGGTCAGTGACTTTAAGATTCGTTTTTCCATAAAATATGGCATTACCAACATATAAAGTAACTGTTTTTCATCGTTTTCACTATACCATTTTTGCATGGTTCGTAAAGAATACGCTAGAACATCTACTAAGGCACCGAAAGGGGGATCGATTACGCATAAAGTTTTACCTCCGCTCCTTAGCCAGTCGATAAACTTCTTCTTTACATCTCCTCCTCGGAAAAAGAAAGAATTTAACATATTGAAATAGTAAAAATTCTCTGGAGATATAAATTGCTCCTGTATCGGTTGTTGAAAGTATTTAGAAGATTTCCAATGATTTACCCTTTGTATATATACATATATATACTGTATATACTAATATACATTTATATATCTATATATCTATACTGTATATATATATATATATATTTAAATATTCATATATATATACTAACATATCTTGAATCGATGTCCATAAGTACGACTTGCGAATTATCCATTTGCCGAACGAGACTTTCGTATAACCTAATAAAAATGTAATACTATCATATAGACTAAATAAAAAAAAACGTCTTCTTTTTTTCAACAAACCTCGGCGTTCCAATACACACAACCCGCTCAAATTTCGAGTCTAATATGGTCTTTGTCAAGAATTTTTCACTATCTTCCGAAAAATGGTATTGCTGTAGGTATTTATTGATATATAGATAGGTAATATAAATTGTTACATATTATCGTGCATAGAATTAATAATTACTGACAGCATTTTTTGAATCTCTTTGCAACGGTCGCAAAAGAGATGAGGGTTTGATATCATTTGAACAGATTATTTTTTGCAGGTGCCCTAGATGAGTCTTTTCTTCATCCTTTTTTAACAGAATTTCACAAGTTTCGCAAAAGTTAATAGATGGGGAATTAGTTTCTTTCAGTTCTTTGAATCTATAAATAACAATTGATTAGGAAATGTAGCTTTATTATATTAGTTGAAACTTAATTGATTTAGGAGACATTCTTTGAAGCGACACCGCGTGGATTTAAAATTATAAGAAAGGTACTTAATTATATTCGTACCTGTTAAATCTTCTTACGCTTTCCCTCGCGCCCTTTTCATTTAGCTTAATCCTGGCATCCGCATCTATCTTTTTGTTTTGTCCACCTTGTTGATCAAGCCATCTAAAAAAGTTGCAATCTTTGCGATTTCTACAGGCAGAACAGGCAAAAAATTTTCTATCTTTATTTTTTCCCTCAGTTTGCCTCGAAAGAAGTAAGCACGGTCCTGAATTGGTAATTTACTTTCAGCAATTGAGCGATAATGTAGACTTTTAATAATTAAAACTTTACCGTGAGGACATTGGGGTGTATTTGGATCATCTACTGCTTCGGGATAAACCCTTATATTTTGACGATACATATCTTTTTACACTGACGTAGCAGGTTTCTGTCACGCAACGTTAACTTTACAAAAATTTTCACGCTTACACCATGCATAAGAATTCTCAAAGTGTACACTAGCCCCATCTATTGTTTCTTTGAACATTTCATAAAGGGAATTTTTACTATTAAACCTAAAATTAGTACAAATTCTATAAGATATTATAAAGAGAAGCTTATAGCGTCAGTATTTATAAGAGCCAAAACGGGTTGACATCTTTGTTATTGTATTAAAATAGAATACCCGAGATATAGTAGGATTACAAATGATACGAAGGTTAATGCATAATACATCACAGCGGAGGCGTACACTCTATTAATACCGTGTTAAGTTGTTAGAACAAATTGCTGACAATCTAACTTTTATACTTATTCAGTTTCTTAAAAATTCTAAATTGTAAACCTACAAACCAACGAATCCATACTTAATATTCATTAATATAATTTACCACTTAGGGTAAAAACTTTTGGATCTTCTCTTCCCTATCTAGAATATTTTTAGTACTTTATCTAGAAATTCAATATAAATTATTACATTTACCGAATAATATATAGGACTATATTTTTCTAGGAAGAGGAAAACAGATATATAACATTCTAAGACTGATACTTGTTTTCTATTATCAAACAATTCATCATTCCGACGCTATCACTTATCCCCTATCGCTACGTCTTCAGATTGATTAGTATCGGAGTTCTGCTCAAAGAAACTCTCCTAAACATAGTTTAAGAATTTTTCCTCCTTTTATTAATTTGCTCTTCTACAGTGAAATTTGTGTTATATTAATTATTATAGAAATACCAATTCGATTCTGGGGCGCCATCTAGTGTTTAAAAACATATATTTTTTTTACTAAAAAGAAAAACAATTGAACAACGAATACCTAATCAGTACTCGATTTCTAAGAAATCAACACAACAAGTAAGTTTTATAGGGCATTTTTTAGTTTTTACAAAAAGAAATAGTTTTTTCAGTTGTGTAATTAACCTATAGGAAATGTCTATTTAAAAGTGATGAGCGATAAAACCAGTATGTCACGTTTAAACATCGATTTTAAGGTTAAATAGTGTTAGAAATCTCATAAATAAATATATAATCTGAATATATATGATCAATTTTTAATTTTACATGAAGATGAATGAATTTGAACGAAATATTGATTAATCACCTTTTTCACAGGTGTGCTTTGTATTTTGGATCTCTTATGAAGTAATAATTTACACATAAGCATTCATTTCGGAATAAAGATAGACGATGGCCAGCAAATTGGGTGCTCAAAGTCATGTTATTGCATGTGCTCTCTTCGCCTTATCTATTGTATGTTTTCTCAGTCATATAGTATCGTTTTCCGTTGATTACTGGTACGAATCAGAGCCTGAACTCTCAAGGCCTTTTGTAAGATTGGGCCTACATCGAATCTGTTTTAATAATTTCTACGAATCCCAAGGGGACGAGGGTAATCAACCACCCTATAATGGATGTCACGAATACATATCAAATATTCTTCGAGACATAGAAAGACAGATAATAACTGGTGAGATAAATTGTCAATCTAATTTATAATCTACCATCAAGTTACCTTTAATTTTTAACTATATTATAATTGTCAATCTCTCTCCTTTTTAATTCTGTACAGACTGGTTCTCTAGTGTTCGAACAATGATGATTATCAACGTTCCGCTGCTGGCTTGTGTTATGTTTATTAGTATTCTATTTTTTGTGGTTATAATACTACAAAAATGCAGGAAAACTTTTTCAAAACAATCCAGATTAATACAAATTTTGTTCTTCTTAATTGGTGTGGCTTTTCTAGCTGCAGGTAAGTTGTTTATTATTAATTTTACAGTTAAATAAGAAAGTTAAAAGTAAGAGATAAAGTTTCGCACAATAGTTGTTTTTCTTTTCTTCCTTTTTTTGAACATTTTAATTAATTCTAGAAAATTCAAGATCTAATCAGTTTTCATTTTCTCCTTCAAATGTAGCGTAAATGCTATTTTTGTTGTTCAGTTGAGATATTTTTGTTCATTTATAGCATGCAATTAAATTTAAATCTCAGTTCGATTATCACATACCTGTGTGTCCCCGTATACGCACCGATTGTAAAAGAACCAACTTTATAATAGAATAAATGAAAGTTTCTTTTTACCTAAACGAGCCATTTATACGCTCAAAAGAACCACGTGATTGCTGTAAAATACCTTGATTTGTTCTACTGAAATGGATGCTATTCCTTTGTATTATTTTATTTTAGTATGCTAAGATATTTCTATTCCTATACAGCCCTGATCTCCCTAATCGCTTTGATGACATTCTACGCCAATTGCCAGAATAGAGAATGGCTACCGAACCGACATCAGTACAAAGCAGGACATCGTCTGGGCTACGCCTTTTGGCTACAATGTGCCACTTGCGCTTTACTTTTTATTAGTTTTATTCTGGCCATTATCGGAGGCGTTTTCAAGTCGATAGCCTTGAGCGAAAAACGAAGCGTTCTTTATTCTGAGGACATGGCTTTAAGTGGCCGAAGCATTTAAAACCCCCCTATTATTCTTTTAATTCAATGTTTATTTTAACTATTTATCTTTTTTTTAAGTGAAAAAAACAGCAAAACAAATAATAAACAAAAAATTATTCTATTTGTTAAATATTCTATTTCCTTCCACCTATATTTCTCCTTTTTTTTATTATTTGCTCACTGTTTGTTGCATATTAAATTAGATTAGCTGTTATTTTTATTCTGTATTTTTTTTATAAAAAAAAAAGAAAAAAAAACAACTCATATCATATTAATTCGATTTTAACACGATGTCGTGACTTTTTTCCTTATATAATTTGTATCATCTTATAATCGTAATAAAAAACAATGTAGTCTTTGAAAACAATTTAAAGACATTAATTTGAAACTTTAGTACATGCTTTTCAAACAATGTTGAACAGAGTTTTTTCATGTGTACGTTTACAATACTAATATTATGGTACGTTACCGTTGCTTGTCCCTCTTCCCTGAGGGATTGAAAGATTTCGTGTATAATACTATTAAAATTCCATACGTCTTTATTCCCAATTACAAAACAAGAACATTTTTTCTAGTTTAAGTAACAATTTCATTGACAGTTCAAAAGAATTGAATATAATTTGAACTAAAAACAAATCCTTTAAGATCTCCAATTAAATTATTGCGCTTGGAAAGAAATTAGTAATCTTCTCTGGTATGCCTTTTTCTTTTCTAACTCTTCCTACGCCTTCCTTTTTCATTGTATTTTTAAACCTAATAGGCATTCCTATTATTTATGAGAAAATAAACTTTACTGCACATAGGCCTGGGACTTGTTAATATCCTGATTTCTTCTTAATGGGTGCTTAGAGTGAACTATTTATATTGCTACATATATACATATATGTAAATATACATATATATATATATATATATATATATGTGGTATATATGCATCTTTGTAACGCCACTTATTCTACAACAGTCATACAGAAAAGGAAAGAAAGAAAACCGTATAAATAGACTTTTTTTCTTCTTTCATGAAAAAAAATGAAAGAGTGAGAAGTGATAGTAAGGAGAGAGAAAGATAGAGAGGAGGGGAGGAGGGAAGGGGTGGATGGGAGGTTTTTTCTAAAAAAAGGATATTTGTCTATTCAATGTATTTTTTCTTAAAGAAAAGGGTGCAGATGTGAGGTCAGATGTGCTTACAATACACAACAATTTCTTCAACCGTACCGAATCCAATTAGCAATGGTATCTACTTTGAAAAGGAGCTTTTTTAATTTTTTTATTTAGTGTTAAATTTCTTGCACGACTATATTTTTCTATATTTTGATGTTGATAGTTTTTATTAAGCTTCAAGCAATACTCATGATCTATCGTTAAAGGTTTAGACCATTTTGACTGTCCTATTGTGAGAGTTTCTTCTAAAGATCTACCTCTTTTACAATAATTAGTTATTTTAAATGAGATATCTTTATAAAATTTAAGTTCTTCAAAGACGTTCTTCTCTTTCGAGACCTTTCTCCAAAAGGTTTTATTAAAGGCGTTATAGAGCATGTAATCCGCTTTGCTCCATTCTTTGTGAATTTTCTCATCACTTTCCCGGTTATGGGATATCGATAGTTTCCGCTTGTTTACGTGGTGTTTGATGTAGATTAAGTCTAGAAAAGACCATCTCAAATATCTTTTCAGTAAAACCATTGACAAGTTGAAATATTCGACAATAATAACGAAATTCAATTTTTTTTGGAGGTGAGCAATGTATTTAAGTATTTCTTTATCATTATTTTGTATGTTCTTGGAAGTGTAAAAGCCCAATGGCATACCCAGATCATAGGACATTCCATTTCTGTACTGAAGTGGAAATAATTTAGACTATTTTTTTTTAAATAGCCTTATAAAGGCCTATGAATGTCGTTTATGATGTCATCTCAGTGGGCTCTAAGAATCGTAACCACAGGAAGACAGAATAATCGGATCACTAAAATTATAACGGAATGAATAAGCGTTCAATCATGGATAAACAAATGTTAGCGGGACCCCTTGATGGAATTAGCTTCGTAAATTATAATAATAAAATAATCGCATATTTTGTCCTTTAAATTACCGTGCCCGTATTTGACTTATTTACCTACACCTTTGACTTGAATAATTTATTCTAGCTAGGAGGTAGAAATAGGTCGGGGTTCCAAAGAGTTATGGATCGGACGTGTCACTACTTTTATGCGATTCGTGGTGGGTGGTGAACTAATTCTTGACCCTTATTGGACTTCGTTCGGAAGGCTGTTTAAGGGAATCGGAGGAGGTTCAAGAGTAATAAAAAAACAGTTTTATTACAAATAAAAAACGTGTTAAGTTAATGAATAATTTAGCAAGTAATTGAAACAGTAACTTTGTTACTAACCGCTTTGTTATACGATTCGTTAAGCATATGCTTGTTTCTTAGGTCGTAGGTTAAAATTTTTGTTTGATGTGGGTCATAAAGGGCTAAAGTTTTTAAGGGTCAAGCGAATCGTATGGGTCAATGACTAGTGTGTATTGGGTCAGATGAGTTAAACTGACCCATTTTTGGCCACATGGTGTTTTTTTGGATAAGATCAATTATTGATAATTAAATTTATACCCACATTAAATCCGTCGTCTAAACATGCATAGCGATTTCGTCGAACATACGGAATAGGTGACATGAAAAGATTGCTGTAATAGTGTAACTGATTCATATAAACTGATACTGCATTGGACCAATGCAGACCAACTGTCTTATAAAATTTTTCGTGGTTAAACATAGATACGAATTGATCAAATGGTTTTCGAATGCTGGCGATATAAACTGTATCATTAGGCATTAGTGATTCAAGTTCTTCTGAATTATAAACCATATGTTCACTAATTACATTTGACTTCTTTTTCATAGGCCTAACGAATTCTTGTCTAAACAAATGAGGCCATCCCAGAGTAAATTTTGATGGATAAGGAATTCCACAACTTAAGTTGTGCTCGATGCAAAATCTTCTAAAAATATTGGCTAAAGTGAGACTGGCACACTTATGAACTCGTATATAGACTACATTAACAATAGGATCGTTTTTATAAGTGTCACTTTTTTGGAGTAGCCTCTTTTCCTTTACAATCTTATCTCTTTTCTTTTGAGGTCGACTTTTAACTATCCACCTATCAGCCTGTTCTCTTTTTTCTACTTTTTTCTTTAATATGAAATGTTCATATTTAGTATTTCTATTTCGTAAAGCTCTTCTAAGTTGAAATCTGCCAAAAAATCTGCGGTCATGGAAATTATGCCATCTGCCAACGTAATCAAATTCGGGTCTAAACGGTACAAAAGTGCTTTCCTCCACGAGATCCATAAGTTGTACGGTAGATTTGACATTTGACAGAGTTGAGACCATCTCTCTATAATTTGTATTATCTTGTAGATTTCCCATAGGGGACACGGTTGTTTTCCTTCTCACTATCTTTACTTCGAAGTTTATCGACCAATCTTTGAAAAAAGAGAAAGCCGTCTGATAAATAATCTGAGCAAAACAACAGAAAACAAAAAGAATAACAATATTAGACAATTTGGCAAGACGAGGCATATTTTAATTATTCACTAGAATTCTCCATGCTTAATAGAGATGCTGCATGCGCATTTATACTTTATTTAAAGGTCATCCTAAGCCTACAATACTAGCTAATTATAGTTGAGTCTACGCCATCTAACGGTTTCATAAGTAATAAAGATAAGTTGCATAGAAATTTGACAAAGAGAATATGCATCTGTTTATGAAAAGGTTATTATAACCCTAGCTGCATTCATACAATCAACATTAACGGGTATTATTCAAAAATAAATCGACTTGAATAGCTTTATAAAAAAAATACTACAGCGACCAATAAGAAATTTTGACTGAGGTCCTTAATATTCCGACGAATAAGCGTCGAGCTAACAAATAATCGAAAGCCCGGCGCCATTTTACGATCAAATGAACTCAGCTGAACTCAGTTTTGAAGGAAATTAGCCGAAATATGCCCAAATACCGCAGGTATGTGTACTCATTTTATACTTTGCTTACTGATCAATCATAACATAAGCGTTAAAAGTGCGCGATCGTCTTAGTAGCAAGTTTATTCGTGATAATCGCTCTTGTTGTGACGGTCGATCGGAACATATGTGAGTTCTCTTTAAAAGTTTAAATAGATCGGAATAACTTTTGGACAGTTGCGTTAGACATCGTAAACATTATCCAGGTATGGCATAAATATCGTTGAAAACGGTAGTATCGAGTGACTAGTTCAATACTAGTCATTAAACTAACAATGAATCTGTTTGGCGTAGATGCTTATCAATTCAACGTGTACACAAAGGCTCATGTTTACAGTAGCAGTGGAAGTTTGTATTAAACTTTCCCAAACTTTTTCTCAATTTGATGGTGAAGAACATACTGTTACACGACCCGAATGAACGCGGGAAAGCTTGTCCCTTGAATTAGGTAGAATTTAAAGTAAATTTTAACGCAGCACCTGGCTTCTAGCAGTCGCACCTGTTAGTTGCTAAGGATTTATTTACGAGCAATTATTACAAAGTAATGATGGAAGAGAAATCCTACGTAATCGCTTAGCTCGTTAATCAATCAAAATCTAATGAAGTTCAAAAGCGAAGAAAATTCCTCTATTCAATTAGTTAGGTGTCCCGCGAGTACGGTAGACTAGTTAGTCTTTGATCTGTTGCTATTTTCGAATTTGATACGAATTCCCGCTAAAATCCCTGTTTTATGTCAATTGTTTAAGTCGGTAATGTACCGGGTTGTGTTTTTTTTCATTGAAATTTCTAAACCTTTCCCGCGGGGCGTTTAATTTGTCCAGATAGCGATAGGCTCGCGCCGTTACACTTTCACCGAAATTGACTGTAAAAGTAGCACTTAAAGATCTTTGGCATGTTCAATAATTGTTGTATTTTATGAATTTTTCTGGTTTGAGATTGTATTTTAACTTGTTTAAACATAGCACGCGTAGTTTTCTAATGAAAACTTTACTTTGCTTGACGCATGCCTATAAGTCTCTACGTTATGACAACGTTTCTCAAGGAATACCTCTATTATACGTCAAAATTGAATGTAATTAAACGCGTCGTCTACACCAATAATTATACTCCGTATCGGTCTCGAGTTTTTCAAACATCTCTTTGTGGAAAGTAGATGATTACATAATCATCAAAATGATAAAGAATCTAAACTGACGAGTTCAAGTTTAACTCTTTCTTTTTGATCTGTTTTCTCGATCTTGCTCTACTCTCTGCCCCCTAGGTGGTTTTATAACTTATAGGAAGTAAGAGAAACAGGGAAAATGACCTTAGGCAGTCTTTAATACTTTGGTTTTTTGACACTTTCGCTATAAAATTTTACTGCAAAACTAGCACCTGAATGTGAATATTTGATTTGAAAGAGAAAAATCCGGCTTTAATTATACGCACGCGCATTTCTCTCTTTGCAACCTTGTTTGCGTGCTAATTATTCAGTCGGTGGCGAAATGAAGAATGTGACCGAGTGAATAGGAAGTTGTCGAGATAGGTTTGCCACTAGGGGGCGGTTGACGCTTTGCTTAATTGGAGAGCGTCACTGTTGTGCTATACGCTCGTGCGTAAAGGACTAAAACTTTTTTCTCACCTTCGCTTTTCCAATTTCCTTTATTGTCAATTTTATTTTATTTACACTGTTTCGATTGAACGAAAGTATCTCTAATAAGGACAAAAAGAAACTTTTGCAATTCTTTATCCTACAATTTGTTTACTTTTTCCGGATTTTTGTTCTCTTGAGGTTTGTAGATAAATAATGTAAGTAGGAAAAGATAAGGAAATGATTATTATTTATGTATAGTTAATGAATAAGAAATATTATTACAACTATTTATTATTCTCATGCTTGATAGTTATCTATTATGGAATAAATAGTAATAATTAGGGATTTCTTTTGAATACTTAAGAAATCACGCTGACTAGCTTACAATTGCATTTTGAAATCTGTGCAAGAGGCAGTGACGTAATATTATGTGGTGGAGCGCAATGCTTCTCCCTTGATTTCTCTTCCATTCAATGATTTGAAGTACTTGCACATCTCTTGACATTTCTTTAAATTACTGTGCGGGTGATTAGCGAACTAACGAAATCGGGTTGTCTGTCTCTCACCCACTTTTACTTAAAATATTTTGACAAAAGAAGAGATCTAGTTAGTGGTTATTTCATTGTCAGAATTATACAAAGGAGAATATGTTAAATTTCAGAAAAGTTGATGATATGGACGGCGAATCGATTCGTGTCGTGAATAGATTAAAGAACACGAATGCCGCCAAATTTGAGACCATGTGCAAGATGCATCTATCCTTTTTACTGCATTTGGACGGCGATCAATTACAGGTTTGTTGATAGCTTATTTTCAAATTAAAATCACATATACCGCCTGTTTACTTTTCCATGATTCGAACATTATTTGTTATTTATTTCCTATCAGGAATTCCTGTCTGAGAAGGAATTGAATAAGGCGAGAGTACATTTCCCTTTCTATAAGCGAAAACCTACGAAAGAAAAAGGTAAGTGGCTTGTTTTTGGTAATTTTAATGCGTGTCATTCGACTAATGGCTTTTATAGGCCTCTTTTTCGAGTGTCATTTTCGTATTTGAATAGAGGCGCGAAAATATCTTATTTATGCATGCAGCGAACTATCTTGAAAAGTGAACGGTATTCGCTTCAAATATGCCGGTAGATTGTCTAGAAAGTGCCGACGTCTATTCTGTTAAGCGACAACGTTTACTCACCAACAGACCGTCCTTTAATTAGTCCTATAAGACGACAGACACGCCCATAAAAACTATCTGCTAAGGAATTTCCCAAAATTTCCTTTTCTTTTTTGCCGTCTTTTTTCCCGAACTGGATATCTTTTTTATAAAATCATTAAAGAAGAGGGTGGGGAAAAAAGACGCCGCCTCTATTTGCCGAATGTGACGTTTACGCATTGTATTTTCCTGAGCAGGTGTATTTGCGCTTTAAGTGGTATATACCTGTTTACTTTTTATGTATTTTTTTAAAAGAAAAAAAGGGGGTCTGTTTTAAGAAATACAATGATGTGTTTGGTAGTATTTAGCAAGCTAAAAAATTTTATTATAACCTCTCTAATTGGTCTGCTATTACGTAATTTAAACGAGGAAGGATAGACAAAGGACACAAGGAAACCTTTTGTCCCTCTTAGAATATTTTCAAATAAGACACCAAAGGGGTAAGATGGGACGAATAATCGTTATAACAACTTTAGAAAAACCCTGAGGAACACTTTACTCAGAAAATAAACTTTAAAACTCAAAAACCCTTGCAATAGACTATGTTAACGCTTTTGGGAATTAACGCTTCGCCTAATGACTGTCGTGTTTGTCCGCTTCGGGCTATATATTTCAAGTCTTATCTCTTATCAAGTCGACGCTGGAGTTTGTAAAAAGAAAAATCGCTTTCGTACATTTGTTTGTTGTTTGTAAAGTCATGCCGAGCGTCGAGGGAAAAGCAGAATTACGTAACCTGTCACGGAGCGACGAGTTTGTTCGGCAATATATTTTAAGTCTACCTAATCGAGTGTGAATTTTTGTTACTTTTGTCATGTTTTCATTTTGTCTGTTTATTCTAGGGGTAATGCCTGTTTCGGATTAACTTTTTAGGACTTTAGGGACTCTCTTCGTTAAAAAAATGCGTGACTAATTTACCCAAGCTGACAGATTTCTTTGAATAGGCGTCAACACTTTAGACCCTATGCTTACCCATTTCCTGTCCTCCTGAGTTATGCTTATATATTTATATTATAATGTTTGGATGGTGAAAATTTATTCATATTTAATTCTCCCGAATGTCCTTTGTTAACTCGTCAACGGTGGCGTTATTCTTATTCGATTTGACATTTGAAATGTGCTCTGAGTTAAACGATTTAAACGAACCGGAAACGCTCCGTCTACTAACTAAATTTATCGAAGGAAACCTTTCATTTCATTTTACTAACTAAGTCTTTTGGGGTTTAAATTTCGATAGATAATCATCTGAAATGACACTGGCAAACGATCTTGCTTAATGAACTAAGTATTGTAAATCATGCCCCGGAGCTATCTCAACAATTGTCCATTGTTTTCCTATCTAGATTATATCTCATTAACTAATGATAAAGTTTTTAGTACTCGGATTACAATGTCGCAAGATTGTAACAGTTTTAAAAATTTGAGCCAATTCTCTTAATAACTAATTTCCTTTATCCTAAAATGGACTAAAATTCAAGCTAATTTATACATCTTCCTTTATGGTTTTCAATCTGTTGCTTTTAGGAAGACAACACTGCTTTAATTTTATCACATTTTAAAATCTATTTCCTTTCTTTCTTAATTGATAAGATTTGCTCCTTTTCTCCTATAATTATACTTTCACGAATTATGAGTCTAGAAGACGGGAAAGGCGTCCGTCAACTATTGTAGTAATTGCGTAACAAAATTGGATTTTTTCGCGCTCGTCACCTATTTAACTAGGTAGGGGAAGGAAGTTTCGGGCGGCTGTAGGGCGGATGCGAAGGAAACTGTGCCCCTCCCCCGCGAATTCCTGTGTCCCGAGGATCTCCCTCAACCCGCCAAGTTGAGGTTTAGAATATCATTCTTGAAGACTAGACTGAAGTAATTCTACACTCGTGCGTCGGCATTAAATGATTGCAATTTGCTAGCTTCCTTTGTTTACGAGAGGAAGCTCAAACAAAGGGGTTAAAAAGACGACCAACGAAGGAATTTAACAACAGTTAAAGAACGCATATTACTGGTCATGGGTTAAATTATACCTCAAACTATCTGTGCGTGTGTGACGTCAGCTTGCTAATTAATATTGATTAACCCTATTACGACATTCGAACGACCGTTCGTTCAACACCTGGTCAAGCGTCGACCAAGAACGGTTGACAAAGAGAAATTTCGCACGCGGCGTTCGTGACGTTTTCGGGCCGTCGAATATTTTCTTTATGTTATTTATTTATACGATCTCGGAAAAACGAGTGTGAACGTATTGAAGGTTTATTTACATTAAAGGGGATAATCCAGATTTTAAAATGTGAGAAAAGAAGTGAAAAAGAGGGGAGGAAGGGAAAAAAAACGAAACAAAGAAACAAGGTGTTCAACTATGTATGACCTGCGTACTTTGATTTGATAAGGGTGATAAGTAGGGCGTGAAAGGTGTTTCATTAACCCCAACCAAAATATTTCGGGTCAATAGCGCGATCGTTTTTCCAAAGAAAGGGAAAGAAGGTCCTTTGTGATCCACGGAATGTAATCCTATATAAGTCCTTTGCGCCTACGAAATATTTTCTCTTCTTCTCGCTCACCCGTTAATATATTAATCCTATACAAGCAAAAAAGCCCATGAGACGGGAGGGGGGCATCGGAGAATTTTTTTTTCCGGCACCCCTTTTGATGTCGATACTAACTTGTCCGCAAGCTATTTATATATTTTCTGCCTGGCGTTTGATCTATAGAATTTTACGAATTGACCGCGCTCAATTTTTTTTCTCGACCCCTTTTAAAACACTTTTAAATAACCTAGACTCTTTTTTGTTTGCCAGCTGAAAAATCGGCATCCGACGGTGTTTTTGGGTCGTGTCTCTCACACCGAACTATCCAAGCAATTTCACCTGTTATAGAATTTTTAAAAGAGGAAAAGAGTAAGTATAACATGTTCATAATGTTTTTAGAAAGAGGTGAAAGGAGAAACCGTGGTTACTCCCACTGTTCGACATTTTCTATACGACTTTACTCGCAACAGATGTGAAACAGGAAGGGCTATTCCGAAAGAGCGGACATCAGGTCAGACAAAGGCAGCTACGATCAAAAATACACAATTGGGAAGATGTGACCATGGAACTGGAGGACGGCGTCTATTCCCCTCACGACTGTGCGTCAGTCTTAAAAGGATTCCTTGGTGAAATGCCGGAGCCTTTGTTGACTGAGGCTCACTATTTAGCCTATTGCCAAATACCAGACTTTGCGAAGCGTTGTACGAATTTGGACGACAAGAAGAGAGCGGAAGAGAAACAGGTGTCTACACTGCAACTACTCCTTCAATTATTGCCGAAACCCAATTCACAGTTGCTCAACTACGTCCTTCAACTTCTGCATCTAGTCGCCTCAAACGCCGACAATAAGATGACGGCTGACAATTTAGGAACCATGTTCGCTCCTCATATTCTAGTTCCCCGTAAATTACCTCCGTGTGAGCTTCAAGCTGCCGCTGCTAATGGTGGCCGTATAGTGTCATTCATGATTCAAAAAGAGCCGCAACTGTCTCAAATGCCAGAAGCCCTTGTCAGAGACATTAAGAAATATTGGGAAGAAGTTGAAAGCTCTTTCTGTGATAAAAATACAGGCGAAGATATTGTCAACACTACAAAATCGTTTACAGATAGGGCTGCATCGGCTGCCGAGGATGATGGTGGCAGATATCAAGACTATCAGCTATCTTTATTGGCCACCCACATTGCAAATATGCCAGATTGTTCCAGAAAGCGTAAACTACTAAAAAACGTTTGTAACAATTTATCAAATCTATCAACCCCCATGGCTCATAATTTATTTTTTCAATAGTATAAGAAAATGAACGGCGTTATCGGAACCCCCCAGAAACAACATAAAAGAACGAGAAGCTTTGGTGATACAATCAAGAAAATAATGCATAGATCCCAATCAAGATCTAGAAAATATAGCGCCCATCAACAGATTCGCTATTCGTCAAGTTCCTCCTCGTCATCATCTCGATCTCACAATTCCGTACATAGTTCAGATTCTTATACGCCTTTGGGATGCAGTCCAGTTGTTAAAATTGATGATAACGACGAGGTAAGTTTGTTTTTAACTTAAAAGGAATTAGGCATGTAGAAGGGATAGATATGGCATTAGATACTGTCGAATCTTGACAGCCTGCCCTGGGGCTGTATAACGTTACAAAGAAAATTCATCTAAACCTGTACATTTTATAAAGTATCCTCTGGTCTTTTCTGCTTATTGCCTGACTAGGTTTTATTACTGCTATCAGTGGGGGGCCGACGGAAGGCCAATTGAAAGAATTATACGATACTAATACTTATTGCCTAACTACGGTAGTCTCCTTTACATTTTAAGCTTGTTACATAAAACTCTCTGGGGTGATTTGTCGTTAATGTCAAAGAGCTAGAAATTTGAACCTCTAAATGATTTAAAATGATCCTTTAACAGGTGTACACTGAAAGCCCAGTTCGCATTGTCGATTTACAAGAAGGAACGTCGAAGAAACGAAAGCCGGGTAAAGAGAACAATGATCCCAATGATGGATTAGATTCATCAGATTCACCATGCGCGTCTCCTATTTCCAAAACTATGAGAAAAGCACCGAAATCCCTGCAGGTATGAGCAAATAAAAGATACCCTAATCAAATATTTTAAATAAAAAAACCCTATTCAATTCTATTTTACCCCTTCCAGAAACACATAATGACGCCTGGGTGCCGAGTTCCTTTCGCTGTGATGAATACACCTTGATAATGAACACCAAGGCGCTATATTTTTTTCTTCTTCATCTACATAGACTGTACATAATTAGAATGGAATTTTTTAATCTCTATTTTTCTAAGCGATTTTTTTTTCTTTTTGTAGTTTTCATGAAAATACTTTTGTGTGCCATTTTTTTGATAGAAAGAGTTTTTTTTTCTTTAAGAAAAGAAAAGAAAAGGAAAGAAAGAAATCACTTTTTTTTTTGCGTAATAAGTAGCAATGTATTGTCTGTGTCGTGGTGTTTTCTCGTTGTAATACATAACAATTTTCACAACAAAATACATTTTACTCTCTTTTGTTTAAAAAGCCTTTGATTTAGGTAAAAAACAATTACTTCTTTTTCACAACTTGAACGATTACGTTTAAAACAAGTTTCGATGCCGTTTGGTCAACATTTATTTTTTACGTTTTCGATTAAGATTCCCTGTGGATGCTTAAAAAAAGCATAAAAAACGAAAAAATTTTGGGTCAAAGTCATAAAAAAGTAACGTTTTATAATATGATCTGTTTCAAAGCGGCCGGGAAAAATTTGTTACAGTTGGCAAATGTTATTCTAATACGGAAGTACGGTGTCTCTACCCCTAACTTGTTATAGCCTGCGTTTTTTAGCGGCTATCGGGCAAAATTAATGGTGCTAGAGTTGCTTTCAATAATGTATCATACATGATATCTCTATACCATTTTAATCAAAAAATAAATTTTTCTTATCAATTGCAAAAAATTTATCTTTTTAAGAAATTTTATTATAATCAACACTTTATCGCTCTTCTAATTTTACCAAGTTATGAATAACGTTATCAACGGTGATTCGCATTTTGAAGTTGTTGATTTCAGGTACGTATAACACCTGAGAAAACGGCTAATAGCTGTAAATCTAGCGATCTGTCAATTTTATTGCTCATTAGATCGGTTTAATGTCTAATTGAAATGTGGAACAAATTGTGTGTCTTTTTTTTAGTTTACCTCAGGAAAGAAATGTGGCAAAAATTCACCCCGTTAGTGAGCCGAATGTCTGTTCAAATTGTCTTCAAGAGCAATCTCAACAATTCAATCCGGATTGTCACCTCTGTTTCCAATTACTGTTAGAGCCGTCTACATCAATTTCGGAGATTTTTGCCATTCTTAGGCAATGGAACTCGGAGAGTCAATCTCGAATTCTATTACTGACAGAAGAAATTCTAAAGAGGGGAGCACATATAAATGATAGAGACGGTTTAACTGATATGACACTCCTACACTATGCTTCTAGGTCAGGCGCGGAGGGTGTTGGAAATGTTGAAACCTCCTGCCAAACGGTACAGTTGGTCTTGGAGAGGGGCGCCGACGTTTATATCCGGTGTAGGTGGACTAATATGGCAGCTATACATTATGCGGCCTTTTTTGATGTTGCACCAGTGCTTCAGTTATTGCTAAAAGCTTCTGATAGCATCGGTAAATAAGGTTGCCCTTTTTATGCTAGGATCTTGTTAGATCTTTTTAAGTTAGTAACGGAGAAAAGGAAAGATTACGTTATATATTTTCCCTAGGGATCTTAAGTGTACATACTTTTTAACCGTTTACTCCTGTAAAAGGTTGTTAATCCTCTTTATTTATATTGTACTGATCAGGCACACACACTTCTAAGCACTTTTGTAACGTCTAGAGTCCTTAATATCTTATGTTCAAATTTTATAAGAAAAGCTTAGAGCAATTTAAAAATTAATTTCCTAAAATATCAAAGAGTATATTACATAATAGATGAAACTTGTTCAACTAGGCCGAAACTTAAAATAGAGTACCTATTTAAGACTTTATTAATTTCAGATATTGATGCTCCTTGTTCTATATACGAAAACGGTGGACCACTACATATAGCAGCAATAAACTTATCAATTGAATGCGCTCGTTTGTTAATTGCTATGGGAGCAGATTGTACCCTTAAAGACGATTTAGGTCGCATTCCCTTCAGTATGTACAATTTTACTGCCTTATTTATGATACTTTTGCAGAAAAATAGATACTTATCCAACGGCTAGAATTTAAAATAGGTTAGTAATTGGAGAGTTTTAACGTTTCAGATTGCATTCCTGAAACGACGTCGGAGGATCTTAAAGAAAAGGCGGAACGTTTACGACTCCTCCTTCGAGAAGCCATAGCCCAAATGAATGATAGAATCCCTTCTAAAGTTACACTACAATCGCTAGGTTTAAAAATTGGCGACAAAGTCATTGTCGGTGGGGTAAAGGTGATTTTCTTCTTGTTAAATAGTTTTCAAAAACGGTTCTAGTCAAGTGGGTATTCTTTCAAAACAGTCGGGAACCCTCAGATTCTGCGGAACTACGCAATTCGCTCAAGGAATTTGGGCCGGTATTGAACTCGATGAGCCAGTCGGAAAGAACGACGGAAGTATCGGGGGGGTGACGTATTTTCACTGCTCCAAAGAATATGGTATTTTCGCGCCTATATCCAAGATTACGAAATACAACGACGAAGCAAGAACTAATTCCGCTTGTTCCAATCGTAAATCGAGCTGTAGCAGTAATGTGCAAAGTTCAAAATTAGATGTTTCGCATGTGACGGCTAAAGTAGATACAGGTTAGATAAAATTCTATTCAGTATCTTGTCTTAATTTATAGTTAATAGTATAAGGGAAAGAGGGAGAAAAAAAGGGAGGGCGGAAGATGGGAATGCGTTCGCGAAAGAAATTGATGGTACACATTACGGGATACGTGACATTTGCGAAAAAATTTCAACATTTTTCCCAACTTCCGTCCGTAATTTGGTCGCATAATAGAAATTTTATTTTTAAAGGTTTAAGAGTGGCTAGGTCATACCCTCCTACGGATTGTTATAAAGTCGGTGAGAGAGTGATAGTAGCGGGAAAGAAAAGCGGCACTTTAAGGTTTTCCGGAACAACAGAATTTGCTTCCGGTTGGTGGTACGGAATTGAGTTAGATCATCCGCTCGGAAGAAATGATGGTAGCGTTAATGGGAAAGCTTATTTTGTTTGCAAGCCGAATTTTGGGGTTTTCGCACCTTCGTCAAAAGTAAAGAGGTTGTATTGTTCTTTTGCATCGATCCATCCAATCCAAGTTTATTTAAATGTTTACAGAATTGAACAAATAACAACGCTCAAAGAACAAAACACCGATTTAGGATGTGAGTGAATTGATTACCTAGTCCATATACACAGGATACAAATTTTATTATATATATAATTGACAACTAATACCTTAATTACACTGTTTACACTAAAAGATTCATTTCAAATCAGTTATTTATTTATTTTAAAATTTTATCTATTTTTAGACCCTTGTAAATTAGGTCACTTATTTCTTTATAGCTGCTAATAACTCAAGTCAAAATATGAATAGAGGCAGTACTATCAAGGCCAGACCGTCCTCTTTCAAGTAAGTACGGGAAAAATTCCCTTTTCCTTGATAAAAATAAATTAACACCCCTTCGCCCCCGGGCAAGAGTAGACATCTGATGATTAGCTTGCGTACGGTGCCGGAAAAGTAGGCCTACGCCCACTAGCTGTCCGCGTGCCCCAAATTGCCGGTCAAATTTAAATTTTTATTACTTCTTTATTCTTTTGAACAGATCGAGAAACCCTTTTGATACAAGTGCCGGCGAGATGAAAGTACAAGAAGGCATGACTGTTTTATGTAATAACGAATTAGGTATAAAAATAAACTTGTAGTTATATTACAAGTAATTGATTATTTCAAAGATTGACTAACTTTCGAAAAATTCTACTCTATATTTTCTTCTCTTTTTGCATATTTAATCAACTTATTTAGCAACTGTAAGATTTATTGGAGACGTTCATTTCGAAGATGGACTATGGTTAGGAGTTGAAATGAGAAAGCTATCTGGACGTAACGACGGAAGTATTCAAGGTAGACGCTATTTCACATGCAAATCGGGCCACGGACTTTTAGTTAGGCCTAATAAAGTGACAGTCAGAGGAATTAATGCCGCCAATTTACCGCCTTTTAATGAACAATCAAATTCGAACAAATAGACATTTAAATTTTTACACCTGTAGACAATTGGGAAATTAGCTACTGTAATATACAACATATCCGTTCAATTCAGGTCCGTTTTTTTTGCCACCAATTCCACGTTTGCTTAAATAAGTAAAAAAATCCATGAAGATGTTTATTACTTTCTCTTTATTTTTTACACTTTTTGTTTGTTTTATATTCGTAATTAATTTATTATTTTTTTCTATATTTTCTCATATTTTTCTCTTGTTGCCGTTTTTTCTTTCTTTCTCTTCTTTTGCAGTGTTTGTGAACGAAAAAAATCAAACAAAATATTGAAACAAAAATATCGTTTAATGCACTTTTCTCTCATTTTTTATCGTTTTTTATAAATTCAATGAATTAAATAATAAAGTGAAAAAGTTTATTTAAAAATTAGTTAATCTCTTGAACTTTAGTTCCACCTAGACAACAGCAGAATAATGTTGATGAATTACTATCAGTTTCCTTTTCAATTTTACCGCCAAAACCGAGTTTAATATTTGAAATTCTTCGAATTTCACCATTTTCCGCTTGTTTCTTTAAATGAGGAGGTACGGATTTAGGTCTTGAATTATCATCTTCTTGGTCGTTTAAATCTACCAAAGATATTGTTTTCTCTGTTAAAATAGATACTTTTGATTCGGAACGAGTAGTTTTAATATTTTCCGTCATAACTTCGTTAGTTAGTATGAATTGTGAGAAAGCAATTAGTGTATTTACTTATCGATTATTTTGCTAATTGATACTTTTATTATGAATTTTATTTGCAAAATATTTCGTTCCCTAAGAGGTAATATTCTTTTTTTTTAGTCTTTCTTATTTTAAGTATGCAGTTTTTTAGACGTTTAAAATCTAATCCAATTAGTTATAAATATCAGGATAAAAGAATAATTATAAAGAAACGCCCATTGACTATTAGCTGTAAATGACGGCATTTTAAATAACAAATTAATACTATCGGCTTTAATCATAGGAAATTTTAGAGAGAGAGCTTTTGTTGTATAGATTCTGACGGAGAATCCTTCAATTTCAATTGGACAAATGTGAAGAGCTAAATAAGAGAGTGGAGTAGAAAAAGTATCTATTTTTCTATTAAATATCACCAATTATCACTTGAAATCATGTAACAATTTGGAATTGGAATTTTGGTATGTAAGTTTATTCAAGCGATAATTTAGAATCTTAAATATTCTTTGATGTAAAATTCGTAGGGCGACAGCCCTTTCCCCTTCGGTAAGTGAAAAATTAGGCAAAATTTACCCTAAAAGATACCCAATTCAAATAAGCACCAGATGTCGTTCTAACGGTTTTTCCGCGCTAAAACAACCAACGTCTTAAAAGCCATTAAAAAAGCATTTAAATTACTCTAAGACGTTAGTTCCATGATTTCTGTTGTATGTTAGAATTAAATATAATAAAATGTATTAAGAATTATAAAGAAATAAAAAAAAACCTCTTTTTTATCAAACTGATTAACAATTGTTGATAAAACGGAGAATGGTTAACAAAAATTTTTATTTGGTTTTTATTGCCATTGAAAACCTTTAGGCCTGAAATATAACGCTCTTTTAATAGTAATAAAATAGGGGACAAGAGAAAACCATCGAAAGGATTTAGGAATTCGCTATAATTTGCGAAATGAGGGAAAGTTTCTTAATGACGTCCGTAAAAGAAGAGGACAACTAAATAATATTAATTAAACAACGTTTACCATTGTAGAATTGTATTTAAGAAGAGAATAAGGAGAAAGATAGAGAGAGAGGCTTAAAAAAGAAAAAAAATTATTATTTATTCTAAAACTTTGCGCCATCTACTGCAAAATTGTATCTCTATGATAACGCTAAATTATTCGCTTATAAGGGACGAAGAGATGTTTGCAACTCATTACGACTTTAGAGTAGGAGAAGCCGGAGAATGGTCTGCAATTATTTAAATACCAAAATTTAATTGAGAAAGCTAGGATAGATACGAAGGTATATATTAATATATATATATATATATATATATATAAATTATATATAAATAAATATATATACATTGGTACAGCAAGAAAGAATTATAGAAGACAGAGACAGAGAGAGAGAGAGAAAGAGAGAAAACGCGGAGAAAGAAAAATCAGAAAGGATATAGATGAAATAGAAAGTAAGTCACATTCGTCTTATTTTCAGTAGAGCGTGTTTTTTTTTTAATTTTTTATTGTAGGCTCATCTTTATGTTTTTTATTGGCCAATGCGGGTAAAGAGTACTTTAGATAAATTCCTATAGTGTTTTGACCGTCACTGAGGTGAGATTTTATAAAAAATATTATATTTTTCGGCTATTACACTGATTTATTAATGCTATCCGTTGACGTTTAAATACCCATACAGTATCTTAATAGATTTATGCATGTGTCGTACTTTGACGTAGATATATATATATCTATTCTTTTAAGTATTATGCATTTATATATATATAACATTTGCGACAAATATAAACCTCTCATTGCGCAGCTAGAAAGCTCTTTCATGATATTATAATTTAAGAATATGTCTAGCTTTTTTATAAGGATCAAGTTTAAATATATTCAATTATTGTTGATTATTTGTAAATGGAAATGACGTTTTAGGAATAGACTGAATTATAAGTTTCCATTAATGGGGAGGATAAGCTTCGATTGAAGTAGATAAACTAAACATATAGGCGAATTAGGGGGCGTCCTTCTAAAATAGGTTTCATTTCAGGTTTCTAATCTACGTTATCTCAATTGTATTGATTTTAAAAGTAGATAGATAACTACTAATTTTGTTATTGTCAACCGGTCCGATCTAAAGGGAGGGAAAAACGGCCTAGGGGGGAAAGTTGTCAATTCTTGTGCTTTGAGAAGATGGGGGGGAGAACTATTTCCTTTAATATTTTTACTTAAAAAAGATTAAGAAAAGAATTTGTAACACCTAATTATCTTCTTTATGTCCAAACAATGGAGGTTTCTTTTGCAACGGTTGGAAAGAGCTGTAATACAAAAGAGTCGGAAAGTTAAAGAAATGATTTAGAGAAAGAAAAAGATACAGATTAAGATGACATTAATGAAACTATAAAGACCATATTCCTTTCAATTAATAGAAAATATAAATTAGTTCTATATAAACAGTATAAGAATATTATAAATTTTAAAACCAACATTTATCACAAACTCCTCTAATCTTTTTACTAAAAGTTAGAAATTATTAAGGGAAAAATATTCTCCATCTTCCCATTTAAAATGGAGTGTGTTATTCTAATATAATTATACTTTATATTAGTCATTTTATCAATTTATATAATTTTTAACAGTATAACTTTTTATCGAATATGCAATTTTCATTAGATTGTTTACTATCTATAGTTTAAATCTTATTTTATATACTCTTACTATAGGCTAAAAAGTTATTACTGTTACAAATAGGCCTAAGGGCTATGTTAAGTTTTACAACGTAAATAATATGTAATTACGCCTCCGTTTATAAGTTATTCTGTCTTTCAATTTTTCCTTGTGTTACAGGGGACAGCTACATTGAGGATAGCGAATTGCGGTCGACAGCTACTTACTCGTATATATCTTTTATTTACAGTTTTTAAATATTTTATTAGGATTTCATAGAAGAAAAAATACGTCTTTAAACAAGTATACGAATACGCATATAGCTTATTTACATGTACAGATATGCATATATGCATATATAACGTATATTTTCTATATAAATGAATATATATAAAAGTTTGTATTATGAATATTAATGAGAATAAACAAAAATGTATTTTATGATCATGAAGAAAATATTAGAGATCGTGTTGATGTTTTCCCTACTAGGTGCAACAACGCGAAAGATAGAATTTTTGTAAGCTATTTGGATCCTTAAAAGGAAAGAAACGTTTTTCGTTGTAAGTCTGATTATTAGTTTTTATAAGTTACTATCGTTATTATGAAGGGGAAGATAGATAAAAAGATTCTGTTTTTTGTTAAACTACTCTTTCTTTCTGAAAGAAATAAAGAATGGCGAGTCAGCCTGTTATCATAAAATGTGACGATGTCGTCGTTAATGAAGAAGGATCTAACGATGTTGCAGCTGGTATTGGGAAGGCAGAATGTGGAAATTCTAGCAGTATTCTAATTGACTTCGATGCTCCTGAGACACCGATTAATGATGACACGAATACTACTAATACCACCTTTCGTTATGATGTTCTGGCCGATATAGATTTTACTAGCAATAATAATAATATTAATAATAATAACAACAATAACATCGGTAATATTTCCATGGCTAATTGTGAAGCGCTTCCAAATGTCGAGGAAGCTAATAAGCTCGCTCTGTCGAATCCAAATCGTTTGGAACGTGCCAGGAAAAGCGATTCGCACCTGCATGATGTAAGCAACCTTCTAATTCCGAGAGTATCTAGATCGCATTCAACTTGCTTTGATAGCAATGCTCTTCATGATGCTGTGGATTTTTGTCTTGCCAGACAATTAATTAATAAAGCCCTTGATAATTATGAACCGCCCACAAATGATATTGGTGACAATTCAGAAGAGGATGTTGAAACACGTTACTTACCTTCCGTCGACATAATGAGGGGTAGTATGGAAATGATTACTTCCGCCACGGAAGATATTGAAAATAGAAGTTTTATTATGTCAGAGGAAGAGAGATTTTTAGACGAGAACGAACCTATTATTGCAGATGTGAAATTGGAACGCCTACAAGACACACGAGTGAAAAAGAAAAGCGCCATTAACTTTGAAAATTTAAATCTAAATAAAGAAGAGGACCTGCTTAAAATAGCTGACCAGATTGTACAAGAATCAATGATGAAAGGAAACACAATGTTCCAAGACGGAAATGATAGGGTAAGTTAAATTATTTAACGGCAGATGGCGCTTGCTTCTGCCTTTTACTTACTAAAAGCGTCTAAAAGTAGGCCTTTCGTAAATATGATGCGCATAAGCTAAACGAGGTCAATATGCTGTTAGTGACCGCCCATATCCCAGCTTCCGCTCACATTCTCACTCTGACAGATTCCGTCTTCCCTCGGAAAATGAACAACCGTCGATTATCAAATTTCAAAGGACCTTAAAATACAGCAGATTGTAGTTCTTAAGACTCATATTTTCCCCTCTTAAATCCAATCCTTCTGTTTTTTTTTTACATATAAAAATAGATATTTGCTTGTTTTTCTCTTTCAAACTCAATATCTAACTACATTTCAAGTAACTTTTTATGGTTAATATAAAAATAACAGAGTCTAATGCCTATAGCTGTATTGATCGACGTCAATAGATGCTGGAGGTGGAGGGAAGGGGGGGGGCGTAGCAAGCTTACAGTCTTTGCTATCTATTGCAAATTTTTCCAAGGGCATTACAGGCTATCTATAACTTGAAAAATAGAGTATAATAATCGAATAGAAGGAAGAAAGCTTACATTCCTTAAATCAGTTAGATTATATAATAAATGTGATGTCATGCAAGTAACACTGTAATTAACGTGTGTCAAGGTGAAACAAATTATACTTCATCCACCAAAAATTATTTTACAGCTCAATCCCTAAAACATTTTTTTTTAGTTGTCGATGCTTTTAGTTAAATGTATTATTAATGTAGGTGGAACGCTATAATAGTTAATATGCATTAAATATCAATAAAATCATTAATTTCATATATGGTGAAAAAAGCATAGCTAGTTTATACACACGCCTGAAATTGTATCGCAATTCTCTATGTGCATGTCTTATTACTCTCTCATCTATTTCGCTCTCTTCTAACCGTTCGTCGTCACTGTTGTTTTTGTATAAACATACATACTTTCTCCAAGAATCTTCTTCTGATTCGCATCCTTCTATCTTCTCATAATTTCACACTTAGTGTTGAGAGAATATATTTCTATTCACACCTATCTCATTTTTCTCCGTTAATGCCATTTCGTTTGTTTTTTATTTTAAATTCAAAGTACAGTGGATGGGCGTTTTATGTCTGTTTGTCTTTCACAGTAAATGACCTATTGCTTACTACTTTAGTGAATGAGTAAATTTTACAATTTATGATATTCGCATAAAATTTTCAAAGCTAGCTACGCCCCTAGACGCCGTCAGTAACGCTGCTAACGTACGCCACTACCCTTGCATACCGTCCATCGATATTTCGTGGCGTCCCTTCGATTGCGATCAAAGAAAATTGTATTGGAAGAGACATAGTTTTGATTGAGGAACAAGAATTCTTTACTTTCATCATTAGAAGTGTTATATTCTAAAATAAAGATATTGGTACTAGAGGATAATTAATAATGGATTGATGGATTAAACGCGGAATAAAAATTCGGCATTATTTATAGAAAGGTTTTTGAAAAAAGAAATTATATGAATATTTAAGCAAATAATTGAAATATTGCTTATAACAACTTGAGTTTGTGAAAAATTGAAAATATTCTTTGAATTTCGAATAGTCTGAGGCAATGGTTTATTCTTTTATCGCAAGTACATTCGACGTTGCTTTTCCCTTTGCTATTTGTTCGTAAATCGATAAGTAGTAGGCCTTCAGTCTGTTTGCAATATAGCGCAGTGGAATATAAAAAACGGACGGGATATGAGAGAGAATAAAGACAAATTTGTCACTGTTTCGTCTACGGAACACCCATTGAGTCAGGACGACTTCGAGGAGGAATATATTAATAAGGTCAGTAACTTGGGTAAAGCGTTATGCGAAGAAAACTTATAGGGCATCATTTATAAATGATCTTCATTAATTTTTTTGCGTTCTATCACTGTTTAAATGATTAGTAAAACACGAAAAATATTTCATATACTGAAAACAGTCAGCTAACTAGGACAGTACAGAAAACCAAACCTAATTTCCTAACTGTTCATTAATTACTAAACTTCCGGAACTATCTATTAACATAAAAGTATGAAGAATTCCTATAATGTTCTTTGTTGGCTGTTAAATTGATTGAAAATCAACTAATAAGGCAGATAAGCTCATTAGAATACGGCGTTGATTTTGGGTGTCGTTTCTACCTGACATGTCAGTCACATCTACTAGTTCATCAACGGCATCTAGTACTTCTTGTCGTGTACATTCACTAAGTCTACTGATGTCATCCACCTCTATTCGTTTTTCCTTGTAATTTGTGAAAGGTGGCGAAAGTTTGTTGCATCCCGAAACCGGATTACAATCCAACCTTGTAAAAGTATTCGAAGTGGAGCACAATAGACGCTTACGTCGTTTAGCAGGTTTACGTTTTTTCGTTTGATTGTCAGGGGTCCACTCGTCATCCGAAACTTCTAGGCGAGCTTTCGTGTTAAATTCTTTTTTCTTTGATTTATTTAAATTAGTCTTTGATCTTTTACCGTCTTTGCGATTGCAGCAATCTAGACACTTACAGAGACTTGTACAAGCTATACTGGCTTCGTAGCATTCACAATATTTCTTACTACATCCTGATCTTTTACAGTTGCAACCTTTATAGTGCGTCTTTTGGTCTACTTTTGAGCGAAAAGCGTTTGGATTACGTTCCACACACGCTCTAGTTGCTGAATCTCTTTGTAGAGGATATTCATCTGTATTCATACATCCATTGCAACTGCACCACGATCCACAGTACTCACTGCGAGCAAAACAATCACAGTAAAGCTTTAGGCATCGTGATTTTTTACAGTTACAAGGCTTTGTCGACGATCTTAGACGGTCGCCATCTTGATATCGTAAAATAGGAAAACAAAGCCCGAAAGTTGGTGGCGACAAGCCACCAAGAGCCGGGAAAGGATTGAGCGTTTCGTTGCAGTAGGGGGTGCATATACCTGGTGAACAATTGAAGGAATGAGTGTCCAGGGGGTGGAAAGGCGGTTCGTCTGTAAATTCTATAGAAACGCAAAGGAAACACGTAATATACACGCAAGAGAAAAAACAACAACAACACAAATGACTCATTATAATAATAGAACACTATAATTAAATATTGTCTTAAAAGACATAAATTATAGTAAAAAATAGTGTTGATTTATGATAAATGCTTATTATTTACTTGGAACGAAATTCGAGTAAAAAGAACTTACCAGCGGGCATCATTGTTCTAGAATAAAACTAATTAGAAACGCTCTAAAAAAGAATATTTTGACGTAATGTAATTTATTTTTTACGTAAAACAAAAAGAATACACTTGTTTCTTTTCCGTCTATCATCAATATCAAAGTTGATAACGTTAAGGGATTTCTTTTTTCGGAGGAAAAAAAAAGAACGTTACGTATTTAAAAAAAAAAAAAAAAGAAGGAATTTAACGTTCTCTCCTTTCCTTCTTTATAATAAGAGAAAGGAATTGAAAATCGTTTGACGAGCGAATGAACCGTAAATAAGGCAAGCGTGTAAAATAGAAATTATTCTATTTTTGCAATTACAAAGCTGATTTTCGGTGTTGTTTAAACGATTTAAAGGCTTGGGTCCAAAACTAAAGTGTCAGCTTAATATTTCAATCTTTATTTATACTTTGATGTCGGCCTTCAATTTTAATATGTAAATTAGAGGTTTATTAGAGAGGGAGAGGATAGAGAATGAAAAGATAAAGAAATAAAAGAAATAAAGGTGGAAAGGGAGAGTTTGAGTAATTCCTGAATAATTCTATACTGTTTATAGATGAGAAGACTGCGAATAATTAGATTATTTTTCCAAGTTATAAAGAGATAAATAATTAAGGGCCAGGGAATAATAAGTATTATAATTGTAGATAATTTAGGTATATAATTTGCGAGATATTGTAAAATGATCGAAAGTTAGGGGAGAGAGTTAAAAGAGGGTGTGTAACTAAGTAATATAAGTGCTAAGGGCGTTGCAGCTGACCAATGAATATTATATTCATATACAGTATATATATATATATATATATATATGTATATTTGTACTATTATACTTAAGTATTTAATATCATATTACTAAAATATTTTTACTTCCAAACCAAAATAGGAAAATGAGAATCGTCCTACAAAATTGGAAAGGGAACAGTTAGACTCTCCATCCGATCGGGTTCCGGAAGATATCGCTCTTAAAGCGGCCCTATCCCCTGTTGATTCTGGTTAGTAATTCGTCTATTTTCCTCTATCTTAATTTTCCTATTCTTTCTGTCTTCTACCGTAATTAATTACTGTATATCTGCCACATTTCTTACTATTGTTAAGTTCACTGTTTACAATCTTTTCTTCCCTTAAAAAATGTTTAGATTTGATTAATTATACGCCTAGAAATTGTATGGCTCTCTTTCTCTTACAGCGGATAATCGACCGAATAATATCGATTGCCCTAGAAAGAAAAAGATTTTACCAGATTTTCGTCTCTTAAGCGAAGAGGCGGTAGAAGAGACAGAAGATGACGATGAAGAATCTAAAAAAGCATTGTACGTATATTTATTTTTTAATTTGTTAGAAAGCCTTATTTTCTAATACCGAAACGTCTGATTCCTTTTAATTTAAACATAGCTTCATTATCTACTTATCATTATTTAAAATTGCTATATACGCTTGAGATTTTATGATATAAATATCAGTTTCATTCTTTATTCAGTTTTATATTTATTGTTTTATTGTATTTTTTCTCTTTTACCTCCCTTTCTCTTCCTTACTCTTTAATTTACATGTACAAACTCTTTCTCCCTCTGCTTTCAGGCCTAATGGGCAAGAATTTACGCTAGAAAAAACTATGTTCGAAGAAAAATCTTTAGAATGCCCTCAAATCGATATCGATTTACAAGGTAACTGTAAAATGCACTTGATTAATACTGTATGCATTAATAAAGATGCAAACAGAAATTCCTACGTAAATTAGGTTTATTAAATGTGCACGGTTATTGCTCCTAAAATAGATAGTCCGTCAACACCCGGTGACGCCGTTCCGGAACTCGAAGAAGATAGCAAAGAAAAACGATGGAGAACTGTTACGATTGCGGATAAGCATTATCGATTGGATATGAAAGTAATTGAACCGTATAAAAAAGTTCTCTCGCACGGAGGTAAGGGAAATTTTAACTTGGGGTATGATGGGTAACGCCATCTGTTGTCTAATAACTTGAAAGAACGTTATTGAACTAACTGATGTTATCTGTACGAAACAGGATACTATGGTGGTGATGGATTTAAAGCTATTGTTGTATTTTGTACGTGCTACTTACCAGACAAGAGACGGAAGGATTATAACTATGTGATGGATAATCTATTTCTTTACGTTGTATCTACTCTAGAACTACTTGTCGTAGAGGACTACATGATAATTTTCTTCCACGGTGCAACACCAAAGTATAAGATGCCTTCGTTAGTTTGGTTGAAAAAATGCTACGATATGATTGATAGGAGGCTGAAGAAGAACTTGAAACGGCTTCTAATAGTTCACCCAACTATATGGCTTAAGACATTAATGCTTATGATGAAACCATTTATAAGGTAGTTATTTCAACTAAAAAGCACTAGTAAAGAAGTATCGAGTTTAATTAAATAACGATCTCGCTCCTTTTTTTTATCGGATGTTTTACTCATTACACTGTTCGATAATAATCGATTTCGTAATGACAACGAACAAAACGGCTTTAGTAAATGCCATCTTTATAGTCTTTTCCTTTAATCTAATTTTTATAATTATACTTAATGTTAAAAACGATAATTGTTGTTTTTCCATTCAAGAAAAATGTAAATATTTATGTTAATATCAAACATACTTAATTCTTTTCTTGTTGTTTTTTTTATTTATTTTGCAGCTCAAAATTTCGCAATAAAGTAGATTACGTAAAAAATTTGAAAGAACTTAGCGAAAAAGTATCGACCGAATACGTTTACGTGCCTGACGAAATAGTTGAGTAAGTATCCATCTATTAATCATTTAATTTAATAATTTAATTATATGAATAGAATTAATCATTTTACCGTTTTATATAAAATTTTATCTTTTATTCTTATAACAGATTTGATAAAAAATTAAACAAGGAAGAGCGCTAATAAAACTAACGATAATAGAATCAAAAGACAAACTCGTCATTGTAGTAATTTATTTAGATTATTTTATTTGTTTATTCATTATTTAATTTGGAATAACATAAAATATGGAAGAAGATGAAGAAGAGAAGAAAGAAAGAGAAAAGAACAAGTCTATAAACTTTCTTCTTCTTTTGAAGGAAAATAGAAAAGTATTTGTTTTTCTTTTTTTGCTCCTTTTTTTTTTTCTTTTTTCAACTGCAAACAAATTGACGATAATAGGTGAATTATTATTTAGTTTATAGATAAAGTTCAATTATTTCATAGTATTAGAAGTATATGTTTATGCATAAATATGTATATACTGCAAAATTTTCCTCTAAATTACTTAAGTCGTAATACTTCAAACAAAGAGGAAAAAAAGATCAAACTAATTTACCTTCAATTAGAATAAAGAATTATAAGGAAAAGAACTAGGTTAAATAAACTTTGAGAAAACAAGCAATAACACTTTATTAGCATAAAACGTTCTAAATTTTTTTTCTTTTTTTTTTGTAATACGCCTATGAAATGTTTCTTTTTATTTAACAGAGAATAAATAAGATAAAAAAGGGGTTGATTTTCAAAGACGTCTAATTTTTCTTAGTAAAATAGAGGCCGATTGCGCATAGAAACGTTTAATAGGTAATAATTAGGTGAAATGAATATTGGCAATAAACTATTGAAATAAGTAGTAGAAACGTTTATTTTGTGTCCGTTTTAAAGCATCTCTACGACCCGAAGAATGTAATAAAACAAATGTAAAACCTAATGGAGTACAATAACTCATAAAACTTTTATCCTCTTTCCTACTTTCTTATTCCTTTCGAAAAATAACTTTTGACTCATCTATTTCATAGCATCCGATTCTCATAGGACTTATATGAGTACAAATAGAAAAAACTAAACAATACATTGATATCCAATTACAATCAAACTGACATGAGTTTTTATCGTCTAGAACGTGTTTGTTTCCATGTTTATTCTCTCAAATGTACCATCTTTTATGTTATTGTTTTGTTTTGTTTTTTTCCAGGGCTGTCCAGTATTAAGCCCTATAAATAAAAAACGAATATACTTTGTAAATAACTGATAGTAATTCCATTCGGGTTTTTTTCTAGATATGAACTATCTGACAAAAACAGTGCAGATTTTGATAGTTTGCTTATGGAACTGATTCGTGACGCGTATTTGATAAGGCTATAATATGGTAGATAAAGTGTAAAAAGAGTAGAAACAAGGGATCAGCTTGTTATATGAAAGAGAACCAAAAATAAGCCTAAACTCTCTACGCGTACTGTTAACTCAATCAAGTTTGGCGCCTATCAATTAACCCCTTTAATCTCTTTTGACGATTTTCTGTGAAAAACCCTCTACTAGTCGATTGGATAGTGTTAACAAGACGAAAGGACGTCTCTTTTTCCTTATTTTCTAAAACTTCGACCGAAATAATCGATTCTGTTATTAAATTTCCCGAAGCTTTTAGGGCCATTTAACATAATTTTCGTAGGTTGAAAGTAAAAGAATAATGAAATTCACTATCGTTTTCAACAACATGCAAATCATCTATAAGATCCATTTCCCACAAAGCGATTTTCATTAAAAGAACCACAGAGCAAGACCTCCGACAATCAAAAGCTTAATATTCTCGTTTCTTCTCTTCCCTTTGCTTTCTCCTTTGAAAAGCAAAGTTGATAATATTTTTTTCAAAATCGCTTCTCTTCGCACAAAATATAAATTATAAAAACTTGGTCCCGTGAAGTTTTACGATTTTATCAGTTTTCCCTCTGTCTCCCTCTCTCTCTCTCACTCTTTCCAGAATATACACACATAAACACACAGTACATACACACTCTTTCTCTCTTTCTCAAGCTCTCCATCTCTTTTATCGAGAGATAAACAGAGAAGATTCTACTTTTTTTAATAAAAAAAAAATGAGGGGAAAAAAATTCGTGCTAACTTTTTTTTTTGTTAAAAGTAAAAAAACTTTTCCCAAAAGTTCTTTATCATCTAACTTACTCCACCCCCTTTTTACTGTACGCCCTTTTTTTCTGTATTTTAGGAGAACGGAAGAAATTGTACTTAAAGAAGTAGAAATTTGCATCCATATAAATATAGTATTTTTTAAGCATTTATATTCTGTTATTTCTTGGTGTTATCACAAGTAAACGTTTCTTCTTTGAAGCGGAAACATAAATAGGCCTACTTAAATGCCACTTTCTTCTATTTGTTTATAGAAAAAGACCCCAAAAGCCAAAAAGAAAGACTATTGCGAATAAGTGAAGGTGAGAAAGAATAAAATTGACATTTAATATAAATATTCTCAACAAAATTGCGGAGGGGAGCGAAACGCTGAGAGCAAGGAGTACAAACAAGAGAGAGAGAGAGAGAGAGAGAGGAGCGAATAAGGGAACAAACCAACGAACGAATGAATAGCATATAAAAATATAGAAAAAAGGTAGCAGAGCGAAAGAAGCGGTAATTTTCAGAAAATTATGATTATCACTAATAATATTGTATGATAAAAGGTTTTTTAATATTGTTTATAAGCATATGAATATTGATTAAAAACAGTTTAATTGACAATTTATAAATGAAAAAAGAGAAAATTCTCTTCATTTGACTGACTATTGCTAGCTTAATTTTCCGGGACTGTTTAGCCATTTATTACCTAATTTATTTCTAAAAAATAATCTCGGTTTTTACTCTATAAGTTTATCTTTAAATTGATAAAAAAGACAGTTTCCGTCGTCAGTTTCCGTAGTGTTAATTAAAATTAATAAAATTAGGTAAATAACTAAAACTACAGGACACGTTATTAGTCCCACGTTGAACGTCTAATTGGCAAACTTCCAAGAAGGTTTAAGGATAGAAAGCTTTTGTCAAGATTTTTAGAATTTACGAGAATTAGATAAAAGAAACGTTACTGGAAAGCAATTTACAACGATTCTATTTCGATACTAAATTTACTTTTTTCTCAAACCGATTGCGTTAAGAGAGCACAGAATCGACGATGGCGACGTCGTTGGTTTTTCCAGCTCAGTCAAACGGTCGCTAGACGCCCCTGCAGCACCATCGATCATCCGCTAAACTGCAAAACATGTTCGCCGCTTTCCTGCTCTGCACGCTCTGTCATATTGGAACTAGTATACAATTTCGAAGTGTTTTACAGTCAGACGACGACTATCAGGATGGTCATCTATCTGATAATTACTACGACAGGAGAAACAGGTTCTCTCTTTTTCAAATGTATACTTTCAATAGGAAAACATTATCCGCTTTTCTTCGCTTCATCGCTCTCAGTATAGTCGAAAACTCGGGACAAGCCAATAGCTGTTGTCTATAATGATAAGCGAAAATGATAATTCATTTTTATTCCCCAAATCCTTTTTAGTGAGAAGAAAGTATCCTCTAATGTTCATTTAATACTGCTTTAACAAGGATGGTTGATACATAACCGTTAGATGGCGTTATATAAATTCATATTTTGTAGTATATTACATTAAAAACACAGTATTAAGCTTATACTTTTTACAAATATACTCTTTAAGAGTGAATAGACATTAATGCGAAGAATAGCGAAAGAAGATATTGTGAGCAAAACTATGTGTAGTACGAGAAAGACAGACAGCAAGAAGCTAAATATGAAAGAAAGTAAGATTGAAAGAGAAGAAGAGAGGAATAAGTTAGAGTATGACTGAGACAGAGATTGACACCAAGAGAGAGAAAAGGAGAGGAGGAAGGAAGAAAAAATTAGAAGCATAGACAGTGATGTGGAGAGAATAAGTAAGAATAAATATGGTAATATGAAAAATAAAGACTCATACTAAGAGTAAGAGAGAAAGAGAAAGAGCGAAGAAAGAAAAAAGTCATCATGCTTTTTCTCGTCAAGCAAACGTCACTCTCTTTTTTATTTCCTCATTAATATAAAATAGATGCCAGGGACTGTAATATTAAATTTAAAAAAATTAATGGACTATTTGTAAGAGTGTGTTAAAGAGAAGAAAAAATTAGACACGTTGAAGAATATACTTTTTAGCTAGTTTGCAAATTACAAACAAAAAGAAAAATCTGTTTTAAATATATTGTTTTAGAAAAGAAAGAAAACTAAAAGTTCTTTTTCTCTTTCTACAATTTGTTTGTATAATTTTTAATGGGCTGTTATTTTAAAATAAGCTACTTCCGCTATTTAAAGTTTATTACTTCAGTAAATTAAGTTTTTATTAGAAAAGGAAATAGCCGGAGGATCTAGTTTTACTTTATCTTACCTCTTTTCATGGTTGGTAATAATCGATCATTTTCTAGCAAATAAACAGCTAGTTAATTCCGACCTTTTACGCCCCTGGACAAATTTTTATTCATTAAGTCGAAATCAAGTAATGAATCATATTATTAACCGACAGAACGATATTAAATGCATATCGCACATTTTTTCTGTCATAACCCTCTTCATTTAATATCATTTAATGGAAAAATATATTGTAAAATGATCGTGTATGATATTCTCTTCCTTGTAGTTTTCTCCTTAGTAAAAGATTGAGCCTGGGAGAAAGGTCATTTTCCAAATTAAATTAATTTAACAAGAGAATCAGAGAAAGAAAATTGCATTTTTTTTCAGTTTCCCTGTCAGCTGTTTATCCTCAGTTCTAGGTGCAGATTTACTTCTTAGGGCAAAAACTTTACAAGAATCTCTAAGAGCTCTACTCCATCTAACGGTCTGCTGTCATTTCTCTATTCAATCGAGCCTACCACCAGATGGTGCTCCCTAGAACCAAAAAACTTCGCTATCCGTACGCATTCTGCATAGTTATATAAAATATTAACGAACAAATCGCAGCAAAAATAAATCAAATTTGTTCGACAACCCGATCGGTAGAAAATTGTGTTTGCCCATGGTTTTTTGTAACGTAGGCCAAAATACGACCGCAAAAATTTGCAGACTGCTCTGAAATAATCCGGCTTCTATTCGCAGCTTTTACGAAGGGGATAGTGCGAACGTGTCTCGGATTCTGGATTCACTACTCCGAGGATACGACAAACGGATTAGACCGAATTATAGGGGTATAGAATGAGAAGCGTCTCTTAATTAGCTGACGCCTTATCATAATATCTAGGGGAAATTTGCTCTGAACCATTTATTATCTTTTCTGATTTCTTAACTGATCAGGTTCACCCGTAGAAGTTGGTGTCACAATGCACGTACTAAGCGTCTCTAGTATATCAGAGGTTGATATGGACTATACAGTAGACTTCTACTTCCGACAACACTGGACAGACCCTAGATTGGCTTTTGACTATGACGAAGAATTGTGCATTAGTACAGAGATGCTTGATCGGATGTGGTGGCCGGATACATTCTTTGCCAATGCTAAACTAGCCAAGTTCCATTATGCGACAACAAAGAATCACTTCCTCCGAATTAGGCCGAACGGCGACGTCCTGCATAGTCTTAGGTATAAGATTCCAGTCGCGAGTTTAACGGAACTGATTATGTTTATACTGGCCCGCAGGCTGACCGTGACCGCAATGTGTAATATGGACCTGACATTCTTTCCAATGGACAGCCAAATATGTTCTTTAGAAATCGAAAGTTGTAAGTATATTAACCTAACACTTTTAAGAATAAACAAAGTTTGTCAAGGAGAGAAAAAGAGATAAAATAAATCCTTTCCTTTCGATTCAGTTGGTTACTTAATGAAAGATATTCATTATAAGTGGTTAGAAGAGGGAAAATCTGTAAAATTTGAAAAAGGAGTACAGATGCCCCAGTTTGTCATACACAGTCATCGACAAAAAGAAAAAGTTATTGGGACGAGTACAGGAAATTATTCGCGACTGGCTTGCGAATTTCATTTTGTTCGAAGTATGGGCTATTATATCATACAAATTTATGTCCCTAGTATTTTGATTGTTATATTAAGCTGGGTATCATTTTGGCTGTCAAGAGACGCCGTCCCAGCTAGGGTTGCTTTGGGTATTACAACCGTTTTAACAATGACAACTCTTATTTCAAGTACGAATGCTTCTTTACCGAAGATTTCCTATCTGAAATCGATCGACGTCTATTTAGTTACATGCTTTGTTATGGTCTTCAGCTCATTAGTAGAATTTGCATCTGTAAGCTATCTCACTCATAGGAATTCAAAAATAGTTCGAACTCAAAGTAACGGAGTGGCTGAAACTGAAGTTCGGCAAATATCTAACGATAAATACCAGATCCGTGCACTTTGTAAATCAACAGCTTTAGACGCCGCTAAACCTTTGTCGGAAGTGACAAGGAATGCCATAAGGAGCGGTGTCGACCGTAAAATCCCGTGTGCAGCATGTTTAGCGGCTCCTGGAGTTATTGAAAACATAGCAAGAGTTTGTTTTCCTGTCAGCTTCTTACTTTTTAACTGCATTTATTGGGTGGTATATCTGCATATTTCAAAAAAGAAGCCGGAAGATATGACCGATTTTGTTCCCATCTGAGGTATTCTCCCCTTCATTCTCCTCTGTCACGTGATCCATCAAAAATAAAGCTTTACATCATTTCTGATATTAAAATATTGCTACATCGATAAACAATTTTTTGGCGTTTTGTTTAATTAGACATGACAAGCAACTGACTCCCAAGAGAAAACCATCTTTTTTTTTATCGGAAACTCATCCTTTTTGTGATATTCTGATATGATTTGATGATCAGAGTGTTATTTGTATGCTGAAAGAGAATGGAAAAAAAACGGATAGAGTATTACCCTTTAAAGTACTAACTGCTTCTTGCATAAGGCTTAAATATAAAGTGACACCGTATGGTATGTGACGTTTATGAAATACCTCAAGAAAGAGAGACAGCTCAATTAAGGTTGAATAAATAATTGAAAAAAAAAATTCAAATAAGCCGTTTAGGTTTACTCGTTTTAAAAATTGTATTTAAATATTCATAAAGGCTTAAATAAATACAAATATTATTGACGAAAAGGAAAAAAAAGGTCATTTTACGTAGTTTATTGCGAAAGTCCGGTCGCAAGTGGAAATTCGACAAGGATTCAATCAATATTTACAAGCGCACTAAGCCAAGTTGCTATCGATCGAATAACAAACAATGTTAATTTCTTTTTTCCTTCTATATATCTTCGAATTACGTGATATTCAGTCATCATCGAATTTCGATAGATGGCGTTTTTCTATTAAACTTTTTTCATTTAATCCAATATTTGTTTATATATAACATTATATATAATTTTGTTGTATTAAAATCCTTAAAACTAATAGGCTAAACGTTATTCTTTGTAATCATAGGAAACTACTTTTTTTCCCTCCCTACTAAAGATGCAATTAATAAAAAAATTTCTTTCCTTTTCAATCAAATCAATCACTACTCATTTCTTAACTAAATTTTATTACCTTTTCTCATAATTTAATAGAAACTATGTTTATTTATATAAATATCTAATATTTGTTTATATTTATATATGATTTATTATCCTATTGTTGAAAGAGAAATTTAGTGGGAGGAAAAGAGAAAAGATCTTTCTTCTTGCATAAGCAATTGAAAGTCCTTCGTTCGGTCGAATGATCCTATCAGCAAGACTAGAATTACCCCAAAGAAAATTTTCTGTGTAATGCACTCCAGGTCCCGTTTGGGGAGTAGTTATCCTATCAAAGGGAATGATGATAAAAGTTCGATAGGAAGATGTCAACAAAATCTTTATTAAACAGTTTCTTAATAATTTATAGATATTTTTAACTATTCTTTTAATGTTTAGTGTAAGAAAGCAAGAAGACAGGATTTTTTATGCTAAGCTATTTATATCTTCATAAATCTTCCCTCTCTGTCTCTTTTTGTCCTCCTCCCTCCCACTCTCTCTCTCTCGCTCTCAGTGCTATAAACTTTATCTACCATCTTCTATAGACAGTATACTATATAAGAATATACTATATATGTACATATATTTATTTATTTAAACATTTGTAATATAAAGCGTTGAGTGTTTAATAGGAAAAACTCTTCAATTACTTTAGGTTCTGCACAAGTTTTAGAATATCTTTTGTTGCCGAAAAAGGATAAAAATAATAATAAAAAAACAACAAAGAAATGTTTAAAGGAAAAAGCCTCTTGAAAAATAAACAACTATGACCTAAATACATCTTTTATCTTTTAAAAATACATACTTGCATATATATTAAAATTTATACCTCTTAATAGGCCAATTCCTCTTACCTTATCCTTTACCTTTAAACCGTTAATAATAAACATATTTTTAATTTTTATATTATTAATTTGAAATAAGGCATTAAACTTAATTAATGCTTTATTTTAATTAACGTATTGTTTATTAGCTGTTTCTTACCTTTTCAAGCTGTTTGAATTATTCTAAATTTGGTATATTGATGGATATTGGAGACATTTCATTTGAAAATTTGATAACAAACTAATTCCGATCGCCCCTGGGATAAATTCAAATTTAGAACTTGTAGTTTATTTGCAATCAAATATAACAATATTCATATTTTGCAAGGGTATTTGCTTTCCTCGTTCAACTGATAATATTATATAATAAGATAAGATAAGCCTCTTATTAATTCAGAGGACGAGTTCAAGGCAAGACAAACACAAAAAATTGATCTCTTCTTTATCAGTTACGTAAGAGAATGCCATAAGATAGGCGATTAGTTCTGTATGTACAGAACACAATGTACCATTAGTGGACAAAAGAAAGCGACCTCGTCACATAGCCTGTTGCGGCTCCTTGACATTTGCTTAACAACATATTGGAATAAATTATGCAAATTCCTCAAATTTCGTATCCAGGGTAGAAATGTAAATAATTAGCACAGAGATAAGAATACATCCTTATTCCACCCCTGAAAATCTGTTTATTATCTTTTTTATCATTATGAATGATTAAGATTGTAGATACAATAGATTAATTACTAATTTTTGAATTAATTGCTCAAGAATTATAATAACATTTATAACGACATTGTAGATTTATCGGATTTGATTATAGGCTAAGGCAATTAAGTCTATAAGCTCTTACGTTATTCGCTATAACTCTTAGGTAAAATTATCTCCAAGGCTAAATAAAGAATTAGTGCGTGGACTTGGTATCGTTACGTAAGAGTTTAATGACCAAAAAAATAGTTTTCGGCCTATTAGGATGTCCAAAATTAGTTTAAAAAATTTGTATAAAAGGCTCCAAGTTGCTTCAAATCAGCACGAAGCAGTGTTTGAGGCATAATCATGAAGCAGTCGGCACTTTTGCTTTTAGTTTCTTTAGCATTTACTGGTAAGTAAAAATACAGAATCAGATTATTTATTCAATCAGAAAAAATTTATTAAATCATAAATTTCACAGCTGCAATCGACTATTCTACTCTTCCCGAAATCTCCTACAAGGGCAGAACTTTGGGATCCACTGACAGACTTATTTACAAGTACGAAAATGACATTTTGAACGGAATCAATGGCGTATCTGAACAATATGCTGGACTTAAAATCAGAGCTGACTTGGTTGTCGAAATGGAATCTGATATGGGATTCAAATGCCAATTGCAAAATGTCCAACTTTTGGGCGTTAAGCGCATGGAATTACCCACTCCATTCGATCAACCAATCAGAGGTGAAATGACTCCTTTGACCAACGTTGATGAATTGATCGAACAACTTGAATTGCCCTTCGGAGCTAAATTCACCGAACAGAGAATCGTCTCTGGCCAAATCTATTGTCACAGACAAGACACTGAATGGTCCAGAAACGTAAAGAGATCCATCATCTCTACTCTCCAAATCAACGTTCCACAATACAAACTCAAGGAAAACCAACTCGTCAACTTCGAAGAACGTGATGTTGTTGGAACTTGCGAAAGCAGCGTTGTTGTCTCCAGAGTCAACCCTGAAGATGAGACCGAAATCGCTTTGACCAAGGTTCGCAACTTTAACAACTGCCGCAACGCCGAAGTTGCCCCAATCTACAAATATTCCTTGTCTGGTGTTTCTATGTGCAATGATCTCCCAGAAAGAAGCTTGGAATGCAAATACCAAGTTGTTCCATCTAACAGAGTTGAATACAGACTCCGTAGAGTTAGCGGAAACTCCAAATGGGAACATATGTTCACCGCTGTTCAACAAAAGACCGTCTACTTTTTGCCAATGACCCAACAAACCACCACCACCATGGCAATCTATGGTCTCCAAAGATTCATGTTGGAAACTATCCAATCTGAATCCAGAAGAGAAACCCCAATCCCAGAATTGGAAGAAACCACCTACAGACGTTACGACATCGAATTTGAAGTCAACGAAAAACAATTGCTCCCAGAACAAATTGTTAAGGAAACCGAACTTTCCGAAACTGAACAAGAACAATTGGTAAAAACCATTGTTTCCGAAATCAATAGCCTCCACCAACACATCAGAGTTGGATCCGAAGAAGTTAAGCAACAATTGGAAAGAACTGTTGGCTTGATCAGAAAATGCACTCCACAAATGTTGACCACAATCTACAAAGAACTTTCTGAAAAAGAAAAACAACTAATCTTTGCCGACTTGCTCCCAACTTGTGGAACCCCAGAATGCGTTCAAGTTATTCTTGAAGCCATCAAAACCGAAAGAGTACCCCTCCTTAAGGCTGTCAGCTACATCAAGATGATCGCTTTGAACGCTCAACCAAACAAGAGAATCATCAAGCACATCATGGTAAGTAGGATAAACACCCTCTTTTACGAGTAAACCCAAACCCACTTAGGACTAGATCGGCATTTAGTACAGGCTCCAGGTTTGGCTGTACATATAACAGCTGGAAAATGTGTAGCCAAAGTTTGGGTCCGTATTAGAGGGCGACAACCATCAATAAGATACCCCTTATATATATATATATATATATAATTTATAGATATAGATACATATAAAGTATATATTTTTATATATATATATATTTTCTAATAGTGTACTTAGTCCATTAATTGGTATTTTTATTCCCTTGTTAGACTCTTGGACAAAACGTTGAAAAGAAGACCCTTAAGAGACCATTGATACTCGCTGTCGGTACTTTGACCAACAGACTTCTCCAAGTTTACCAAGTTGCTGGAAAGGAAGAAAAAATCATCAACTTTGTTGAAGAAATCCAAGATTCCTTGATCAGAATTGTCAAGAGCGAAACCAGAAATGTTGAACTCTGCAGATGTGCCCTTAAGGCTCTTGGAAACATGAAATGCAGCGAAAACAAATACTACGAAATCATTAAGCTTATTGAAAAAACCGAAGTTCCAAGAGAATTGAGAATCGAAGCTGTTGAAGCTTTAAGAAAGACCATTTCCACCCGCAGAGTTGAGGAAATCCTCCTCAGAGTCTTCCTTAACATTAGAGAAGATGTTGAATTGAGAATGTACGCCGTTGAAAGATTGATCGATCAACAATGCAGTCTTGAAACTCTCCAAGTTATCATTCAACACCTTCAAAACGAGCCAGACATGAACTTGCAATCCTATACTTACTCTCTCTTGAAGACTCTTTCCGAAATCGAAACCCCATCCCCAATCTACTATAAATTCATCGAAAAACTTAGACTCTTGATGATCACCAACAGACTCCCAACCTTCTCCCCAAAATACTCTCACACCTTGAAGGCCTGGAACCTCGATCTTGAATCCAAGACCGGAATCTACGCCTACTTGCAATATACCTACAGCAGAGTTTCCCAAGTTATCCCAACCTGGCTTAAACTTAAGACCTTCACCCCAACCATGGGACATTACACCAGACTTTTGGAAGTCTCCATGAGAATCCAAGGATTGAACGAATATACCGAAAAATTCCTCGGCAGAAAACTGAACTTGATCCCACAATTGTTTAGCGAAGATATGTCTTTCGAAAGACTCACTCAACTCTTTACCGATGAAGAAATGAAGATGCCAAGAGAATTCTTGAACTACTTCATGAACAACAAACATACTTACAACACCATGGATGTTAATGAACCAACCGGATTAGAGATTAACGTCCGTCTTTTCGACTACGATCTCATGTTCGCTGATTTCGAATGCCTTAAGGAAATTGTTATGGATACCATTGAAAAACTCATGTCTACCGCCATGAGAGGATCTCCCATGGAACAAGTTAAGGAAATAGTTGAAAGACTTCACCAAGGAGTCAGAATCCAAACCACCAACATCTATTCCTCCGTAAATGCCATGACTTTGGTCCCAACCCCAACCGGATTTGCTTCTGCTTGGAACACCACTTTCGCCTGGATCAGTCACCTTAATGGAAAACTCCAAATCCAAACTAGACCATCCCTCAGAGAATGTATTGAAGAGAGAAGACTCCCCCAAAAGATCGTCATCAAGACCAATGGACAAACCTTCCAACAAAGAACTATCACCTTCTTCAGAAACAAGTTGGTCAGCATGATCCCACAATTGTCCCAAGGAGTTATGTATGAAGGATTCCTCAGCACCTCCCTCCCAATCAATGGTGAATGGCAACTTGTCCAAGGATCTGATAGAAATACCTTGATGATCCAAGGATTGTACGTACCATCCACTGAACATAGACCAACCATTGTCTCATACATCAGACCAGTCACTTTCGTCGAATACCCAGAACACGAACACTTGACTCCTCTTGTATCCAAGATGACCACCGAACCATACACCATCGAAAAATTCATTGAATTGCCATACCTTGCAAAGAACTTGAAACTCCAAATCCAATCTTGCATCAGAAAGACTCCCGTATCCTCTCTTGTTCCTTTCGCTTGCCCCAACAAGATGGAACTCGTTTTGGAACCAATTGTCCCAACCCCAGTTAGATTCAGTTTGGAACTTAGACCATTCCAAACCATCCAAAGACCAGAAACCGGAGTTTACGAAACCTTGAGAAAGGCTTTGTTCGGTGAAGAAGAAGTCAAATACGCTTTGGAAGATAATGAATCCCGTATCTCTTACACTTTCGGAAGAGGCAGTGAAGGAAGAACTGTCTACAAGAACTCTCTCAGATTGAGAATCGTCCATGACACCACCACCGATCTTTCCATTGCTGAGCCTAAGGCTGATTTCACTTTCCATTGGGTCTTTACCCCTGAATTCACTCAACATCAATTCGCTTTGATGATGAAACAATCCGTCCTCCCTGAATTGTACGTCAAGGGACATTTGATCGTTCCATCTCTCTGCATGAACAGCATGTGCGAAAGACAAGAATTCGCTGGACTCACCACCTTCTTGAACAGACGCCGTGTATCCATGGTCAAATTGTTTGTTGATGATGTAGAATCAATCAACAAATTCCTCGGAATCCAAAACGAAAGATGCTTCAACAGACAAACACAATCTTTGAAGAAAATCCTTCCCGAAACCATCCGCATGAAGGTCCAGACCAGCCCAGTTGCATTGCACTTCATTCCAGAAGGACTTGTTAACACTTTGGTTGTAGCTCAAGAAACTCTTCTCCAAGGTCTCAGAAAGGTTTCCGATGTATCCCTTAGATACCTCCCATCTCTTCCCCTCACTGAAACTGAAATGTACATGAAGATGTGCCCAGCTTTGGGCAAAGTTGACATTGTTGCCAACTTGATGAAACACTCCATCAGAATCACCAACATCCGAGCTTTCCAATACTTGACTCCCCAAGTTCTTCCAGTTCCAGTTAACACTCAACCACAACCCATCCGTCAAATCTTCCCCGCCGGTCTTTCCAGATCCCTCTGTGTCAAGACAAGCAAATTTGTCAAGACCTTCGAAAATGTTGAATACCACACCAACGAAGAAACTGAATGCGAATCCGTCTTGGTCAAGGACTGCCGTCGTATGCCAAAATGGATGATCACTTCCAAGATCTTCTCTAACGCTCACCAACAAATCAATGCCTACTATGGCAACGAACAAAAACTCGAACTCGTCCCAAGCACCTGGGGAGAACTTCCAGAAGTTAGAATCAACGGAGAACGCAAAGAAATCGAAGAATTCTCTACCCTTAGAATCCCAGCCAAATACAACCCAACTTTCATCACCTGCACTAAGGAAGGAAGACAACTTGTCTGCGAATGCGAAACTCTCGGATGGAAGATTGTCAGCGACAGCTACAAAGTTAAGGTAACCGTTGCCCCAGAAATCAGAAACTACGTCTGCGGTCAATGCGGCAATGATGATGGAGTTATGGATACCGGAAAACTCACTTCCCACACTATCTCATTGAGATCAAAATGTAGAGTTGAACGTGAACCACTCAGAGAATGTCAACCAATCTACAAACACAAAGTTAGACAACAAACTAACCCAAGAGGACCAAACAAGGTCTGCATCTCCGTCCTTGCCTTCCCAGAATGCTCCAAGAACTGCCAAGTAGTCGAAAAATTCTCCAGAGGCAAATTGCAACCAGTCAAATACTATTGTATGGAGAAGGAATACGCCATCAGCAAGGGATACTTGCCAGAATCTTTCGAAGGTGAAAGCGTCGAATCTGTAGGAGATCTCGAAAGAGACAGCAGCTTTGAAGTTATGACTGAAAGACTCTTGGACGTTGTCGATACCTGCAAGGTTAGAGGATGGTAAGAAGATATCATATGAACTTAATTGGAAATGTATAATGGACTCAGCATTTTATTAAAATTTAATTGTTTTTGGACCTAAAAAGGTTACAAATGCTGTTAACGTTTAATAAAATATAAAAACAAAAATTTAGCATAAAAAAAACTAAAAAAATTGATTTTTTTCTGCTTAAATGTACTTAAGTAATAATTTTAACTTATTAAAAATAAAATTCATTTATGATCCCAAAAAAATATTAAAAAAAAAGTGTATTTTATTTTTTTCTATCGCCTGCTCCAGTAAAAAATAGATCTTCCTTTCTAGTCATTTTCTCTTATTCACTTTCCTTCTCTTTCTTCTACCTCTTCATCTACTCTCTCTTCATCTTCTTCCTCTTCATCTTACTTAAGGAAAAGCTTAATCTTGGGAAATACTCTCTTCTCTATTTGATAAACGAGCCTTAAGAACACTTTTTTGCTGAAATGCCTCTGTCATTATTTAATTTATATTGATCAAAGGAGTAATTGTTTTTTTCAATAGTAAACAATCTCGTATTAATTAGTTTTACTTGGGGGAAATCAGGGTGAAAAAGGCGTTAATAAACAAGACGATATTTACATAGAATATTGAATGGAATAAGATAAAAGTGTGATTAAGAGAGAACGGTATTTTTTATGATAGAATGCTAAAACATTTGTATGATGGGAAGGGGTCTCATCAATTTAATTCTAAAAATAGTAAATTTTCCATTCAATACGAAACAAGAATTGAATGTTAATGAAATATAATTCTTCAAACAGAAGAAAGATATTAATTAGTTTGTTAACGTCTTAAATTAAAGGGTTTTTTCTATCAATTAACATATACTTAATAGATTTCATGACAATAAATAGTATAATTGATCTTTAGATTTTTTTCCTGTGATGGCAAATTGACGTAATTTATATTTACCGTTAAATAAGGATTTATCGGTAAATATGACAACATTCTTTTAGTAAGAAAATTTAATATAATAAAAGAGATATACTGTATATAGTATACTTTATATATACAAATATTAATATTGCAGACCGTACACAGTGTATTATATAAAATTTTATTAACAATAAGACGATAAATTAGATTCGAACTATGATAGTTCTTTTGTATTTTCAAACAGAATAGGTGAATTAATGAAAAAAAAGAGAAGGGAAATAGAAAGAATAAGGGGAAATTACTTTAGAAAAGTTTGTTATTGGAAATTTAGTAAAGGTTCGATAAATGTTTACAAAAAGACTAAGGGCAAAGGTTCAATTGATCGAAAAATAAACATTGTTAATTTCCTTTTGTCGACACATACAAATCCCTAAATTTAAGTAGATTCCAATATTTTTATTTCTATTGTATTCCGACAGATGGTGTTTTGCAAACTCTGATGAATGGCTTTTTAAGGAATTCTCTAAAATCTAGATTAAAAATTAAAAACGAAACAGGAGTACCTATAACACTACAATTTAATACTGAAATAGATATTAAAGAAACACTAGTCATAGATTTGTAAAGTCCTTCTATAATAAATGGAGACAACGATATTAGAGAAAAACAACTTAAGGTAAATAAAACTTTTGTGGCCTTAATTGACTTTTTTACTGTTTCGAATTTACTACTATTAACTTTATGCTTGACTAAACATATCTTAAATATGATAAATGTATAAGAAAAACATTGTAAAAAAAGACAGATGGCGATATGAACAGCTAGAAGTTGAATAGCAATGCATGTTTCGAAGTAGCAAGTCCATGTTGCAATATTCCGACTTTCTGCTATGCAAATACAAACAATATAAATCCCAAAGACAGTAGTAAAAAACTTTCTATATTTATTTATAGATGATATTAAAAGAGTGTGATACAATCTATCAAATGCAATTATAGTCTGCAAACCAATAGTAACAACTAGTCCTATAATTGATGCTAAATTACCTGCATAGGAAGGAATTTCGTCTGTAAACTAAATAAATAAAAGAAATAGTTAATGACAAAAAAGATTAATAGATTTATATAAATAATCTTTCAATACTAATGGTAGAAAACTCACAAATTCCATAGTTGTGTTCCTCCAGGCAAAAATTATTCCCGAAGAATTTATACTTATAATAGTTAATATTAGTAATACAACTGATAGAGATAAGATACAATTCATAAGTAAGTATATAATTATTATCCATTTTGAAAAATTATCATTGAATTTCTTTGAGACTTTCACAAGAAATATAATTAATAGAAGAGAACCAAAAAAGCCAAGTAGATTACTGAACGTCGCAAAAATTTGATAAAATATATTATTGAGTTTATTAAACCTTACAGATAAAATATTGCTTTCTGTTGTATTTATGATAGTTTCTGTCATAATGTAAGAAAAAAAATACCATAAAATATTCTTATAAGTCATTATATAATAAGTTTATTATAAAATGTGTAAATATAAATCCATTATTATAATGGCATTTAATGACTCCATTGACAAGAAATACGGAAAGTTGTTTTTAAATTGAAGTTTTGAATATTTTATATTGTATTTAGTTATTATTAAATATATATATATACATGTATATGTATATATAATGTATATTTAAATGAATTGTATATGTACGTATATTTACATGTGTATATATGTCAATACTTGTATATTATATCTATATTTACGTAAATATCCTCCGAGTTAAGAACATATATATACTAGCGAGCTTGAACAATCAAGTATAAAATAAAATTTTATTTGATAGATGTCGCTTTCGACTTAGATAATCGATCTAGTTTCATATAGGTATTAACGATCAATACTTTCACGCTCTCATCTTGTTCCACTTTGTTAGGAGGACCCCTTTGAAACAATAGAATAGGAAGGAACTATTCGATAATATAGATTAGGTAAGGTTAATCAATTTAGCATTGATTCATACAGACTCCACCCATTCTTTTTTACTCTTCCATCTGTATATAAATATATTATATATGTGCTTGCAAACATTCTCTCACTCATTTATTAAAACTGGACAACGGCTTAAACAAAAGCCACCAAAGTTCTTAAATGAACGATAAAAATGATTCAGTTTCTAACGATTCTTTTTCTTCATATGACGACAATGAAGATGATAGTACCAGGGTTGTATTTATGGAATTACACGAGGCAGCAGCTAACGGAGATTCAGAAAAATTGGCCGATATTATCCAAGTAAGATTTGACTAAATTATACCGTAATCATGGGCACAAGTAGATATAAAACACTTTAAAGGACTTTGCCAGCTGATTCAATTTCAGTTTGATATTGGTTACTACTTAAAAACAAATAAACTTATTGTTTGTTTATTGATAACGCTTTTTTATCTACAGTTAGGAAAACATAATATTAACGAGGCTGATCAAGATTGGAATGGAAAAACTCCGCTACACTGGGCCTGCAGCAAAGGGAATTTAGATTGTGCCAAAGTCTTACTTTCATCAGGTGCTGATTCAAGTCCAAGAATGCACGGAGGATGGACACCAGCTCATTCAGCAGCCGAAACTGGTAAACTGCAAATTTTAAAGTTACTACAGACTTATAAAGCACCTTTAAACCTTATTGACGATTTCGGAGACAGTCCAAAGAGAATTGCTCAAACTTACGGTCATACGGAATGCGAACAATTTTTGCAAGCGTAAATATATACGATAACCAACAAATTGTATTCGTTCATATTGTTAATTGTATATTTTATACTTTCAGAATTGAAAAGGAACAGGATATTAATCAATAAACTCTAGTACTATATATAAAAGGCATATTTCCGAGACTTTCCACAAATCGAGTCATGCAAAAGGATCTTTGAAATCCATGACCCCTCCTCTTTGATAATCCTTTATAAAGATCTTTACCACGAGTACTTTTTAAATCTCCTTTTACTAATAAAAATGCTTCTGTGCATTGGCATAATTCTGCTATCATAAAACTCATTGCTATATCTTCACAAGCCTGCCATCTATCAATGACGTCTTTCCATTTTAAAACATATGTCTGATAAAGTACGTAATAATTCCTATGAAGGAAGATTGAGTTTGCAAGAATAAACGAAGATCGACCCCGTCGAGGAGCACCAACATATTCGAAAGTATAAGGTGCCAATATATTATAACCCCTTGCCTGAAATCCTATCATCTTTAAAGGGTTCTTCTATCAAGGAATAAGCAAATAAGATCTTATATATACTGTATAAATATAAACGTATATATATAAATATATATAGACACATTTCCTTTACCTTCCATAATTCAAATGCCTCAGTAAATGAAGGTTCTGATATAATTACATCATCGTCTATATTGAACACAGCTTTTGTAGTTATCTTTGGAAAAGGAAAATAACGAAACCTAATCAAATTAGGCATATGATAAAACCAGACATCTTTCGCCAAACATGATTTTTGGTGTGAGAATGTTGTATAATTAAGATATTCTTCCTTATCTGGTCTTTCTTCGTTAAACCAAACAACAATTATAGTCTCAACATTCTTAAACTTGCAAAAGTGTGACAAAGATAGATGTAAGGCCAAAGGGCGCTTAAAAGTGGGTATAACTAATGAATAAGTCGTTTCATTTGTAGTAAAATTATTTAATCCATCATACGAAACGACTTCTGGATTTTTTACGTCAAGTTTACGAAAATCAATTACAAAGTCATCGACTTTGTATTTAAGAGGTTTTTGTTTTGAAAGTTGCGGAACGTCAAATAATTCCTGCTTTTCTGTTAAAGTGGAACTAACATCTCCATCAAACAAAACTTCTTTGTCCTATTAACAATAGTAGGAAACAATATTTAGTGAAATAAGTCATTTAAAAATAGCTTTTATATATAGATAAAAAATTATTGATTTACCTTCCAAAACGTCTCTTTAATTAGATAACAAAACGATATAAAGCCATAAATACTAAAAATCCATAAAAAAATTGTGACTAAAAAAGACGCTCTTGTCTTCATTTTATATGCAGATGAAAATTATCTAATTTCATATAAACAAATAGTTATCAGCATCTTAAGTCTTTCAATATGAAAAATATGTACTTTAACAGTTAAAAAACAAGCCAATAACGTCTATCTTGATAAATAATGCTCGAGTATCAACATCTTATGATATTTTCATCAATTTCATTAAAACTGTCTGTAAAGGATAGTTTAATTTTATATTACATTAATAAGTATATTTGAAATGATATTCAGGTGAACGTCTAAAATATTCACTGTTTTATATTATTAGTATTGAAAAGTAAAATTGATAATGAATAATCAGAATTCCTCTTCCTTAATCCTTAAATGTTTAATTGTTTAGTGTATTTATACAGTATATCTTTATGTATAATTAATATGACTCTATTCATATACTGTATATGAATCTAAATAAATCTATGATTCCTTTTTCTGACTGGGAAGTTGAACATAACAATGAAAAGTTACAATTTAGTAAATGAATTATAAATTTGATAGATAGTTTAGGTTGTTTTCTCTGGTGAACAGACACTCTATGTCGTTTTCGTTAGCTAAAACACTTGATTGAATTATTCGATACTTCTCTATTCACTTAGTGCTTGAATATATTAAGTATAATTTCTAAGAAATAGAGGAATATCTATTATTGACAAATTAATTGCAATAACAAGTTTTCGCGCGTATGTGAGGTTCTAGCAAAAAATATAAATGAATGTACACACACCTGATTTTTCTGTCTGTATTAATTTCTCCTAATATTTGTGTTGTTTAGAAAATTAATATTAGTATCGATGCTGTATGATAACGTTTAAGATAGCATTTGTAATATTACTTGACTTATTCATATATTACGCCAGATTCACGTGCTCACCTATACAATATACTTTCAATTTATAACAATTAAAATAGTTCTTTAAAAATATATTTATATCAGACTTTTCTAAAGTTATTAAAAATATTTTATTGATTTTAAAAAATACAATTTTTGTTTTCTTTCTATTGTCAAAATGTTATCGAAAAATGTTTATTTAACATAAGCGCGCAATAATGGAAACGGTAAAGTAGTTCCGTGTTTCCGTTTCTGCCGTTGGAGCCATTACTACCTTTTTTACGCTCAAAAATAATCAACATGGCAGATAATTCTCAATCAAATCCTTTAACTACACGAAATTTTTCAAAGGTAATCATATCCTTGGAAAATATATTACTACCGAAAGAGAAATTATCACCAACGCCGTCTGAATTGGACGGGCTAGAGCCTGATATTGAAATTCAATTAAGAGTTTTAGGATGTGAACTAATACAAACTTCTGGAATTCTTTTGAAATTACCGCAAGTATGTAAAAATATACCTTAATATATAGTGTTTAAGATGTCAATTTTTAATCTTTGATTATTATTCAGGTGGCAATGGCTACTGGGCAAATCCTTTTTCAAAGGTTCTATTATTCCAAATCATTCGTTCGACATAACTTCGAGGTATTTGTGTACATTTTTATATAATACCCGCATTATGTTTAAAAAATATACAAATTTTTTCAGGTAGTAGCCATGGCTTGTATTAATTTAGCTTCTAAAATAGAAGAAGAACCCCGTCGAATAAGAGACGTAATTAATGTTTTTCATCATATAAAGCAGGTTAAAGAGGGAAAGTGAGTTGAAGAAGCCTTGATTTTTCGTTCTGTAACTAATACAAAGTTTTTACTTTACTAGATCGATCGAACCGATGATTCTTGATCAAACATATGTCAATTTGAAAACCCAAGTTATTAAGGCGGAGAGACGAGTATTAAAAGAATTAGGCTTTTGCGTTCATGTCCAGCATCCACATAAGGTGAGCTTTGATTCTTCTAAGGGATTCTAAAAGAAATTGTATTAAAATATTTACTTATCGTATATCGACAATTTTATGCAGCCATCCCAGACTTGAAAGATCAGTAGAAAAAGCGAAGCATCTTTCAATCAGTTTTTTTTGCCTATTTTCCGCCCACAGTAAAATTCTTATATTGAAAAATCATAACCTTAGCTGAAATTTTCCAGATTATAGTGGTATATCTTCGAGCTCTTCGACAACAAGAAAATAATTCATTAGTACAATCTGCTTGGTAAGTTTCTATTCTAAATATTATGAGACCCTGTCCATCGTTACTCGTTGCCTAGTTTAAAGCTGCTTCCAATCTTTCGAAATCAGCTAACAAAAAAAAAACGAAAAGGAAATTGTAATTTCAATATGGTCTTCGCATAACAAAAAAATACATAGATATATATTTATATATTTATATATATATAATTATGTTCGTAAAAGACATTAGATTAGTATATTTATATTTGGTCGAAAATGGAAGTAGCATGTTAAAAAGTATTTAAAAAAAAAAGTTAAAATTTGATTGTTCAATGTTGACTTTATGGCTTTTACCTAACCAGTTAAACAAGAAAAGTTGTGGCGAAATTGAGCGATTCTCCCCAATCATGATTTGGTGCCACATCAAGATTTTCGACATCTTTTCTGGTGTATCAGGTGGTCCTGTACGCCTAGCACAGATTCATTTCTTTCTAATAATATTACAGTAATCTATTTTGTCTTATAGCTATTCCTACAAAAACTATTATTCAAAATCGTAATTTTTAAAGATAAGGATTTACGGTAAAGTATAATCATTTGCTTGAATGTTGCCGTTCAAAACATTTGAATGACAGTTTTTTTTGTAAAACATGTGATAGATGTTTTACCTTAGCAACGCTTTTTAAAGATCTACGTATTCAATAATTAAAACATGCTTAGAGCAACCTCAAGAGGAGTGCTAAAGCTCTCAAACTTCTCTTCTCCGACTCAGATGATGTCAGGTAAAGACAGATATCTTTCTATTATTTAATTGCCTATTCCTAGATAAGACGGACGAGACTTGAAAATATTTTTTTTAATTTAAAAAAGTTTTTATTATTTTCCTTCAGCTGGAAAGACATTGTATATTTTCTAATATAAAATAGATATAGTAAATCTTTAGATGGCGATGCAAAGGTTGAATATCTCTTTTCTATGATGTGAAAATTCTGCTTGTGAATAACCCAATACAGGGTCTCTTAACGCATTATAATTACTTGGCAGAAGAATATGTTTTTGCACGTAAATTATTTACCCACAGGAATTATATGAACGACAGTTTGAGGACGAATTTATGGCTTCGATATAAGCCAGAAAGTATAAGCTGCGCCTGTATATTTCTGGCTAGTCGAAATATGCAGGTTCCCCTCCCCAACTCTCCGCCATGGTACCGAGTTTTTGGAGCAACAGACGCTGAAGTAGAAGATATCGCACTGACAATACTTAATCTATACGAATTGAAACGCATGACGGCTGATTTTTTAGAAGAAAAAGTTAATGCTGTTAAAGCTATAATAGCCGAAGCAAAAATGAAAGCCAAACTGTCAAATCTGGCTGTAAACGGAACAAATGATGTCATTGCTACACCTCCAAGTGCAGTTAATAGTAGTCCAGAGAAAAAGGAAACTCCCAAGCAGAATGGTACCAATACGAGTGATAAAAGTGACCATAGCGACAAACCAGTTAAAGAAGATTCTGAAAAAGAAAAAACTAAACCACTTGAAGAAGAAAGAAAACCAAAAAAGCGCAATTATCATTCGCGTAGCAGGTAATATTTATACTCTATGATGAACTATTTTTATTAAATTTCTTTTATCAAAACTTGTAGTAAAACGAATATATTCATGAGGTCATTATTAGTTTAGCGGGCAGACTAAAAATGCCTCCTATCTAACGGTTTCTCATATTCGTCAAATATTTTATAGATCTCGATCACCTCATGCTAGACGACGCGAATCGCCCAGAAGAAAATGGGATGATGGGGGTCACAAGAAAAGCCGATATCGTCGTCATTCCTATTCGAGATCTCCTCCAAGAAGTTCTAAGTCCAAGAGCCATCACTACAGTAGCAGGCATTCGCCAGGTTCATCGAATAGCAAAAAATACAGAAACGGCTATAAACGATAAGGTCAAAGATTATGTACATTTTAAAAACCTGATTGTAAAAATTTGTTAAGAAAGCTTGTTTGATATATGATAGAGAAATTTTCATTCTCCGTCAAAGTCCAGAAATGTCTGTTCTTATTTTTAAAAAAAATATCTTAATGCATTTGAATCATGTAAACGCATCATCTAAGGCTTTAAATACATAGGTAATTCAAATTAAGTTTATTCAAACACACAAATTCAAAGAACTTAAATATATTTGTTTTCATCTTTGTTAATATTGTATACTGTTCATATTTTCAAGATTTGTTTTTCAAAGATACAATGAATCTTAAAAATCGATAAATGATTAGAGACACATTGATTATACTTAACTAAACAGTATATCATTAATATAGATGGCGTTACATTGGACGCAAAAATATACTTGTTCAAAGATAAACACTTAATTGTGCAGCCAGCTCTTGATGACTAACATTTTTGGTATACGTCGTCTGCTAGATCGGTCACAGTAATTGAACTCTCCCTTTGCATTATGAACTGTGTTTTTTCATATTAGTTTTTAGTCGAAGTAATGTTTCATTCATTAAGGAGCGCTATTAAAGTAAAAAGCATAGTCATTATTGAAGCAACAGCAAACATGTCAACTGCGAGAATTCCAGCGATCAATCTACCTTGCGGTATGAAACTTGCAGCTCCCTTTTTCGGAAAGGAAAGGGAAACATTTTCTTCGTGCAAAGATTTACCACCTCTCCCAATCCCACCCTTAAAACATACTATGGAAAGATATTTAGATTCAGGTAATAAATAAATTATTTCACTATTAATTCAAGTTGTATTGAATAGAAAAATAAACAGCAAAACAGCAATGTTTTCGAGTCAACTTTTCTTTTTTTTTTTTTACATATATTACATATATCTCTTTTCTGCCAACTGTCCAAGGACTTAGAACTATTGAAACAGTAATTGTAACACAAAAAAATAAAACAAGGTTAATCGATAAGTTAACTTTATCCAAAAGAGTAATGTGCCTTTACTCGATAAGGTGCATTTATCATTTGATAAAAACTTTAAAAAAACATAATACAATTTAGAAAAGTTTCATAAAATATTAATCTATTTCATTTTTAAACTTTTAGTAAAACCCTTTTTAAACTCAAGCGAATTTGAAAAAACAAGTAGACTTGTTAAAGAATTTGAATCCGGTGTGGGACAAGAGTTAAATCTAAAACTTCATGAAAGAGCTAAATATCAAAAGAATTGGGTATGTCAATACTCTTTTTATTCCTCTCTTTATACTGTATATAAATTATATAAAGGTATATTTAAAATTTTTAATATGCTATTAATCGTTCTAGCTCGAAAAATGGTGGGAAGATGTAGCTTATTTAGAATCGAGAATGCCTATTGCTCCTTTTGTAAATACTTGTGGACCTGGTAACAAATTAGCTTTTGTCTTTTGAATTAATGAAACTAATAGATTTTCCTTTAAGGTGCCTTTGCTGATGCAAGCTTTGCATCATCAGTTGAAGGACAGATACCTAGAGCTGGTCTTGCATTATGGTATTGTCTTCAATTTTGGAAATTGCTCAAAAAGTATGTGATTGAAAGTCCCTTTAAAATATCTTAATATACTATAAATCTAATATTATGAGTTAATTCACTCAGGGAGGCTCTGACAGTTGACAGAGATTCTGAAGGAAACCCATTCTGTATGAATCAATTCTATAGATTATTCAATTCGTGCAGAACTCCTCATAAAAACATTGACAAAATAAATGTCCATTTTAAAAGTGGTAAATTATAAATATCTTCTATTGTTTATTATTTAACGCCCAGTATAATCTCTTTTTAATTGTAACTATTAACTTTAGAAACTGAAGGATTTTCGCCAACGCATCTTACCATAATTTGTAAGGGTAGAATTTTTACTGTTCAAGTAATCGATGAAAGTGGAGAACCTTTTAATGTACCTGAATTAGAACAACAAATGCAAAAAGTTAGAAATTACTGTGATAGTAGGCCTTGGGGATCATCAATTGGAGCCTTAACGTCAATGGATAGAGATGAATGGGCTAACGTAATATTTGTTATAATTCGATTACTTTCAACTAATTGTACTTTTGTATCTTTTAATTTCTTTCATTTATTTAGTTAAGAAAACATCTTATTGACCTTGATAGAGCAAACGAAGATCACTTAAAGGTTATTGAAACATCTGTTATGAACATGGTATTGGATGAAAAAGAACCAAATGATTTAAGTGAAGTAATTATTATAAAAATACTCTTTGCCCTCTTTAACCTTAAACTATAAAGTTTACTTTTAAAAGGTATCTTTAGAGGCTATTGGAGGCGATTGCCGTAATAGGTTTTTTGATAAATCTACATCAATGATTTTCTTTAAAAATGGTAAAAACTGCTTAAATAATGACGTAAGTAAATTTATTTCCATATCGTATCTTCTTTCAAAAAACTATTGAAGATTTATATATTAATTATTCTTTAAATAGCACGCACCTATGGATGCAATGACTTTTATTGTTATGGCAAATTTTTCAAATATAAGTCACGCTTTAAACGGTGGCAAATGGATAGTAAGAGAAATTTCTTCTTCTTCTTCTTCTAATATTCATGATATTAATATTCAACAATATACATTTCACCTTAGGGAACAAAAACCATACGTAAAGACCTACCCGAACCTAAAGAATTAGAATTTACAACAGATAGAAAAATAGAGAATTCTATTAAGAAAGCAATTGACGATTTTGATGAAGCGGTATATTTTAACGAACAATAAATTAATTCATGCCCTAATTACTCTTTCTTCTTCTTTTAGTGTAATAATATTGATTTAAAATCTGTGATTTTTGAAGAATTTGGTAAAACGGAATTGCGCAAGTACAAACTTCATCCAGATACTGTTGTTCAACTTGCTCTACAGTTAGCTTATTACAAAATGACTAAGAAGTAAGTAAAGGAAATACAAATAATAATATTTATAATTTATTTCATCTATTTTCATCTTTTATAGGCCAGCACCAACATATGAAACTGCAACTACTAGGAAGTTTTATCATGGACGGACGGAAACCATTAGATCTTGTACCGCTGAAGCGTTAGAATTTTCCAAGAGTTTCGTCAACGGGCAACATAATGCACAACATCTTCGAAAATTATTAATGAACGCTATGAATAAGCATAATCAATTGAGAATTGAAGCGCAAAACAATTCTGGTTGTGATAGGCATCTTTTTGGTTTAGCATTAATAGCTAGGGAAAATAATTTACCTTTACCTGATTTGTATTTTGACGAAGCTTTCATAAGAAGTGGTGGTAACGGAAATTACAAATTATCAACCAGTTTTGTTGGATATACACCAATTTATGGGGGTGTTGCTCCTATGTGTGAAAATGGATACGGTTGTTTTTACTCAATGACAGGAAACAGGTAAAAAAAGAATTTTTAATTAAAACTTGAAAATAGTATTTAACTTTTTTTTTTAAAAAAAAAAACAACCACAGAATTAAATTCTTTTGTACAAGTTGGAAACAAGACGAGGAAACGAATACTTCGCTATTTATTAATGAATTATTCATTTCTCTAAAAGATATCATGAAAATTATAGAAACTACATCTTCAAATCTATAAAAATAGGACGAATGAATGCTCTTTATAAGCGAATTATCTCCAAATTTTTCTCCTTGACAAACGTAATTTCAACAAAAAAAAGAATAACATGAAAGAGAGAAAAAAATGGAGTTTTATATAAAAAAAAAAACATAAACGAAAACTAATTTACATTGATTTGACAAGAAAATAACTGTTTTTAATGTAATAAAATATTTTTTTTTTTAAAAAAAAACTTAACCGAAAAATAAAAATAATGAAAATACAGTTTATTTGGCAGTTATAATTTGGAAAATTTGAATTAGAAATGGTTAAAAATTAATTCGGTAGATAGTACTCTTGAAAGATAACGAATTTTGAAGTTAACAAAAAATATGAAACGTACATGATAATCTTGTTTTTTTATTGATTCATTCATCAAAAACGTATTCTTTTTTTATTTAATTCAATTTATTTTTAGGCTATAGTTATCTATAAGTCGTCTATGGATTACTTGTAGCTGTGAGATAATTTATCGTAACTAGGCGGCGCTCTAATCATTCTTAAAATTAATAACGTGACATACTGTAAAAACGCCTTAATAGCCATTATATATTGGATCTCTATTTTAATCTTTATTCATTTATTATCTTTGAGTATCATTTTGGATTAATAACAAACGCGAATGAAGCGAGAGATGAACCAAATGCAATTATTAGGATTGTCTATTTGAAAGTAAGTACCCTATATACGCATTTTTTTCTTTCGAAGCAAAATAAACAGTAATTAATCTAAATGTAAAAAATAAAAAGCCATAAATCTTTGACCATAACAAAAGCTAAAAGGTTTAAAAAGGAAAGAAACAATATTGTATTTAACACTTGTAACTTTAGGTAAAGACTGGAATGCTTTAAAAATTTTATCACGTTTTAATCTTGTTTTATCAGTGAGAGATTTATAAACTTATTTTATTATATTATATAAAATATGAACAAATTTACATTCTTTAGCAACCTGCAGAAATCATTTATGTCCAACTATGGCAGAGGAGACGGAAGGAGAAAGAAAAGTTGAAATGCGAAATAAAAAATCTCCATCGTTCAAAGCTATAAGAGGAAGCTTGAATTGGCTTTATAACATTGAAGATTTTAACTTGAATAAAATTGGAGAAGGATTCTTTTCTATTGTCTACAAGGTAGTATTATCAAGTGTTATTGTTTCTTTTGCTTTTTCGTTTGCAAATAGAAAAAGGTAGGCATAAAACAAGATTGAAAAAAAAGAAAAAAAAACAAATTTAATATAATAGCTAATTAATTAATTAATTTAAACAAAAAAAGATTAAATATTTATTACATTTAATAGGCGTATATATATATATATATATATATATATAAAAGGAGGAAGTTTACCGCTTTAATTTGTGGTTGAAGTTTAATTAAAATGGAAAAATGATTTAAATAATCATTTAAAACACACTTTTGTTATTAAATTATTATATGTTCACCAATTTAATCAGAAGACTAACTATATATTAAAAAACTCTATAATGTATTAATAGATTGTAATATTTTCTAATTTGACAAAATTTAACACCTCTTCCTATCTCCTTCTGTCTCTTCCTTTCTTCTCAACTTCCCTTTCGTTTTGATCAATCAATAAAACTATGCGACGTTTTAAAATAGCTAGAAAAAAAGGGAAAAAAGTTAATATCTCCACGTATTATATGATAGTCTTTTTCTTTTCATGTTTTCTCATTTATAACCTACTTTTAAACCACACATATGAAATGTATATTTTGTCAATGTTTCAGTACGTTACACTAATGCCACACCCTTTTTACAGTTACAGATTGAGAGAAAAAAGCATCTCTGTAGGATTTTACCTATAAAATAAAATTCTATAATCTCTCTCTCTCTCTCTCTCTCTGTGTAGTTTAATGGGAATATTACACAATAAGTATATATACAGTATATACTGTATATAATTCCTTTTTAATTTAGTCTTCCTTGTTATATCAACAGAGCCTTCGATACTCTTTCTTTCTTTATAAAAATAGTCTATAGTTCCTCTCACGTAATACAGACTTTCATTATTTTCGCCAAAACCTTTGCTTTATGAAACATTCCATGGTTTCAGGCTGTAAATCAAGAAACATCGGAAAGCTTGGTTCTAAAGCGTTTAAAGATGAAAGAAGAGAATCCTAAACGATTCGCCCTGCATTACAGAACAGCCTTGAATGAAATTGAACTATTACGAAAACTTTCTCATCAAAATGTCATCAAATTGAAAGGAGTTTGTACAGAGAATGGCCATCTTCATCCTCTCACGGAACTTATGGATGGAGGCTGCCTTGAGTCGGTCATTTTGGATGACAATAGAAGTCTTGCCTGGAGCACTAGACTACATTTGGCTTTAGACATTGCCAGGGGTATGAAATATGTGCATAGCAAGGGATACATACATAGAGATTTAACAGCCAGTAACATTTTATTAAGAATGACTAAGAGCAGAGAAAAACTACAGGCAGCAGTTGCTGACTTTGGTCTAGCAACTAGAATCCCAAAGAGAGGTTTTCGTTTACCTACTGTTGGTTCACCGTTCTACATGTCTCCAGAATGCTTGAACTCTAAATTTTACGATGAACGAACAGACGTTTTCTCTTTTGGTATTATTCTGATACAGTTGATTCTAAGGTGCGATTCGGATCCCGAAAGGATTGCAAGAACAAATGCTTACGGTCTTGACTATATCGAAGTTGGAAAGAAAGTCAAAGGGACAAAATGTCCCTTGGCATTGTTAGCCGATGCATTTTACTGTTGTCAGGTTGATCCCAAGGAAAGACCTAATTTTTCGAAACTATCACTTGATTTGGGAAGATTATTAAATTCTCCCAATTATCAGGAAATAGTTGCAGATCAAGAGTCTTTATCCGAAAATGTTCGGTCAACATATTTGAAAAAGATTGCTGATAGTATTAAAAGTAAAAACAACGTAGGCCAAAAGTTACCAGGTGGTCATCTAGTTTCGTTGACCGCTTCCGTTATTGGTGATCTAATGTCTGAATTAGATACTGAATATGCTCCTACTATATTAGATAGAAGTATATTTGAATTAAAATTCCAACGAAGACAAAAATTTCTACCTGGAAGTACGTCAAGTGATGAGTTCCTGTGGAGAAGTATGGACGATTTAGAAAGTTCTTTAAGCTCTCTTTCGGATAATGAGGCTGTATTCCAATGGAATAATTCGGCAATCAGAAAACAAAAAGACGAAGAAGTCTTATCCGAAGGTAGTGACGATGATGACTCAGGAATAGCTGTTGGATTCTTGAATGGAATGATATATCCAACGCATAAAAACAAAGTAACAGATAGACCTGACGGAGAATTTATTACTCCAAATACAGTTTGGACACTTGCAAAACAATGTGAGGAACGGGATAGGGAAGCTCCAAGCTCTTTAATAAGACAGAAGAGAAGGAGTTCATCAGAATACTAGAAACAGTTGATTTATTCTAACAGTGAGAATATTTAAAACTTGATTGTTATTCGTGTTTTAGTAACGAAACTTTTAATAAAATATTACTATATTTGTACTATATGTTCTAGTTCTAGTGAGATATCTTCTTATAAAAAAGTATATAGGATTAATCGATAATTTAACGATGGTTCCAGACCAAAAACCGTGCTAGCCTCTGGGCTATTTTTTTCTGTTATAAGTAACAATTGGTTTGGGTCTGACTTTAAATATCAATTTTCTCTGTATAAGAGCGACTACACTATATTCACTAGTTCCTTCATCTTCGTTTCTTCTTTTTATCATTACACCTAACGATTTGTCCAATTGTTGTTGTTTTCCATATAGAATATGATGGCCGATAATTAGGACAGGTATATTCTAATTTCAAATAATTAATTCGATTTAATGATTTTTTTTAAATGAAAAGATTCTTTTTCAACAAACCTTGTTTGTAAAATGTAAATCACCTAAAAACTTCCCATCAAAAGAATCGTGACCCTCGTGTAATTTGAGATCTCCCTGCAGTTCTATTAAAGCCCATTCTTCAAGGCCCTCAGGGCTTTGTCTGAAAGGAAATCTTATTATCTCAAGTATAGGCAATGATAATTAAGCATATTTCTGTTGAAATGACGACTCGAGTAAATCTTATCATTTATTAGATAAGCTTGTAGGCGGTTTGGGTCAACACCCAACTAATGTTATGTACAGTAGCGTCGAATATTAGAACTATCATCAACTGTAGTTAGAAAATCTGCTTACATTTTCAAGGGGATTTGTACCATTGTCGGATGAATGGTAAAATAATAATAGTTCGTGATATGGCGCCAATTTTTCAAATACTTTATATTATCGCTCACAAGCTCTATTCAACCTGTCAAAAAGATATTAAAAAGATTATTAAATTTAGAGAATTAATATAAGACGTCTAAAAATTTGAAATTTCCTTTGCTAGAACAAGCGAAAGAACTTAAAGTTAAAGAAGCAAACCTCAAAATACTTGAGGAGATATTAGCTTCGAGACATCGCGTCGGTAGAGGGACATAATTTTGGGCGGGAAAATTTTACCAATCCATCCTGATTTCTTGAACTCTATCGTAAACTACCCGAAAGTGCTGTAAAGATTTTAAATACATTGTAATAAGGAGTAAGGAAGAATAAACCGTTCTTGAATAGGATATATTCAAATTTTGAACATCTTTAAAAAAGAATAAATTATCTTATTGACTGCAAGTAGAAGCACTCTTTTCAATTGTTTACCAATATGTATTTAAATGTATAGATGAGAGTGATTTTCCAATTAAACTATTAGATTATTAAAGAATATATCTAATCATCTATTAATAAGAATTCAATAGCTTCGCTTCCAAAGTAGAACAAAGAGAGAAGATAAAATTAAATAATGATAAAAAATAAGATTTCCGAAGATATCCAAACACATACTGTAGATTATGTATAAATAAATATACACTATCTATACTTTATATCTTAATTTTTAACCAGAACTACTTAGATATTAAAAACTGTTTTTATGTAGACTAATAGCTAAAATATTTATTGAGATCATTACAAGAAACATGGCTTATCCTTTTCTTGTCTGCCTTTTTACTTTTATAATATTCTACGTAATCAATAAAATTTGGTCTAAATTGGGAACAATAAGAATAAACATGGTTCATAAATTTATATTAATAACTGGTTGCGATAGCGGTTTTGGTAAGGCTACAGCCTTGAAAATGGATTCGATTGGTTTTAAAGTAATTGCTGTTTGTCTAACTGAGCCTGGTGTAGATTATCTTCGGTTAAACAGTACAGTAAAACCGTTTAAATGCGATATTAGTAATAGAGAAGATGTTAAAATTTTGCAAAGAGAAATTGAACTAATTCTAAATGAGAATAGTAATAGCGTTTTATGGGCAATTATTAACAACGCTGCAATTTCTGGTGTTGCTGCACCATTTGATTGGTTTGAAGATACTTCAGATTTACAAAAAGTTATTAATGTTAATTTAATAGGAACAGCAAATTTAACTTTACAGGTAGAATTTCATATTGTTTTTATTATAAAATATCTAAAAATATCCTCCTGACACCGATAGCTTTTAGATTTTATCAAGCAAAGTAACGGTCGTATAATAAATACCGCAAGTTTTTTGGGTAGATTGGCATTTCCGTTTTCTTGTTCATATTCCTCATCGAAGTTTGCAGTTCAAGGTTTTACCGATAGCCTAAGAAGAGAGATGAAACTCTGGAACGTGAGTGTACATACTGTAGAACCCGGTTATTTTTTAACACCAATGACACAAATTTCGGCGGCTACAAAGAGAAAATTTAATAATCTATCTGAAAACCTTCAGAAGGCCTATGGAGAGAAGTTTGTTGAGAAACGTAAGTCAATAATAATTCTATATAAGATAAGAATATATTAAAAAGTAAAAGCTAAACATTTCTATTATAAACAGTTCTAGGAGAAGAGCGCCATTTTATGAAATTTTTTGCTCATAAAGACTTGAGCCCTGTAATTGATACTTACATACATGCCGTATCTGCAAAATATCCTAGTGTAAGATATAGGGTGGGTATCGATTCTTATCTCTATTCTATTGCAGCTAACATATGCCCAGACTATATTTTAGATTTAACAGTAAATTTTATATTAAAAATGAAAGGAATAAACAAAAAGGTACTTTAATCTTTTATTCTAATATGAAAGTCCGATTAAATTAAGCATAATTAGATATGTTTATATTCAAATTTCAACTTGAATGTGTCGCTCTGTTAGCCCCATTTCCGTTTCTTGTTCCGTCACTGATGGGTTTTCCTTTAGTGGAGGATCTATTGAGTCATCCGTTGAATTTGGAGTTATTAAATAATCTGGAGGGATTCTGAAACTATTGTGATTTGCAACACATCTTAGAATTAGAGCAGCTGTTAGAGCTAGACAAAGTATCCCTATTATAACTAAGGGAGTTACGACAGTTAAAGGCTGTGAATTAGACGGAGTTTCGGCTTTCAACTTTACTTTTCCAACAACAGAAGTATCTTTAGGATGTAATAATTCATTCACTCCAGATTTTGAAATTATATTTGAACCATTTCCAATCGTTTCATTTATCATTTGAGAACTTTGATTGTTATATACTTTCCAGGATGAATTAGTAATTGTTTCATTTTGATTATGTAAGTTTAAATTATCTTTTGAAGAAGGAGAAGGAGAAGAAGGAACAGAAGAAGAAGAAAAAGAAGAGGAAGAAGAAGAGGAGGAGGAGGAGGAGGAAGAAAAGCTAATTAAACATCCATAGAAAAAGATGAAATAAATTCTTCCTGCAGGAAACATGTTTAATTTTGTCGTTTCTCTATTTTTATCTTTTTATTTTCTTTCATGAACCTTTTGAATTTTCAAAATAAAAATATCAGTAAATAGATGATATCATTCCTCAACGACATTTATTCTAAGGATCATTACGTCATTCTTTACATACAGAGGTTGTGTCTCCTTTGATTTTAAATATTCAAGCGGAAGAAATTCAATGTAGCCGAATCCTTTATGGTTCCTTTCAGCGGTTGGTCTTTGAAATGCTGAGATGTTTACTCTCGATTTTAGAGTTTCATTGATATCTTGCTGTCGATTATTCTGGTCTATAAGAGTTATATTTATCATACCCTTTGTTTGGCATATCCACAATGAACTATTTCATCTTTCTTATATACATTCGCAATAAAGATTTAATTGTTTGTTTGTTGTAAATAAAGCTAAAATTGTAGATATTCCAAACTTTAAATGGCCATGATAATGCATCATCAAATTCTCCTTGAACCAAATGAATGAAAACTGACATATATTTATCCACCGAAGAATCTACGCCATTTAAATTTAGCCTTATACACATTCTATATCCTGTTGGAGTAGAATAGAAAGCAGGACTATGAACGGCTTGGGCTTTCCCACTTATTGCGTCTTTTCTTAATTTATCAAACTGTGATATTTTCCATATAAATGGCGAGATTTCAATACAATTAGGCATACTGTTGACCGATAATTTATCAATTAACTCTTGTTGCCTATGAACAATACTTTCTAATTGCTTAATTCTATCCTCCAAAGAAACGATAATAGGAGATAGATAGTTCATCTTTTTAATACATTCCAATTTATGACTATCGTATTCATTTAGATTAATTAAGCTTTTACAAATCTCGCATTCGACGTCCCGATTCAGGCATTTATTTTTCAAATGATCTGTGTAAGATTTGACAGAAACGAACAGTGAGCACTTCCGGCATTCTCGATGGGCATATGGACACGATCTTGAATGTTCCTATTAAAAGAAGAGATACATTTGATAACAGAGTTTCTGGTTTATTTTAACAGATAAGACAATATTTACTGAGTGAGATAGTAATGGAAAAGTTTTCTTGCATCCGTATTTCTTAAATGAGCAATATATATGTAATTGAGCATGAATTTCTCTTCTAGCAAAATTATCAATGAATAGCTTTTCACTTGTTATGTCTTCTTTACATACTGGGCACTTTCTCTTTGATTCCCCCCTATAAAATGTTACAGTATTCGTTTTCTTTGTATTACACTAGCTTATGGCTAATAAAATGATTAATTCTCTTAAAAATGCCTTCAATATTACTTTAAACAATTGAATGATGCGTCTAGAGAGAAATTATTTTAATAAATTGAGTTTTACTTACTGAATCCATTTTGTTATGCATATCTTACAGAAACGATGACCGCAAATTGTCTGTGCTGGAATTTTAAGTACCATAAGACAAATTGGACAAATGAATTTATCATCTGGTCTCTGAGTAAAAATATTCAAGTCAAATCCACCTTCGTCACTTGCCTCATTATCTTCACTAATAGCATTTATCCTTAGAGACTTCATATCATTTGTTATTCCAAAATTTGATGTATACTATATAGAATATATAAAACTTTCTTTCCTATATGTTAGAGTTTCTCTCTCGGGATAAGAGATCTATCTTCAGAAGCGTAATATTCTCCTCTGATAAATAATAAGAGAGAAATAGAAGCTTATTAAAAAAAAAAGCTTCCTCTTTCCGTAGCAGCTATTGGAAACTGCAATATCTATTTTTAGCTAATATACATACTATATACATATATAATATAAAAGATACAAGGTCAACAAAAGAAAATATTAGACTATATATTTAAACAATTAGGGAATATTTCCCTCTTCTCTGTTCCTTTAAGTTGTTATTAACAATTTTTATTAATGTAATATCACATCTTACTACGAAATTTCAAGGATATAAATAAACAATTGATACTATTGACTCGTGTAAATAGAATAGTTTGTTGACAGTTTTCAGATTAAATTGGTAGGGTAAAATTGTCAAAATGGACAGGAAATAAAACTTATTCGCGTTATTATTTTAAGACTAGCTATTGTACAACTCGAAAACAAAATATTACAATAATCTATTATCGTAACATAGTGCTGACATCTTGCGTTGACTAGTTTTATCATATTTTATGTTGAAAAAAAGTTTTAATCTTATCATTTCGTGAGTTTGTTCATAAGCCTATATATTTGTATATATTATGTATTATTCAGAGTTTATATATCTTAAATGTTTCAATAAAATTTCACACTTTTACGACAAGAAAAACAGCTTAAAGATCAAAAAAATTTGAACTAGATTTTCTTTTTAAAGCTCTGTAAACATTGTTAAAAAGCCTAATTGGCGATAGTGACTAAAGCTATTTTTAAGCTTTTCATAATTGTTCATAATATAAGATTATTCTTCTTAAATTACTTAACAGAAGAAAAGGTTTTCTCTTACGTGAAAAGTATAATAATTATACAATAATTGTAATATCAGACTTACCACACGAATATTACAGGAAGTTCTCTAGTAAAATATACTTTTTTGATATTACTATATTATCGCTCATGTTTTAATAAAATTTATTATCTATTTAAAAATGATAAAATATTCGAGTAATTTTTTAAATAACGTAATAATTAAATATTATTCGATAGCAAGGAAAATGAATATTTAGGATAAAAGTAATAAAATTTTGTATAGAAAGATAGATATTTACTATTTAGAGAGGAAATCTAAATGCTAGAATAGAACTTGTATTTGTATACGTTCATTCAAGTTTCTTCTATCTTCCTAAACATTCAGGCATTTGAAACTCTTTTGTCGTACTTAAAAGTGTGAAAATTGTAAAATTTTAATTGTTTACCTGATCTATACAGATTTACAATTATTTACAAAATACTATAGATATTTTATCTATTCAACATATCGATTGTTTGTTGTTTTTTTTTTAAAAAAAACAAAAAGAAACTATTTTTATAAAAAGAAAAAAGGTAATGCATCTTTTACTGACAAAAGTCGCCTTCTTTACAAGTGCTATAACAATAATTACTGGTAAGTACGAATGTTATTTCAATTGAATATTATACAAGAATTTGTCGTGTTAATTCATAATTTACAGCCCAATGTATAGTAAATTCAAAGTTCACAAATAATAATTGGTTTACGCATTACGAAAAGTTTACACCATGGATATGGAAATTCTCAGCGGAGAAAATCGGATGGATATCGCCAGGAAAAATAGGTAACTATTATTAAACACATAGAGCGAAATTTAAATACCTATTGCATTCAATTTATTGGTATCTACATCTATTGTAAAAATAACAAATATTAGTATGTTTACTAGTATATATTAATATATATAAACATACTGCGAAAATGTTGTTACGTAATATCTATAGGTACGTAGGTTACTTTGTAGTGACTATCGTCCGTTTCATATATTCTATTAGATTGAACTGTAGTTCATTTCCATTTAATCTAAATGTGCTATACACTCGACAGACGATTCGGTGTATATAGAGAATAAAGGCTCACAGCTAGACGGAATTGTTATGAAGTGAAGCGAACTTTATAGAGTGAATCTTTCGCAATAATTACGTTTTTTTTTCTTTTATTTCTTTTAGTTTAAAGGTGATAAAATATAGGTCACTTTAAACACCTTTCAACGATTTTTTAATACCTAGAAAGAGGTTGAAAAAGAAAGTATACAAATTATAAATGAATTACGGATAATTTCTTTATGATTTCTTGTTTACTAAGATACCGAGACGTGTCAAAGAATAACGCAGTTATATCTATATCTATATACTTTTTTATTATATAGTATTATAAAAAAACCACATAAATAATCTTCTTTTCCCTTTTTCAATTTTCTACCAGAATATACATGCAAATCGGTAACTTACTTGAACGGTAATGAATACGTCATTACAGCCGAGAGTGGAGGAAGTTTGGTCTGTGTTAAAGCCATTTCTTCTATCGACAGCTCACCATTCCTTTACAGACTTTCTTACATACGTAAATAAAATAGGTTTATTAATTAATTAATTATCTAAGTAAATACTGCTTTATAATTATTAGAGAAAACTTCTTCAAAAACCATATGTACTGCATATGAACCAGAATATAACGCAGTTGAAGTTCGATGGTTTATTCCATGTATGATTTTTAAATTATTGACAAACTAATAGATCTAATGATTTTTCCTAAATCCCTACCATATATCTATATGTATATAGATAGTATAGATAACAAGATAGATATGACAAAGACAATTAGGTGCCCAATTCCAGTTGGACCTTATCAATTTACTTTTAAATTATCGGACGAAAATGTTTTCTGTCAAAACGATAAAAGTTCTACAGCTTTAATAAACGCGGATGGTACTATATCAATTTCAAGTTGTATTGGTCTGGCAAGCGATGGATATCACGAATACAGTAGGAGCATAATATATCAAATATAATCGGTTGTTTTATCAATTAATTTCGTTTTCTTTTTGAAGAAAAACCGTATATAAGTGGCTATAAGCTTAGCTGCTTATCGTCCATGCCGGGCAAATGGGTTAATTCCGACGACAAAGGGCAAGTACTCTTACTAGGGACAACCAGCGGTGCTGATCAGCCTAGGTTCTATTGTGCTGTAAGTGAATTAACAAATTAACAACTTGAATAAAACGCTGTATTACAATTACCATAGAGATACAAATATACATCAGGAATTCATCATTTATCACTAAACATAGCTATAATAGAACAAGCAGAATGTAAGGAAGATCAAGATTATTTGAGTGCTGAAACTGAGAATTCTATTGGATTCTTATTTATTGGTCTGTAGAAATTATTAAAAGAGAAATTAATCATTTATCTATAATAATATTTATTATACAGCTCCTGATTCGCCTTGCGATTTGAATACTTGCAAAAATGGGGGAACTTGTATTCCCAACGGTAAACTATACAGTTGCCAATGTCCAACTAGCTTTAACGGAGAAAATTGCGAATTCGGTTAATATTTTTATCATTTGATTGTTTGAATAGCATGATATTTTTCATCGAAGAAAAGAAGAAAAACAGAGAATCGTTTCTAATAATAATTGAATAACAGGAAATGCTGTTTGTAACCCGAATCCCTGTAAAAATGGAGGAAAATGCATAGTTAAAGTAGACGATTATTCTTGCGAATGCCAATACGGTTATTCATCAAAAAATTGCGAAACACGTAAGTTTATATCTTCTTTTGTTATATAATATTCTTATTAGTGAAATTATAAACGTACTTGTATTTATTTATATAGAAAATACTATACTCTCTTTATCCTAAAATATGGATAGTATATCTTAAAAAATCTAGTGTTATTTATAGATTAAACTTAGCTAATAAAGTTACCTTACATTAACTTGGTCATATTTTTGTTTTATTATAACAAACAATTCAGCCCCTTCCGTTTGCCAGAACATAAATTGTAATAATGGAGGTATTTGTATGCCAACTTCCAATGGAGGATATACTTGTAAATGTCCCGTTGGATATCAGGGAGATTCTTGTCGCCAACGTAATTAGTCACTACCGCATTGCTTTGTTTTTAATATAATTCACAATCTAACTAATCACAGCCGTTTGTAATCCATCACCGTGCTTAAATAACGGCATCTGTGAGGTAGCCGATAGTACTCTAGGCTACTATTGTCGCTGTACGCAATCATTTACTGGATCGAGATGCCAAGAAAGTCCGTTTAGTTTTTCTTACTTTTTTTTATATTTTTTCATTTAATTTAAATATTCAAGTTGAAAAAATTGAAAACTTTATTCATTTTGTTGTTTTTTGTTTTTTAATAAAAAAAAGACATAGGCATATGTGAAAACAATAAATGTCAAGCAGGAGGAACTTGTCAGGTTGAACCGGATAATTCGTATAGCTGTAAATGCCGTACCGATAGAGGTGGAAGCCTATGCGAATTTCGTAAGATTCAATAAGAATTATAACAATAAATTATAAAAAAAAACACACCTGTTATACCTTTTCTTTACATGTAGCTCTTGAAATCTATCCTTTGAAATTAATGAGAATCGATAAATGGTGGGAGAAATATGAAATAATAAATAACGTATGGTACGATAATATACTGGAGTATAATACTTATTCAAAATCTTCATTTACTGAACCTAACAGGAAAAAAATAGGTCAGATTTGTTACATATTCCTTTTATTTTCTTTTTTTTTTAAAGAAAAAAACTCTTATTTTGTTTTCTCTTTCCTTTATTATTTATTGTTAATAGCAACGAAACAGCTAATTTCAAAGCATTCAGTAAATGATAAAGAAATGTATTTTATCGAATTAAATTCTATAACAAAGCATAAAGAATGCATTAGAATTATTAATTTGGATAATATGTCTTTGGTTTGGAAATATACTCTATTTGGTAAAATATGAGAATATAATATTATCGATATAATAAAGTATTAATTAACTTATTCTTAACAGGAGTTCCCAATGCTTTCGCATACCAATGCCCCAATTATATGACCTCTACGGACTCTTTTACCTTACAAATATCATGTAAACATTATCAAGATTAGACAAATCTCATTGCATTTCCTAATTTTATATATATATATATATATTTTTATTATTAGATCCGATGCCCGTCATAGCCAGTTCAACTTGCCCCCTCACGGAAGGAACGTACGCAACAATAGTGTCGTATAATGGAGCGTCTAACTATTGTCGACAAGATTCGTCTAGTACAACTATAATTAAAGGGAATAAAATAACATTCAACACCTGCCTTACAAATAATCCTTATAAGGAACCGTTCAAGCAGACGTTAATTTGTTTAGAGAAATGGCCGAGATCATACATTCATTCTGCTACCAATGATTGGGGAGATTTCATTCTTCTAGGTTATTTAGACGAAACGACTAGCAGATGGTTTTACTATTGCACGGTATTATCAGAGATTATTCGCTATTTGCTTCCAAATAGTAATTGTATAACTCCTGTTTCTCTAATAGAGATATAAAGAAACGTCAACTCAAATCCAAATGTCATTAAACGTGGAAGATGATAAAGAAGTTACATGTAGAAAAAATTCATTATTCTCGACATCTTCAACCAATTATGTCAATTTTGCCTTAGATAGTTTAGTGGTTTTTTTCTGTTGTTTTGTTTTTATGATCTCTTATCACTTAAACTTTTTTCTTTATTCCGTAAAAAAATAGAACCCCAAACTTCAACGGAAGCTCCATCTATATCTTGCATATCCAATGAGAAAATTTGTGAAAATAGCGGAACTTGCATAAGAAAGGACGGAAAACCAGTTTGTGTATGTTTAGACGGTTTTGATGGAGATAATTGTGAAATAAGTAAATATTTGTATTCTATTATAGTTGTTTTAGACAATTCTTTTAAATACTCTTCTTATTAAGCTTTGGAGATGGGAAGTTGTACTAATGCCTGTAATCCAGCCGGCGTTCAAAATTGTGAGACGAAAGGAGCGTATTTTAGATGTTACTGTAAGGAGAATTACACAGGCATTCTATGTGAAAAGGAACTATTAACTGGAAGATGCTCATCTGTGAATGAATGCAACAAGCAGACAAGTGTCAGATGTAATCAAGTTGATTACGAAAAATCGTTTTACAATTGTGAATGTTTGGGATCATACGGTGGAAGTCGATGCGAACATTGTACGCTAATTAGCTAATTGATTAATTAATTAATTAACCAATATTTATGTTAATTTATTCAGATATGTTAGAAGGTGAATGCAAAGATACAGCATGCCATAAAGATACCACTGAAAAGTGTATGCAAGTTTGGGGGAATAAACACTATTGCGTTTGCAAAACTGGTTATGGAAATAGCCTATGTCAACACGGTATCATTTTTTTATTATTCATCTGTTAACATTTAAATAAAGAATCAGTAAAAAAAATATATATGAGATAAGAATCTATTTGACTTTTCTAAAGTTACATTACCTTTTACTATCTACAACCTCTTTCTCCTCTTCATTCAGAAGTTATCAACGGAGGCAATTGTACTAAACACGAATGCCTTTCAAAGTCGACAACGAGTTGTTTAGAACATTCTATCAACAATTATTATAGATGTCAGTGTGCTGTTCCATATACTGGAAAGTATTGTGAAAAAGGTAGACTCTCTTTTCTACAAATGTTTGTTTACCTTCAATTAGGTTTTAAATATAGAATGTGTCAATCATTCTTTTCGTCTTTTAAACAACTTGAATATATAGATATTGATATTAATATTTAATGCTTAACACAGAATTGGTTAAAGGAAATTGTACAGAGTCGAAATGCGACCAAACTAACACTGAAAATTGCGAGCAGCAACAATCAAGCGAAAATTATCAATACTACTGCAAATGTAAAGATGGTTACGCGGGTAAATTTTGTACTGCAAGTAAGTTTTTACAATTTTAATATAAAGATAACTTATTAATTCAATGATAATTAATCATATTTTATCATTTAAATTTAGCTTTAGTCACTGGAAAGTGTTTAGGTAGCAACCAATGTATCTCAGATAATACTATTCAATGTGTAAATCACCTACAAAATTCTTTCTTCTGCGACTGCAAATCTGGATGGATCGGTAGAAACTGTTCGGAATTCGTTGGAGGTTAATTTCTATAATATTATTAAGCAAAATATGTTTTAAACAGTATTACACATTACAAATTAGAGCCTCTTTTATATTTTTCTTTTTTATACAGAGTTATGCTCTCCTTCTCCATGCCTTAACAAAGGAGTTTGTATCCAAAAGGGTGGCGACTTCGAGTGCAAATGTAACACAAAGTATAAAGGTTCTACTTGCTCAGAACCGGTTGAGATTGAGGAAGATGATACCTCTATTTTGGAGGGCAGGAGTTTAGTGCTTGTCATTGTTCTTTGTGCTGTTTTGGTATTTGTTATTATTGCTATTGTGGCAATAGCTTTCATCATCAAAAGACAAAGAGAGAATAACAAGGCCAGATTAAGGTTGACAAGTCGTCTGGCATCACAGGAAAACATTGAAAATCGGAACAATCACGGGTCCGTATCTTCGTCCGCTTCGAAATGGTATCCAGACTATAAATCTGCCGACGCCGGCACCGGTAGTTTAAGAAGTCAATCTAGCGTCGTATACGACGCTCAGACGATTAATCAAAACATTAACGAACTATGAATTAATATGTCAATATTCTAAAATAGTTTGTTTAATACACATTGCAGATCTGAAGGAAAACGTCACAAAGATAGGTGAGCATTTAATTGGAAAACATAGCTGTATATCTATTAATAATAATAAAAAAGACGAATTAATAAAATAAACCAAACCTTTGCTTTTTTTGACATTCTAAAACAAAGCAAACAGCAAAATAAATAAATAAAAAAACTTTTAAAGCTTCTATAACAAGTTATACTTTAATTTTTTTTCCTATCTTCTTCTATTTTGTTTAATATTTTGTTAATAAAGAATTATTCCAAATATCTAAGCATCAATCTATCTTTAGTTAACGTGTTTTTTCTCTAAAAAGTATGATTTTTTTTTTAAAAAAAAAAATTTAACTATAATATTTATTTAATATCGTAACAAATGCACTATTATTTAGTTTCAGGAATAACGGCTATAGCCTACTAAATATGTCGCAATTTTTATAAGAAACAAAACTAAAACACAAAAACAAAGCACGTTATTGTTTATATATATACCACAAAAAAAAACACTTTTTAATGATGTTGACTATTGACTATTAAGAAAATTGTTGAATCAAATTTGCAGATTTTACAAGTTATCTTTGGATTCTACTGATTTGTAAGTCTCTCTTTATCTTTCCAAACTTTTGAAAAGTAAAGTTTTGTAATAGAGATAATAAATGAAGCTTTCTGTTTATTTGTTTTCTTCCAATTCTCTTCTTTTGCATGTTCTCTTTTATTATTATTATTAAAACACGAATAATTTATTTAAATAGAGCATTAAAATAATGTTATTCTTCCTTCTTTTCGGTTTATTAGTTATCTTTATCGCTTTCATTGCAATCCCTAAATTAGGACAGTTTAACGGCACATTTTTAGGATATTGCATAGAATTAGTTATTTTTGGAACAGTTTAATGATAATCCTAGTTGAAAAATATGTATTTAAATGGAAAACATTGTTCTAACTAGTCTTATGACTAATTTGACAAAAAAACCTCATCGTTATCGTATTACGTCACATGTTCGTACAAACAAAACCCAATGTACGAAAATAAAGTAAGTCACATGAGATATATTTTTGGAGAGTTTATAAATTGATGATAAAGAGAATTGGTACTTTAAACAAGTTAATGTCACGAAAGATGAATCCATTCTGTGATAATCAAGTATGGCGAAATATGTCAAAAAGAATATGGAATAATGAAAAAAATAAGGAGGAATGGGATGATAAATTTCGGAAGGATGTTCAAGTAAAGACCTTCCAAATTAAAATTACTCATATTTTTATTTTTTCTTTTCTTCTCCTAGTCGTTAATAAGTTTCATAGAGAAAACGAATAAAAGAGATTCCGGTTCATTTTGGACAAAATTAACGCTCCGTTTAACTAGATTGAAGATGGATATCATTTATAATATAATGAAATCAGAGAAAAGATTGAACGCTTGCGGTGGTACTGGATTTCTAACGATTGTAAATCATTTAAATTTTACTGCAAATTCATTTTTTAGGTATTTAATTATTATTATTATACTGCAAAATATTCAAGGTTAATAATAGAAGCTTGGTTTTATTTTTTTTTTTGCAGGAGTGGTAAATGCTTCAAAGTAATTCTCCGACACGCAAATTTTAAGGAACAGGACGATGCTAGCCTGGACACTCGTGTTGCTTGTCTTCGTCTAGACGATGAAGAAGGACAACGTCTAGATCTAATCTTAACAACAGGAAGAGCACCTCTATTCTGGAATGCATTAGATCTGGAAAAACTATTAAAATCAGTTGAAAATGATGAACATTCAATGAAAAGGTGGCTCTTTGAAAGACCTTTAAAGTAGGCATTGCTTCAATAATGCTGTCTTTCGTTCATACTCCTTTCGTTAACAGTTTATTTAATACATTGGAAAGCGTAAGAGGTGATATGAACTCATATTTTGATCAACAATACTTCAGCAATTGCTTATATGAAGTTGAAAGCGATTTTGGGGAATATACACCTTGCGCTTTAAGGTTGATACCTGCTGACGGAACGCAACAATCCGGTCTTCCATCGGAACTGGATCAAATGAATATTACGTATAAATACTCTTGTTATATTATAAAATATTTTATATATTAGTAATAATCTTTATATTTATTCAATAAAAACTATCAAGTAATGTAAAAAGGAGACCTGGAGATAATAGAAAAAAAGACTATCTATGCCAAGAATACAATAGTAGCTTAGATGTTTCCCCTCTTCAATATAGGTTACAAATGCTGTTACTAAATAAAGTAGAGGAATATATTGAAATAGGTTCGTATAAACTCTTGTTTAACTAGTTTTCTATAAATGTTACATTCTAATTTCAATAGTTGGACTTAAGAAGGTCGAAAAGACTCGAACTTGGCAAGATTTAGCTATAATTACAATATGCTTTCCAATTTGTAATAATAGCCTTTACGATTTGAAATTTAACTTGGAAAATCATCCAGAATCGTTTAGGAGACTAGAGGTTAACGACGAAGATGATTTCAATTCACATTCATTCATTTTTCCCGAATTCTTGGGAACAATATCTAAGCCTATTAAAAAGTAAGAACTAAGAACATCTTATAAAAAGATAATCTTTCAAGATTTATTCATTAAATAGAATTGGTATGAATGAGACAAAAAAGCAAATTTTATCTAAATATTCAATATCATTTGAAACTGGTGATTTTCCGGAAGCTGCAACAAATTCCGATGTTTATATATCTTTAACTGGTTAAATATTTTTGAATAATGATCAATCAAAAGTGATTATAGACAAATCTATTATTAATTCAAACAGGTAAAAGAAAGAAAAGTAACAGATTTTTACTAGAAAATTCAATATTTGAGAATTTTGAATCGGGAAAAGCTCGTAAATTTTCAATTGAACTCGAAGAAATTGACGATCTTCTTGCAATTGATATTGAATTATGTAAAAATGTCGGAAGTAGAAATTGGTTTTTGAATAGAGTGATAGTCACAGATGAAAACGGTGAAAATTCAATATTTCCCTGCTTTAGATGGCTTATTCCAGGAGATAATGGTATAACCCTAAGAAACGAGAGAGGTATTCACAAAAAAAAAGCGTTTTAGATTAATAAGATAACACATTCAAGTGTTATTCTTTTTCTATAGAATGTTTACCTCAATACGAAACAAGCGTATTCTGTTATCTAAAGAGAAAAGAAGAGTTGGAAAAGACAAGATTACAATTTACATGGCGAAAACAAAATTCATTGCCATCAAGCTTAAATATTTCAAGGTTTTAATAATTTTACATACTAAAGCATTGTTAATTTATTAAATTAATTAATTAGATACGAAAATCTACCAAGAAATTCAAGATTTCTTAACGATGAATTATCACTTAATAAAGAATTTAAAGAATTTCTCTCCAAAACTGATACTTTCGGTCTTAATTCAATAATTAATATATTCGACAGTTGGAATCCACTTACAGATTCACTTAAGCTAGCTTCAAGGATTGTTAAAAACAAGTAGATAAAATATAAATCCTCCTGATCTTAGTATCAAAAGGATTAAACATTTAATTTAAGTACTATTAAATAATTCCTAAATTAGGGACTTATTGAAAGATTTATGCGAAAAATCTGATTCGGATGAAGAATTTATTCGTCAACTTACATCAGGCCCTTTTTCGACTAGAATTCGTGGAATAGATAAACTGCCAAGTTATATAGAAGGTGGAAAGAAAATGTACGAACTTATTGAAAGAAAATTGGACATTTCTGAAGCTTTAAAAGTAGTTTATGATTCTATTAAATTGAATATTTTAATAGAATTAAATTTTTTGTTTTAGAGAGGCTACATATTCCTAATAAATTATCCAGAAATCGACGGACTAATTCGATTAGGTAACACAGAAGTAGAGCCAACCTGTCTTATTCACCTAACAGAAAATGGTAAACTTATGCCATTGGCTATACAAATAAACAAAGTAAACCTTTCCTTTTTATTTAATGCCTTTAAGTGATTAATTTATTGCTTAATAATTAGAATTCAAAGACAATCTACACTCCCCTAGATAAACCTGTTGCATGGAAATTCGCAAAGTTATTGTTAAAGAGTATTGATATTACATTTTATCATTTAATAACTATGGAACTGTATACAAGGAATGTCCTAGAAATATTTGCGGTTGGTTTATATCGTCAATTGCCATGTATTCATCCTGTTTATCAAATTCTGCAACCGTTTATTAAGCATATATTTGCCTATAACTTACAAATTTTTGAAACTGTTCACGAAAGCGACATTTACAATGAAATACTTGTTATTAAAAGAAGAGAGAGGGAAATTTTTCTGAGAAAGGCCTACAATTGCTTTGACCTTTCTAAATTGCATGTTCCTAAAGATCTTAGTAAGAGGGGTCTTGATATGATTGATGAACAGTTATGGGATAATACATTTGCCGAATTATCTTTGGAATTTTGGAAAGTTTTACAGAAATATGTCAAATCTCTAATAAGCTCGTATTACAGATCTTCGGAAGATATTCAAGGGGATGAGGAATTACAATCGTGGATTGATGACGTCTTACGAAATGGATTTTCAAAAGTTTCTAGCCATCAAATGCATAATATACCTTCTAGCTTAAAGACAAAAGAGGAACTAATCGACCTAGTAACGCTTATCATTTATACGTCAACTTTCCGTTTAGCATCTTTAACAAACTCGATTACGGAACTAAACGGTTGCGTTGATATGAATCCAGTCAAATTAAAAGTTGAAGAATCTTTCCTCAAAGATCTTCACGAACGTTCAGGACTGAAAAAGTTCCTACCTAACAGGGAAAATACCGCTAAACACTTGGCCATGTGTAAATTATTATCAACATCTTTCACAATGATTAATAATAGGGAAGCGTTTAGCTCAGAATTGAAATATCAAGAAAAATTAAAACAACAAGCATTTTCAACGCTTCAAATGAATATTCTAAATGTTCTTAAAAGATTCGATGAAGATAAAATAAAAGAATTCGCCGATCCACTAATCATATGCGAAATCTTCTCTATTCACACTTCAAAGAAAACTTTATAAATGTAGAAAAACTCTTGAAGAAGGCAGTAGAAAAATAGTCTAAAATAGATAGATATCTCTATATAACGAATATAATTCAGATGTCACTACTTTTCCCACGAAATACATGTTGTTTTTTTTTCAAGCTTGAAAATATCCAAAAAAAAAAAATGGACGATTGACTAGGAAAGTAAAATAACAATAATAGGAGAGGAAAAAATCCTCTTCTTAGCCATTACTATTCAATATTTTAACAATTCATCCAAGTGATTGTTAGAAAAGTATCCGTATGGCTATTATATATAGTTGTATACTTGAACAGAATCCAGACATAAATAGAAATATCGGTATATTTCAAAATCTACAAAACGCTTTTCAATTACGTTTAAAAGTTTGAATAAGCTTTTTTATTGGCCAACTTTACTGTATGTATAAAGCATATTTACTTCCAGATATTTTTCTGTTATATTTCCCTTTTCTTTCTCCTTCTCTCTCTCTCTCTCTCTTAAAAGCTACTTCCTGTCGTAATCTTTCATTTTTTACAACTTTAATAAAACTGGTCTATATTTATTCAAAGACAATATTGATTTGTAAGTGAAAAAATGAAGTAGGGCTAATTTAAACATGTTAAAATTACTTCCTGTGCAAATCAATAATCAACGGATCTATATTGCTTAATATTGTTTGAAATACTTTTCTTCTTATTTGTATATAGCACAGTTTACCCTCGATTAGTCACTCCTTTTTTATTTTCATTTAAATAACAAAAATATATTAAAAGATGTAGCGATTATAATAAAAAATACTGTAAAAACTACAGGAAAAGCTTATCTCAATCCTTTTTATCATGGAAAATGTTCGCGTTTTGGGAAAACAACTACGTTAGGAGGGTTCTCACCCTCTAGCCATAACCACTGATCACTATCTTCTTTTCTTATGTCCACGCCCTTTCCGTTGTAGTGAGGGGGGTTTGGGGGAATGGGTGGAGGTAATGTTATATTTGGACTTGTTAAATTCCACTTTGATTTAAGATCTGTTTGAGGCATACCAGTCAAAAAATCTTTTGGAGGTATTGGAGGAGGTTGTGGAGCACCTCTACCAGAGTTTTTAATAATAGGAGTTGGTGCAGCATCCGGCTGTCGATACTTTTCTTTTTTATTTTTTTTTGGTTTCGGCTTTTTCTCAGGAGCTGCAGCATTCTCAGTAGGAGGAGGAGGAGGAGGAGGGGGAGGATGTGGATGAGGAGGATCAGGTATGGAATGAGAGGCAATAGGTGGAGGATCAGGAATGCTAGAAGAGGAAGCAGGTGGAGGTTGAGTCCTTCTGTAAATGTGTGTACATCAGCTACAATAAGCCCTTAAGGAAGATTCATTCTACTTACACTATGACTTTTTCCAAGGTAAGAGCAGGAGGCCCATTCACCGATTGTCCATCTACTGTTGAACCATTTTTACTTCCCCAGTTACTTAACAGTACCTGGTTAAAATTTGAATTGTGACTTTGAACATTATCCGTTGTTAAATTACTCCTTGGAGGAATTACTGGGGGAATTGATGAAAGATTATCGGTAGCTGAAATCTCTTTAGATATATTGACATAATCAGCCACCACATCTTCAGGTGGTGGGTTTAATGTAGGGGTTGTAATAATTGATATGGGATTATTCTTTGTATCAGGGGTATCTGTTGGTGGAGGTACAGGTAAAGGTTTATCCTTCTTTGGATATTTCTTTTCTTCTTCTTTACTCACTTTCGACATTCGCCTTCGTGATAAGTTTTTATATACAAAGATCATCTTTTAATGATATTTAAAACAAAACACTTACCTCCAAAAGTAGATGGCAATTCCGATTATTGTAAATAATACAACACTTCCTCCAGCAGTTATACCGAGAACTGTAAATGTTTGGAAGCTATTCGTATTCATACTATTCATTATCTAATATCTCTTACCTGCGCCTAATCCCAAAGGATTACTTGAATTTTCTGTTTGTTCTGGTGGAGCTGTTTCAGCCGTTGTATTTAAATATATAGTAGTAACAACTGCTGTTGATGGTGGTTCTGTCCAGAGGGGATTCTTTCGGTCTGATAGTGAAGTTTAAACATGAACTTTAAACTTGTATCTCAATGCATAATTATCAAACGTACTAAATTCACAGACAAAATTGTTTGAAGTATCAGCTATACTCTTTGTGACCCACATTGATATGTTACCATTTGTTATTACATTGACCAAACGTTGATCTTTAGGATGATTTGGAGCCCAGAAGAATTTATTTATCACATCTTCTCCTTTTGCGATATCCCATTTCCAAACTGCTTTTGATAGTCCAATCCATATAGGCTCTCTTGGAATAGGAAGGTTAAAAGTCTCGTTACTTTTCTCGATAAAAGCGTTAGTCCACTCTTGGGAAGTAATTTTTGCCAACTGCCCATCATTCTTTTCACAATCTTCTATAGCTTCATAATAATTTATTGTTTTATCAATATTCATCTCATAACAGATATCGTTTCTTGTAAAACTCGCCTTCACATTTTTTTGACAATCGCTATATCCCTCTGAGCTAATAAAAAATTTCATTTAAAAACTGAACTTGCTATTCAGAATTCCTACTGTTATTCCTACCTTTTTTTATATTCACACAAGGAACCTATTCGAAAACTACAACTTGTAAGTCTCCACTTTCCCGCTAAATGTTGTAGATGGTCATGAGTTTGGTAATACGGTAATAGAGAGACACAAGATTTTCCAAAACCATCGCTATTCAATCCTTCCCAATTCTTATATGAATTGTCCTCCACTATATAGGGAGAAATATACAAATGGACAAATATGTTTTTCATTAAAAGGATAATTTGAAAACTAACCTTTTGTGCCGTCAATCCATTTCCAGTCTACTTGCGCTGCGAAACCTCCCAACCACACTTCAGTTCCTTCGGTAACGTTTTCACTAAGAAGCATATGAGTTAGAAAATTGCGCTGTTCTTCATTTTTTACTGCAGCTAAGCGACCGTTTTGACTAGCGCAATATTCTCTTGCTTTCTCCCATGTAAAGGCAGAAGAGTTTGTATATAGTTTATAACATTTAAATTCGCCAACATTTGGCGTCATTTCCCATTTGGGATTGCAGTCTGAAAATTTGAATTCAGAATTATTCATCGAAATTTCGAAATTTATTAGATAATACGTTAAAATACCTGTGTCGTTCCAATTTCCCCAACAAAATACCAATAGGTGAATAAAAATAACAGAAATTTTAACTATTCTTACTTCGTATGACATACTTATGGATAATATTTATCCTTATTTATCCTATTTTTGAATAGAGACAGCAAAGCTTGATCTCTTTATCTATTATCGGAAGGGTGTCTCCCCTGTCAGCTATTTACAGAGGAATAATTGCATTTTTCTTTAAAAAAGATTGCAGGCCTATTCACTAACTCACCTTCTAGAAGAAAAATATTATGTCACGATTTTCGATTCCTGTTGATTTCTGAATAAAGTAGACAAATGTTACGGTTTGTGGCTAACACCTTTTCAAATTATTTATAAGTTTTCAAGTTTTCTTCTCGTAATATTCTTTAATCAGCATGTAAAAACTGACTTTAAAGGTTTAATGTACGACATATTATCCCTACGTTTCACGTTCAAGCATGTTCTGCGAAAAGTGTTAGTATTCGTTAGGCCTTCAATTTAAGGCTCTGCCCCTTTCAGATCGAAGAAATCTACCTTAAAAAAGAAAACAAGCAAAAAAAGAACTCCAGTAGATGGCGTTCAAACTGTGAGAAGTAAATACGGTATAATTTAAGAAAATGAAACAATAAAGAAGTTTTATTAATAAAAATTTCAAGCTTTTTTGCATAAGAAATAAAAGAAAAGTTGAAAGAAATGAGTTCTAATTGACATTCAACAAGTTAAACTTTCTTTTTTTAACTTAATAAAACTTTGGTGAATTTTCAACATTTTACATATTTCTTGTGAATCAAATGAAGTTTCAAAGTATAAGTTTAGGTTAAAACAACTTGAAAATTACTAAGAAAATGTCAACATTTGTCCCCTAGAGTTCATTAATTAAGATTACTTTTACTCTACGTTACGTATGTTAACCTTAATACAAGTATTGATTATGTAATTGTAATGTATACAACAACATTTATATTTGTATTTAAAATTGGAGCAAATTATAATAATAATTTTTAATTTATAATAATAAATAATAAATAAACGAGGTAAACATAGTGAATTTTTTGTGCTCTATTCTAAAAGTGATCGGGTGTTTGATATTCATTGGTTGCTTTATGATAATCCTCTTGGATTAATCTAGTGTTTTCGCAAAAACAAAGATTAGATAGAGAGTTCTGTTAAAAAGAGCAATATATATGTTTTCTATATTTCTTTTTAACAATGAATAAGTAGGGAAAAAATGAGTAAAACTGTTAGCAAAATTCCAAGGAGAACGTCAAATCTGATGTTTTTTTATCTTTTTTTTGTATATATGATACAATAAATACTATTGTATCTTGTAGATGAGAGGAAATCCTTTTAAAAGTGTATTTCTATATGCGTGCTTCCAAATAATGACGCACTTATATATCACAATTTCGATAGTTATATATGTTTTTAAAGATGCAGACGTCTATTCAACAGGAGTCATCCCTCCTTCTCTTCTTGATTCCTTTCGAGACACTAGTCATGTCTTTTTTTCAGTGAATGCACTCATAAGTTCTAAGAGATAAAATATTTTAGACATTATTATACAATGTATTGTTTGAAAATATTTTTGACCTACCAATAGGCAACGGGAAAATGATTGTCGAATTCTTCTCGGCAGAGATTTGAGTAAGGGTTTGTAGATATCTCAACTGTAACGCTCCAGATGCTTCATTTATAACATCAGCTGCTTCTTTTAATGCTTTAGATGCATTCTGTTCACCTTCAGCTGCTATTACTTTTGCCCGTGCATCTCTGGTTGCTTCTGCCTCAGCTGCCATAGCTCTTTGCAGCTGAACGGGTAAACGTACGTCTTTGATTTCAACTCTTTCAACTTTCACTCCCCAAGGGTCAGTACCTTCATCAAGAGCATTCTGTCACAATTGTTTGTAATTAATAAAGTAAACTAATGTGTTTATAAACTCTTACTTGCATATTTACTGCAACACTTTCACGTTCGGACAGAATTTCACTTAAAGTCCTCGTTCCTAAGATATTTCGAAGGGTTGTCTGCGACAATAAACGAGTTGAACGAGAACAATCTTCAACGTTTACGACAGACATCATAGGATCAGAAATTCTGTAGTAAACAACGGCATCAACGGAGACAGTTACTGAGTCCTTGGTTAAAATTTCTTGAGGAGGTACATCAAAGGAGATTGTACGAAGATCTACTTTCACAAAATTATCTATACAAGGAATGATAAAGAACATTCCAGGTCCTCTTGCGCCGGGTAGAACCCTACCCAGTCTAAATATAACTGCCCGTTCATATTCCTGAACCAGTTTAAAGCAAAGAAAAATAGATATCGGAAAGGTAAGAAAGAGAACAACCAGAGAGACTGCCTTGAGTATCATCTAAAAAAGAGAGATGAAAAGTGTTTAAAACTTTAAAATTAATATGAATAAACATGGTAAATTTTACCCCACAGCAGCCTGATTCATCTTCTCCTTCATTATCTCTATGTCTTCCTAAAATATTCAAATTAAATCGATGTTACTTTTTGTTCTTAATAGAATTATTTCAAAATGCTGACTATCAAGTTTTCATTATAAAAATATAAATAGAGTTAGTTAGAGGTATATTTTAGAAATATCATCATTAATCCTCTATTTTTAATGATTGTAGAAAAAAGACAATGAATTATTGAACAAATAATTTTAATGGAAAGAACTCCTAAACCAAAGTCATGTATAAATTGAATATCAAATGAGGCTGTAGCATCAACTATTCATTATTATATATGTCTATATTTCTAATTCATACTTTCACCAAGTACACTTTCGTCGTCTTCAATTTAACTTATCTTCTCTATGTAACAATTATACTAAAATATGTTCAAAACTTACAACTAAATACCTAAATTTCAATGTTTATTTATAAATTAATCTTATCAAGTCATTAACAAACAACAACCTTCACTTATGTAGATTTCTTCACTTAAAAACTCATAATACTGATTTTATAAATCCTAACTTTTCCTTTTGAGATTTTTTCGTACGTCGGAAGAAGAATTTATAAATTTCTTACCTTTAGAGTTATCCATATCGAATCAGAGAAAGATGATATGATAGACTTATATCAATGGTGCAGCTTTATTCGCTTTTTATTACGGTAGATAATTTAGAGTGGTTATATAGTACGGAACGATGTACGCCTCCTGTTCTCTCCTTGGGAACTGGTTCCAATTAGTTATCGTATGGTTCCTTGCTCGAATATATACACATATATATATATTAAGGTTGAATTATAGGACTATCGGTTAATCGCCTAGATACGTGACGCTATGAAAACACTACGGTGAAACTGAGTAATGAGCACAAAAATATTACGATATTTTTAATTTACAATTCCGATTTTTATCGATTTCGAACAATTGCAAATGAATACTACTTTGATAGACTTTAGTTGTTTATTCAATTAGCAAAGAGATCCACCCATATTGGTTAGGTAATATACCATACTTTAATATTTTATTTCTTTAAATTAGAGTGATCAATATCTCTTTTCTTATCTAACATAATATAGATTTTCGTCGAAAATACACTACCTACGTCAGAATACGTAAATTGAAGTGGAAAAAAAAGGAGAATGCTATATTTTTATTAAATATAGAATTCTTCAAATATTATAATTTTACTTTAGGAAGGAATTTCGTCAGTGTTTTATGAGTTATCGTTTATTATTTTATCTTTTTTATCTTAGATAAATTCCCTTAGCTAAATATATTCGTGTAGGACGAAAAGAAGATGAATAATAACAAGTATGAAAGAAAAATGTTATTTACATTAGATTTCATATTGAATAAAGTCTATATCTAGGAAACAAATCGATTAATCTATACCATTTACACGTGTATAACACCAATTACTTATTAAAAGCATAGAAATTAACTTGAAATTATTCAAATTTCAAACAAAAGTTTAACTTTCAATATAAATTTTAATAGTCAAAGTAACGAAAAATACATTTTGACATTGATTAACAAAATATTTCTTTCAAATTATATAAAACAATTCTTGTGTTATATCAAAAGAAACGGGAGAGCAATAACTCTTTCAACTGGGAATATATCTTCCAATCAATTATATAATCGATTACGTTGGATTGAACTAGTGCATTGAGAGATTGTTAAATTCTTAATTAAATGAGACAAAGTAATATTTCTTTCTTTTGAAAGGAAAAAAGGATTGTTCTAATGATACTATACAACTTTATCAATATCATTTTTTAACGCTTATCTGGTTTTGATAATAAAAAAAGTAAAATATGTTTTATTCCATTTCTTTCTTCTTCTTCTTCTACTTCTTCTACTTCTTTGTAATAAAACAAACTATATTCGATTTTTAGGAAACACCATCCTCATTGTCATATTTAGTCAAAATATGCAAATATGACTTAATATTTAACCATTAATAATAGAGATAAAGCTAGTATAGTATTATATGAATGCTATAATATCTTGTAATTTTTTCTCATTGTCTATAAAAAAGACTGTTTTCAGATAATGACTTTCCCATTTCCCTTTTCAAATACATGAATAGAATAAAGTATCTCTTATAATTGCAACGATCCACATATTGACATTTAACATAGATGGTATCACACTAGTTACTATCATTTCGTTGCTTAAATACTTTCCTCCTTCCGTAATGTAGTTATTTAAACTTGACAGTTTACTTAAAAAAGATAAAGATAATCTCCGATAATGATTTTAATTAAACTATTCATCAACTTTCTATTTCTTGTAAGAAGAAATTTGTCAAATATATTCATTTGAAAATGTATTTCTTAGTTTAAATGATATTTAGAAGATAGTTTGAGTAACCTTCTCAATGATATACTCCTGTTTTGAGCAAATACTCATTTGCCCTTCAGAGCAAACTCGCTGACTTTATTGCGCGTTACGGTAATGCTAGTTATTGTAAAAGTTTAATGAGGTTACTTAACGCTCTGCTAAAAAGGCGTATTTTTTATTTGCTCTGTTCGTAATGGGAAGTTGATATAAATAGGGCGAATCTGAACCATATATTGTATACGGCCATACGACGTTACAAGCACCGGTTCTCGTCCGATCACCGAAGTTAAATGACGTACGGCCCAGTCAGTACTTGGATGGGAGACCGCCTGGGAACACTGGGTGCCGTATTCTTTTTTCCTTTATTGTTTTTTTCAAATCATTTTTTACTCATTAGTAAAGATGACAATTTTTGTCTTCTTTTTAAAGCGCCATCTACCTTAAGCTTTTTAATCATTTAAATCTAACATTTATTTAGAAAATTATAAATACAAACGAGTCTTTATTAATCTGACATAAATGCAAAGAAAAGTAAAAAGATACTCTAAGAATGATAAAAAATTCTCATGTAAAAAGAACGAAAAAAAAAGAAGAGATTTCTGGTAAATCACCATTTCAGATCGTAATTGTCTAATACTAATTTGTTAAATTCAACTTATTAAAATTCGTCAACACAGCCTTACAAAATAAGAACAATAATCTAAAGTTATATCTTCATAAGTTCCATTTACACTCTATCTTTCAGGATAAATTGTTGAGTACTTTGGCGGTTTTAATTCGTCTAGTTGATGACCTAAAAAGAAATTAATATTCAATTATATAATATTAAAATTTATAATTGAATTATTAATAGATTAAAAATAATTTGTTTACCAGTTACTTCTTCATAGGGAGGTGGAACCGGTAGTACAGTTGCTTGATTATAGGAAGGAGGTTCAACTCTAGAAGCCATATTTGGTGGAATATTAACAACTGAAGTTTGCCTTCTCGCAAAATTTCTACGACTTGATAGTGCGCCATTTCTTCTATATTTTCTTTGATTTATGAAACTATTTAAAAACAAATTATGAATAAATTAACATAATTTGTATGTAAAACATCATCAAAAAAATATTAATATACTTACCGACAGAAAAAAACAAGACCAATAGCAATAAAAATCAAAAATCCAACTGCTCCACCAGCTATTGCCTTTGCTGAAAGTTATTAAAAACAATTTTGATAAATCAACCAATATTATATGAGTTTATATTGTGAGAAGAAAGAAATTACAAACTTATTATGCTGATATTTAAAACATTATGGCCCTTATTATTCGATGGATCAGTAGGTACGTGTCTCGTTGTTGTTCTTGTATCATCATGATATTCTGTATAATGTAAGAAAAAATATTTATTAATTGTTTTCGTATAAAAGATAAAAATTTAAAGAATAATTTAATTTTAGACCTTTTTCACAAAGAAATGGATATGGTCGTTGTGGTTGACTTTCCTCAATTGTTGCCCATTTTAAGGTGGCTCCATTTAATAATAAAGTTAATCTATCAGAAACTGGCTCATGCTCTTGCCAATAAAAACTCTTTATCATGTCACCATTACTAAATCTCCAAGGTTTGTTAGTTAAACCAAGCCATACTGGAATGTTTCTGTATTGAAGAGCATTACGAAACTTTGTGTAAACTGTTCGATGTATTCTCTCATCGGCTAATTCCCCTCCAAGCAATTGGCAGTGAGTAGATGCTTCATAAAAATTGTATCTATTATAGGATAAACTATAACATTTGTCTCCGTAGCTTTTCGTAATATTTAAGACTTTTCGGCACGAACTGCTGTATCTGATTAGAGTTAACTCAGTTAAAAAGAAATCATTTTATATTATTTTACTCTGTTCTTACATTCTTGGCATTTGACAGATGTATCGATATTTAGTCAGACAATCCTCAGGTCTAATATATAATGAAGAATACTTCAAGAATAGTGCACCACAGTTGAAAGAGCTAGATTTTTCGCGCATGTTATCTTAAACAAAACAAATCGGGTTAAATATCTTTTACAGGTAGAGTAAATAGAATAAACTACTAACATTGTCTATTCTTCATTGTTACCCAATTTCCCAATTCAGAATAACCATCTACTCTAACTTTTGATATTCCATAATACTTTCTAGATAAAATTACCAATTTCGCTTGATACATGTCTTCTGCAGTTATAATTTTGGCTAATTTTCCATTATGTATCTCACAAATACGTGCAGGTTTTCCAGTGTTTTCACTTCCAGAGAAAAGTCTATAACATTTAATTTTGGCTGTCTGATTCAAGTAACGATTTCCCATATTTGGACAATCTGTTGAAAGAAATATAAGCATCTTAAAAAGATTAATTAATAAAATGTTTTAAAGTTTCTTACCGAATGAGTATACTGTTAAAACCTTTAAAATACTTAGAAATAAAATTGTCACGACAACATAAGTTTGAGACACCATTTTCTATTGTTTTGATCCTATCAATTGATCGTTCAAGCCAATATTACTATTTTTAAATACGTTCATTAACGATCAATGACATTAGTATAACTATTGATTCACAGTTTTGAATAATATTTGTGTTTAGTCTCTTCCGTATTCTGATTAGTCTGTGGAATACCTGGATGTGAAAATACGTTTTATCACTCATCAGGGTGACTCATTCCCTAGAAAAAGGTCACGACCAAGCTCTAAAATTTTTATTTAATTTTTTTCTTTAATTATCCAAAATTACTAAAATCGTACAAGATATTTTGACCGAAAAATAAAAGAAACATACATTTAATAAAAACACTGTAGCTTTAAATGAAAACTGGTACTGTTTTTTTCCTTTTTGTTACAGCAATAATTTGTTTGAATTGAAAGGGTTATTCCAGACTCTAATTGCAACAGCATAACGTTTCGTCATTGTATTTCTTAATAGAAAATAATTACAAAAGAAAATAATATACACTATTTTTCCATAATTAGAATTTTTCAAAGCGTTTCCAACTAGATAAAAGGAAAAATAATGATTTGGAATAATGTTAGTTATAACCTCTCTACTATTTCAACATAAAGGTACAATATGTTAGATAAACAAAGAGGGTAAATGATTTGAAAAGAAAAAATAGAAGAAAAAGAATACGGCACCCAGTGTTCCCAGGCGGTCTCCCATCCAAGTACTGACTGGGCCGTACGTCATTTAACTTCGGTGATCGGACGAGAACCGGTGCTTGTAACGTCGTATGGCCGTATACAATATATGGTTCAGATTCGCCCTATTTAAGCATACCTAACCATCATTTAAAAAAGTTAAAAAAGGCTCTAATTTTCACTAAAACTTGTTTGGTTGATTACTAGTAAGCGATTAAACTATAGGCTTTTCCTTTCTAAAAATATCCCACAATTCTAATAAATTTAATGTACCCAATCACGAAATATGACCTATTGATAAGATGGATAATAATACACAAAATTAGACAGTAGAAACTATTAGCAATCGAAAATTGAAAACCTTATAAAAGAAAAAATGCCATCTACAGGTTATTTATAATCGAAAAACGTTCTTACTACGTTAAATGAGTCATCAAAACGTACACTATGCGATTGTAAACGCAATAATATATTTCAGTATAAATACTAACTTTTCATCCGCAGTAAGAACGAAGCTTCACTCTCTACATTATGTCTGTCCCAGAAGTATCGCAAGCTGTTGAGCTATGCATCCTGCTGGATTGTACTGGAAGCATGTGTCGCGAAATTAATACTATTCGATATGAAATGAAAGAAGTCATCTCTAGTTTGATCGAAACTCAACGCTGTAACATTCAGGTTTCTCTTCTCGAGTTTAGGGATCACAGTCATCTGGAACCTACTTTTCTGGTGAAAACTCATCCATTTACGAGATCAATAAAGGAATTTGACAGATGGTTCGAGGAGGCTGAAGGATTTGGAGGTGGAGATATACCTGAGGGTATTACTCAAGCAATATATGTTGCATCTACTATGAGTTGGCAAGAAGAATCAATAAAAATTTGTATCCTTGTCACGGATGCTCCACCACATGGACTTCATACAGAAATTGACTCCATGCCTGAGGGAAACGAGAGAGACCTTGTCAAATTAGTTAAAGATATGAATGATAGTGGTTTTTCATTATATGTTTTGGGACGTGGTAAAGGTATTACACCGTATCAACATTTTTACGAAGCCCTTGCACATCTTGGAGGAGGACAATACTTTAAACCCTATAAGTTATTTTTGTTCAGTAAAGTTTTAAAGTCAGATATTTTGGCTGAAATTAACTTGCAAAAAATGCTAGAAGAACTTAGAGAGGATGTTGAAGGGTGTGAATCAATGGATCTTGATGAACTAATTGACTCAGTATATTCGAGATTTAGATTGAAAGGTCCCAGTATGAGAAGCAGGTCTCATAAAAGAATTTCAAAGAAAGCCCAATTGTATCTTGAATGTAACGATTTGAAAGAGATGAGATCGATATTTGAAAAGGAAATGAAGAGTGGACGAAAATTTCAAAACTCGGATACAGAGAGAGGATATAGGAGGGGCACAAGGGAGAGATCTTTATCATTGACTGATTCCGATTCCAATGATGATATTCACCTTTTCAAACGAAGGTCCCCTTCACCGAGAAGACACAGGAGATTTCATCACAAACGAAAGTTCTTCAACTCAAAATGCTCTCGAAGAAGACGTTTTAGCAGATCGCGATCGAGATCCAGGTCCAGAAACCTATCCAGATCAAGGTCCAGATCAAAATCGAAAAGTAGATCAAGATCAAGATCAAGGTCGAAAAGTAGATCAAGATCAAGGTCTGCATCTAAAAGAACTACAATCAGAATTCCAAGCTCTGCAATGAAATTACCTAAGAAAACGCTGAATCATACAACTGTTCGACAATTACTTAACAAAACTAGAGCACTCCGCAAATATTAGAAATGTCGTAGTGATATTATATTAACTCTCAAATTAGTTTGATTTTATTTGAAGCTATTTTCAAAAACAAAATAAGAAAATAAAATACTGAAAAAGAAATGACTTGACTTTTAATAATAAATATTATTTAGGACGGACGGATTTCTTCAAAAAGTAGACAATGTTCACAAATAAATTTTTCAGTCTTTTTCATGTTTCAACATTGAATACGTTCACTTAAAAATCAGAATTATCCATATCGAATTCGAAATTAACATTTTTGAATTTATCTTCACTAGATTCGGTTGTATTCATTGATGTACTTGAATTTTCTTTTTGCTCTTCATCAGTTGTTGTAGATTTACGTTCTGGACTTTCGCTTTCACTTTCTTTGATTCCATCTGATTCAATTTTCACATCCGATTCACTTTTACTCGCTTCAGAGACAACAAAATCCTCTGATATTGTTTTATCTTCAACCTCTTTCTTCTGATTTGTTTCATCCTGTTCGCTATGAATTTTTTGTATAGAAATTCCGCCTTTAGAACTTCCATTACTTTGTACAATAACTCTACTTTGAGTTGTCGCTTCTTGGGATTTTTCCATTAGGAATCCTTCACTAGATACAGTTCTTAACTGTTCTAAACTGTTACTTTTACTATTTTCAATAGGGTCCACTTTATCCAATTTTTCCTGGATTAGCTTGGAAAAATCCATCTTATTATTATCATAATTTTGTTCAATTTCTTTTTGAATTTTGTCAATATAATCTCGCTTAGATTTTTTCCTTGATTTTTGTTTTCTATCTCTCTTTTCTGTCGATTTTGAGTTTCTTCGTCGTCTTTGACACTTTGAGCACTCCGATTCTTCTGTTTTTAAATCTAAGCCCATTTCTTCTTTGACCTCTCTTAAGGCTTCTTCGTAAGTTAAGCGTTTTTTGCGCTTTGAAGCGATATACTACATGGTGAAAAAGAACTATTAAAATATCTTATCTAACAAAGTTATTAAAACAACATTTGTACCTTTTTTGTTTCAGCTAATGTAGTATAAGAGTAAGTAGCCTGGGTATTTTCTACAGCATACCTATGACGGGTTTTTAATAAATCCGCCATGTTTGCGGCTAAGATTAACTGTTGTTTTACTAGTGAATTAATGAGAACTTCTGCAGGATTGTGATTAGTTAATGCTGAAAATAAGGGCGAATCTTACAAATATTTTTAATTTAGTATATTTAGGAATATATTATTTTTACCCTCCAACTTTTCTGGATTAATGTGATAAGTTCCAGTAGGTAAACGACTTTTCCCAGTCAGGAAACTATAATCAGATGGACCATTATTCCAATGATATAATAGACCGGGAATTTCTCCAGTTTGAATTTTAACCGATTTCGTTTTAAGACTTTTACTTGGTCGCTTTGCTAGCCGGGGTGAAGGACTTCGACTATTTGGGAAATTTTAAAGTATTTTATTAGCTAGTATTGTAATATTTTTCCTATATGTCTGTAAGACATGTTTCGAAAATACAATACTAAAATACAAACACCTAAGTAAAATGATAACAATGTTATTTATACACTAAAAGTTATTGTTTAAATAGGATCTGCTGATAAATTGTGAAAGCGTTGAAGATAAGCAGACTGTTAACTTTTAAGATATAACATATTTAAGAGAATTAAATGAAAACCAACCTGGAAGATCTATCTGTTATGAAAGATGAGTAGCTTAATGTACTGGAAGCGTGAGAGGAATAACTCTCGTACGACGAACTACGAGATAGTCTTCGTCTACTTCTAAGAGTTGAGTCTTCGTCAGAGCTATAATCTTCAGTGTTAGTGAAATCGTCTGAATAGGACCTTGAGCGAGTGTAACTCCTACTTCTAGACCTATCAGAGGCGGAGGAATTTCTCCGTCTCCTTGAAAATGTTTCGTCGCTAAAATCATCCGAATATCCGCCAAGGGAGTCGCGTTTACTCCTAGATCTCGTTTCAGTTTGAATTGAAGTTATATTCTCCTCCTCCGATTCGGTATGAATCGATGTAACAGATTTATCAAAGTCTTCTGTGTAGATTTCTTCAGTAACAGAATCAGGCCGAGCAGTGAGTACTATTTCTGGACTTGGAGATCGTGACCTATGACTAATGTCCGTAAAAGATAATCTTTGATTTCTTTTTGATCGAGGAGTCCTAGGTGTTGTCAAAATTCCTTTAAGGGGTGGAGAGAATCCAATATCTTCATCAATCTCATCAGTATCATCTATAGTTTGAATATTTAATTTTTCAAAAACATCCCTTTCTGGTTTATTTTGCCTCTTCTTTTCCGATTTTTTTGTCTTTTCAATTCGATTACCTGGCCAATCTTGTTCCGGTTCCTCGTAGTCCAATTCAGCTAGGTCAACAATTTTACCTAGATTGAATTGCAGTAAAATTTCAGTTGTCTTTTAAATATACAATAACAATAGTAAATAAATTGTGAATACCGTGATGAAAATATTTTTATAGTGAAGTGCATCGTAAGTTTAAATTGAATATTAATTGGTTAAAAATTAATAGTTTTATATAAATAAAATATATTTGGGATTGGGGGTAGTTTAAAATAAAAATATAGAAAAATAGTAGTGAAGAGTGATGTTTTGCTTTTTTTTATTTTTTTCACCGTCATTTTTTAGATCGTAATCATCTTCTATTATTTCTGAAAACTGCTCATTCGAGAATGAATCTGTGTTAACGTCGATTGCATCAAATATTCAATTAACAGATGTTTAATTTTTTTCATTTAGCATAATATTTAAATAACATTCGCAGAAAATAAAATTCTCTAATGTTTTTGTAAAAATTTAAATTTATATTTTTATGTAAATATATAAAAAACAAATATTTCAACTGACCTCTAAAGCTATCATTACTATCAATAGATTCCGCTTCATCATAATCTTCTCTTATTGAATCTATTGCCTGAGAAGAGCTGGCGCTCTGTATAAAGAAAATAGCTGTTTCATTCAGGACGAAAGGGAATTCTATCTTAAGTTACCTTAAGACTTTTAGGTCCTCTACTGGAAGATAATTCGTTTAGATAAGCGGCCATACTCTCCTCATCAGTATCTAACATTACGGCCGTTTGATGCTTCTTAGCACTCTCCAATTCAAATAGAGATCTCTTTTCTAAGTGATAAAAATTACAGAGAGAAACTATAAATAAAATAATATTACTTTTTGGTTCTGGTTTTGCAGTAGGAATTTCCGTTTTAATAAATTTCTTTTGGGTAGTTTTTGGCGATTCAATAACCGCTGGCTTTTTCTTTAGAAATTTAGCACCTTTTCCAAAATCACTTGAACTGGAACTTATGTCATCCTTAAAACCTGAAGGTGAGTCTACGAAAAACGAATGCTGTGAAGGTTGTGTTAAATTTTCCTTTATTTTTTGTTTGCTAGCTTTCAGTTCCTTTAATAGACAAACACAATTAACTATTGGACAATAATTATAAATAGATTTAAATTATTTGTTTAACCTTCATATCCCTTAGTACTTCCGAGTCTTCACTTATGTCTATATCTGAGTCAGTGTCACTTATTTTTTGTTTTCTTTGACTTTGATCTCCTGTAGAAACTTTAGATTTTCCATATTTTTGAGAAAATTTTTGCAAGGTGGAAAGTGCTGAATATGATTCTAAAAAATTTTCCATCCGGTTTACATTAGTAGTATTCAAAAAATTATTCAATACCAACTTAAATTTCCTGCTATTGGTTTCTTTGCATTCTGACCAGATGATAAGGAAGTATTTTTATTGGTGTCAGATGCAGGTTTCTTTTTGAGGAACTTATTGGTCATTGGTTGCGGAATGTTAAACTTTTCACTTTCAGATATAGATATGTCGCTCAATCCACTTATTTCTGACTCTTGAGTAGTTTTTTTAGGTTCGTTCTTTAGAGATTTCAAATATGACTGAAAATATCGTTGTGAATGTTTAATCTAGTATCCTTAATCTGTTTAGTTTTTCTTGAAAAATTCTTACATCTAATGCTGCATCGTCATCGTCATCGTCTAGCGCAGATGGTTTACGCAAATTATTACCCCTTGCACCTGATGATTTGAGCAAATTGTTAGCTCTTTCGAGCGCGCTATTTCCGCTCTTCTTTTTATACATTTTTTTTCATTTCTTGTTCATAGACGACATAATGTAACATAAGGTTCTAGTTGAAACTCAGAACTGGAACAAGTTTGAACATGTATTTATTTTGAATGCTTTGGACAAATGTAAAAACTACACATTTCTCGGAAAAAATTAGATTACTTCGAGTTATGTATGGATTAATTTTTTGTGTGCTTGAGAACTTAAAATACAATTGATCGATAATAGAATAGGTATAACTTTGCATTCGAAAAAATGTAAAATAATAGCAAAACGGCTCTAATAGGTTTTAAAAATGTCTTTCGACATCCAAGTTGAGTGCGTCCATTTTGAAGTTCTAGCTCATGTATAACATCAGTAATCGGATGATGAGAGCATTTGATTGGATGCCACGTCGTGAACGATTTCCGTTATAGGCCTTCTAACCATGTGTTTGATGGTGATTGGTCAATTTTATCCGACCAATCAGCGCTATCCATCTGTAAAGTCTAATCGTGTAAAAGTAGCAATTTAGCGGTATACTCGTCCATTTTCTATCTGAAAACAACGAAAAACGATGAAAACCTTTATCGTTTTGTCGGTGCTTGTTTGTCTAGCGTTAGCCGATCCTACTGTATACTTTAAAGAAGAGTTTGGAGGTTAGTTTATTCTAATTTTGCTATAAAAGAGAGAATTTACAAAGCCGGTTTCAGAGGGTTGGAGCGACAGATGGGTCAATTCTAAACATCGTTCAGATCAAGGAAAATTCGAATTAAGTGCCGGAAAATTCTATGGTGATGCTGAAAAAGATAAGGGTATAAGAACCTCTGAAGACGCTCGCTTTTACGGAATCTCCGCCAGTTTTGATAAGTTCTCGAACGAGGGAAAGACCTTGGTCATCCAATTCTCTGTTAAACACGAGCAAAATATCGACTGCGGTGGTGGCTACGTTAAGGTAAAGAATTTTTATATCTTATCTTGAGTCACTTCCCTTTAGGCAAGGAGCACATGTTGCACCTAAATGCGCACAAGATTATATGATGGCACCTCGTGTGTGCTGGTGCTAGCACATAGATCGATAAAGACTAAATGTATCGCAAATATATCTTTTAAGAATATTTCTATGTCTAACAGGTTTTCCCCAGTGACTTGAAACAAGAAGATATGCATGGAGAAACACCATACGCCATTATGTTCGGCCCAGATATATGTGGACCTGGAACCAAGAAAGTGCATGTTATCTTCAATTATAAAGGCAAGAATTTGCTTACCAAGAAAGACATCCGCTGCAAGGATGATGTCTTCACCCACGTTTACACCTTGATTGTTAAGCCCGATAATACATACGAAGTTAAAATCGACAACGAAAAAGTTGAAAGTGGTGAATTGGAAGCTGATTGGGACTTTTTGCCACCAAAGAAAATCAAGGATCCTAACGCCAAGAAACCAGAAGATTGGGATGATAGAGAGAAAATTGATGATACTGATGATAAGAAACCTGAAGACTGGGATAAGCCTGAGCACATTCCTGATCCAGATGCCAAAAAGCCCGATGACTGGGATGATGAAATGGACGGTGAATGGGAGCCCCCACAAATCGACAACCCAGAATACAAAGGTGAATGGAAACCCAAGCAAATCGACAACCCCAACTACAAGGGACAATGGATCCACCCTGAAATCGACAACCCAGACTACACCGCTGATGACAAATTGTACAAATACGATGACATTGGTGCTATTGGTTTCGATTTGTGGCAAGTAAAGAGCGGAACAATCTTTGATAACGTCTTGATCACTGACGATGTAGCCCATGCAGAAGAATTTGCCAAGGAGACTTGGGGAGCATCCAAGGATGGTGAAAAGAAAATGAAAGATGCTCAAGATGAGGAAGAAAGAAAGAAACAAGAAGAAGAAGACAAGAAGAGAAAGGAAGAAGAAGACGGTAATTTTTTTTTTACTTGTAGCAATATGACATATATCGCTATCGATAACTTATGGTAATCTACCCATGGTATGATGATTCGCGCGTGTATTCAATGGTGTCCAGGCCTCTGAAACATCTGATGAAAATGTGCATAACTGATCATTTTTAAGAAATTAGGGCTTCTTTGTAAACTTTTAAACACTACTAAATATTCATTTTATATTTACAGCTAAGAAGGAAGATGAAGATGAAGACGACGGTGATGACAAGGAAGAGTCACCGAAATCCGAGGATCACGATGAATTGTAAATTAGCGGAATTTTCGTAGGTTTATACTGACTTTTTCAAAAATATTTACATCGATGGGTTTCCTTTCATCTCTCATAAACGTTTGTTGGTTTTTGCATCGATTCATATCCTACATCCGAAGTTTCATCCTTTGAAAGAAATTCCGTCATGGTTAAATGTTTCAGTTTAATGTTGAATGTAAGAGAATAGTATTTTTTTGAATATTCATATTTCATATTTATTGTAATTCTCAACAAAATGTAATAAAACCAAATTATTAAAATAATTGAGCATCAAATATATACGATATTTATCACAAGTTGATTTCATAACGAATAACTGGTTTGCCCGTTCCAAACATAAGAAATACGGCACAACCTAAATAACACATGAAAGCAGTTAAAGTAAAGACAATTGCCCAGCTTGACCAAACATCGAGCAAATATCCAGTAACATATACTCCCAAGAATCCGGGTATAGAACCAGCCGTGTTCATTAAACCAAAGACAGATCCTGCAAACTGTGGTGCTATATCTTGAGGATTGACAAGTATCCCTCCTCCGTGAAACCCGCAAAATAGTAAAGCAGCAGCCATGCAAAACAAAGCAGATGTAAAGGTGGTTGTAAAGTTAAGTATTAACAGACACGTTCCAACACCCACTAACGTTATGACCTGAAAATTCGTGTTTCGCTATTGTTATAAAAGTATAATAAGAAATAGTGAACCTACCGCCATTAACTTTCTTACAAAAGTAATGGAGAAGCCACTCCTGATCATTTCATCAGCGATGTAGCCGCTACAAATAGAGGCTGGAATATTTACTAGCCATGGAACAACGTTGAATATCCAACCCTATAAGAAAGATATAAAAGAGATATATTCAAAGGGTAGACATTTCTATTGCAGTATAAGTTCAAACACAATAGGTTCTAAACATGAAAAGATAGAAGGTAGGTGATCTCATCGACCTGTATAGTAATCATATTACCTTCTCGTCAGGAAATTTATCCTGAAAATACGTTGGTAGCCACGATAAAATAATAAACCAAGCATTATTATTCGTGAAATGAGAAATTATGATGGCCCTGAAAATTCTTTCCTTTTTAAGAAATCACTTAATTTCAATAAAAATAAACCTATAAAGAGAAAATTTATCTACAGGATTAAGACAGCGAAAGCAAAGGAAAGAACTAAACCACACATAGTGAAACCAAGAGACATAAAGTATATCTTCACGTTCATTTTCCTTAAATTATATGAAATCAACTAATCAAAGACGAACAATGAAAAAATATAGGAATATTAAATAAATCATATCCCTAATTAATTAATTCATAATTTAAGAAAGGATGAACTGTGAGATATAGTGCAATATTTATTCACCTTGGCCTGAGGATAATTATCGTGAAAGTAGGTTGGAAGCCAGTTCAGTAGGAAGTAATAAGCACAATTTTTACAAAATTGACCAATTATAATTGACCTGAAAAGACGGATTTAAAAAATTGTAATCTTTCTTTTTTTAATTTAGTCAAATTATTTCATTTATTGAAAGTATACTGAACTGGCTTTTCAAATTAATATTTTCAAGATGGATAACAATGGAATATTCAACTATTAAATAAATTATTCTCGATTTTACGCTCAATTTTTAAGATAAGCAGGATAACGTTTGAAAATTATATAAGGTGAAAAGGAAAGTGTCTAGCATTTTGAAAATATTGCTTTAAATGTTCAGTTAAAGCAGTTATTTTCTTTGATTGATAAGGAGTGACTTATACTTTACTAACCAAAATTCTTTTTTGGAAAAAAGGAGCTTCCAAGGAACTTTTAAAGGCTTTTTAACTTTTCCCGGGACCAAGTTTTCTTGCAAGCTTAGAATTTGAGTACTTCGCATTTTCTTATCCAGCATTATAAACTTATAGACGGCAGCCCATGTAAGAGCTGATATTCCTACAAAATAAAATACAGAAGTCCAACCATATCTACTTAAGAGTAAAGATCCAATACTTCCACAAAGAATAGTTCTGGAGATAGACAAGTTTCATAATCAATCTGTTTTTATAAAACTTAGTATAAGATAACATACCCGAATTGAGCTCCAGATGCAGACGATGTAAAGGTAAAGGATTTTTCTTTTTCGCTAACACGTTGAGAGGTAATACTAGTTAATGCTGGGAAGTGAACGCCTTCTAAGCAACCGATTACAATTCTTGACACAATGATGCAAAAAAAAATAAGTGATGAAGAGCTAAACAAGTGTGCTATATTTGGCGTTATGAATGTTAATGCACTCCATCCAACTCCAGCTAAGAATATAACCTTTTCCCCATTTATCCTATCGCTGAGATATCCTCCAAGAACTTGAGTTAAAGTATATCCCCAAAAGAATGACGATAAAATAATTCCTGTTTGAGTTTTTGACCATCCAAACTCTTGACTTATAGCAGGTGCACATAATGGCATTACCGTCCTACAAGCATAATTAAAAGCACAGCTAAACCATAAAGCTATAATCCAATATTTTTTCTCGGATCTTGGCCAATATTTCGTTTGATTATTGTCATCATCTTGCCTGATGGCTAATAGAGGTTTTTCATTGTCGGAGCTATCCATTTACGAATTTAAAGATTCAGTTGAAATTTTACTTCATATGCCACGTAGCAAAATATCTTCATTCAATAGCTATAAAAAGTGCCTTTTGAACAATTTAGTAATTCATGGTTTTTAGGTATTATTTTACAATATAAAGTTAACAAATCTATGATTTGTTTTTTTATATATAATTTACTGAAAAGACAAACCGGAATATTAACTATTCCAGCGCCATCTATAAATATGACTTTAAATTTAGCGCCTTATCCATAAAATCAGGCTACAAAAAACATGATGAATAACCGTTCATACGCTATGATTGCTCTATACTATAGTAATACGTGCAATTATTCTATATTTCGAATTTAAGGTACAATACGAAATTATTTTGTGATATTGGAAATATTATTTGCCATTTTTTTTTTCAATGATAAAGTCGATTGGCGGAGAAAGACGAGTTGAATGTCAAGAATGTCAGAACTTTCTAGAATAATTCATTAAAATCGTAAGACTGTGTCAAAATTAAGAGTTAAACTAGCAATTAACTTTTAGGATTGAACAAAACACAAATCATTTGATAGTCAATAGCCACTTAGGCACGATGTATTTCCGAGAGCGCGTACTAACTCACACGACATGTTATAAACGATGTAAAGATAAATCAAGCTAATTTAATGTTGCTTCTTTCTGAAGGAGCATCCCTCAGTCAACCTAGCTTTTCCACCTGTAGGCTGGCACAGCACGGTTGAACATCCAACGCATAGTACTACGGTCTGAGCGTGGCTGAATACGGTTGTTATTTTATAACAGCCTGAAAAGTGAAACAATTAAAAAGGTTGAATTTCCCTATCTAAGTATGGTATTTACCTGGACATTTAACATCCATAAAATAAGAGTTTGGACTTTGTACCAGACGCTTCAATTTGCACATACGTCTCTCTTCTTCAATAGAGGGGTGAAGTAAATCCTTTGCGAGCTGAAAATATAAAAGATATAGTAGGTGGAACCGATGACTTTCTCTATTAAAAATAGCTATGTACAGGCATTTCGAATCGCAGCAAAATAAAAAAAACTTCGATAAAGTAGGGGATTTATATTCTGAGTTAGCCGCAGTTGTGCAACTACATACAATTACGGCATAATTGCACAACTTGGAGAAACTAAACAAACATGGCGGCTCTCATAGAAAAGCAACGTAGATCCACATGGAATCGAAATAAGTACTTAAAAATTATTATTTTGTCGCTATTTTGCCTTATACCTATTCAGAAACATTTTAAAATAATTCTGAGATGAACAATTTTTTATTTTAACGCGTAGTTACACTAGAAAATTAAAATAATTCGAAAAACTTACAGGCATGGCTGTCTGTAGGCCGATCGTACCGGAAAAGGAAGTACTCTCGTTTTCGAGTTTGAATTCTCAGAATTCAAAATAGGAATAAATCTCGATTTAACAATGGATATTTTTATTTCTATAATATATAAATCAATTATAAATTAAAAAACTAAAATGTTTTGAAATCGATAATGAGATCGGAATTTTTTAATTAGAAAATCTTTCGATTTAGAGTATCGAAAGTCATAAAACCCGTATTCGTTGCTTAACCAGACGAAAGATTTTTTTGCCCAGCAACAGTTCGAAACTATAAGCGATTTCATTTTTTCGGAAATTAAAAAATTAGATGAAATACAATGGCAATAAACAATATTATCTTGGAACTTAAATTTAAAATAGATAAAACAACTGAAGAAGGTAAGAATAGATGTTTCGATACCTTTTTCGAATTATTATGTATTTTCAGTATAAATGCTCTGAAAAGTTTATATAACGTTTAGTTTTTCACTTTTAACTAATGTAAAACAATTAATTCATTTAAAAGAAATTTATTCTTTGTGGGCGAAAGATTTCCATACACAGTTTCATATATAATATATGGTATTTTCATAGTTGACATTAGAAATTTTACTTCCGGCGTATTCTATTCTATAAATCTTTTATAACGTAAAAATATTTCTATTTGATTGATATTATTAATAGAAGATTTTAGTTGTTTTATCAACTTTACACGTTAAGAATGTATACATTTCTTGTTCAGTTTCTTAAACGTTTCATTATTTTTCTATTTATTCAAAAGATGTTCAAAATGCTGCAAAAGAAATTGCACTTATATGTTTGGGTGAAAATTTTTCGACGCTAACTGATGTCCAAATAAGCCAGCACCCATTAGACCGATTGCTGTTGTTCATGTCCCAGCTGGGAAAGTAGGCCTAGAATAAACAATATTCCTTTTGTATATATTAAGTAAATTTTTATCATTTACTCTTAGCCATTTAACGGTAAGGTTTTACGATACTGGAATTGCAACTGTTGACATTCAATATTCTATAGAAAAAAAGCTGGATAAATTCATAGCAGTAAGTAAGTCAATGGTTGTCGTCAGAAGAACACAAATTAAAAATAGTTTCATTTTTTTTAAAGGAAGCAGGAACTAGGGATGGATCAATAGATTTCAATACACAGAAAATATCTGAGGAGGTTTATTTTTATATTTTATATCAAAAATATTATCATTTAAAAACGAATTTTCAAAAAGTACATTCGGATCATTGAAGATAAAATCTTAAAAAGTTTGCACAACTTCTGCTTAAACTGCAAAGCGTATGTTTAAGATTGTATTGCTTGTATTCTGTTTGCTAAACATAGAATGCCTTTTACCCATTTATATAATTTTTTACATTTTATGAGTTGACGATTTAAGATTTTTTAATATCTTGCATCAGTAAAAGCAACGAGATCGGATAATTTGTGCTTATTTGTAGGTTATATACTCCTATAAAGCGTGGAAGTGAAGTATGGAACTATGCAATTTCTTCGGATGATAGATTATTTGAAAACGATTTCGTTTCACTGGTTTATGAGAAAATATCGAAATATCAAAGGATAAGCATATTCAATTCCCCACAACACGGCAATGTCCTCTATTTAGATGGTGACGTCAGTAAGTTGCTGTTTAAATTGATATACAGTATTTCACTTATTCTTTCAAATCACTCAATGAAATAATACGACTACAAAATTGTTAGCTTCAATATTTTTAATGATAATTATTCTTATATGAAATTAAATCTTATCTTATTTATACCCTTATCGGCGAATTCTAATCCATATACTCTTTCAATTAAGTGATATCCGAGAAGAATGATACTTACACACCAGCTTTAGCAAGGTTATATGATCAAGATTATCAGGGGAAAAAAGTATTGATTTTAGGCGGGGGAGACGGAGCTCTTCTTTATAGTCTTGTGAAGAAAAACGCTTCTTTCGTAACTTTAGTTGAAATTGATAAAGAAGTTATAGACGCAAGTAGATGTTATTTGAAAAAACTTTGCAATTGGAACGAATTAGAAAAGTATACTAATTACGAAGTAATCATCCTTTATTTTATATCAGAATAGTTTAATTTCTTTATTTTCACATATTCGATGGATCTTAAAGTACCCTTTTACTTTCTTCAGATAATAATAGACGATTGTTTGGTTGTATTGAAAGATAGTTTTAGAAAATCTCTAACTTATGATATAGTCATAAATGATTTAACTGAATTTCCTGTTCAAATGGAAAAAAACGGTTTTAACTTATTTTTTTTAGTAGACTTGGAATAGTTATTAAATATTCGCCCTTTTTCTCCATAGGATTTACATATGACATGGAATTCTCAAAACAGGTTATGGAGTTGTCTGTAAGTGTTTTGAGTGAAAAAGGCGTCTACCTCAGTCGGGTTTGCATATCCTTTCTATTGATTTTTTGACTATTTATTTCATTTTTTTTTAATAAATATTCAATAAAAAATTTCAGGGTAACTGTGTAAATGCTAAAAATTATCATGAAATAATAATTCAAAATATATGTGGTCTTAACTGCAAGTTTAAATGTGAGGACACGTTTGTTCCCTGCTTCCATGAGTCTTATCGTTTTTATAAACTTTGGAAATGATCTACTGGCTGTTAAACTTTCTAAATTTTACAAAGTTTAATCAAAGATATTCGCTAACAGTATATTAGAGGATTGGAGTGTATTAACAGATAATAAAATAACATTTCCCAAATCAGTTGCGTGGAATAATTGACAAGTAAAAGGAGCTTATTGTAATTTAATCTGAAATTTTTCAGCTACACTGCATATTATATATTTTATGTTTTGCTGTTAGAAGTAAAATTTTCTGAACATTTACCTTTGTAAATTTTCTTTTTATATCAATCAATATTTAATGTCTAATGAGGAAAAGAGTGCGAATAGTTAGACGTATATAGAAGATTAATTTATGAGCTTAGAATATTGTTATAGCTGTGAAATTGAATGATAAATAAAAGAAAAAAAGTGTTTTCTGAAATTTTCTATTTATCTCCTTTAAGTTAAGTCTCAGTTAATGTTTTACATTCAGATATTCTATTCACTATCTATTCGAACTTAGGCTGCCATCTGCCGACTAATAACCATTTTCAATTTTCTTATCGATAGATAAAGTTTGTTACAAAATAATATATTTTACGGGAAACCCTGGGAGGAATATTCCAGTTGTTAAATTCTTAACGAGTATGAGCATTTTGCAGTATACTACTATTTGAATATAATATATGAAATATTTGAAGAAAGCTTGCAATAACAGCTGACAAATAACGTGTCAGTTTAATAATATTTCTACGAAGGGGACGGTCGAGTAACGAAATAAATACGTAAACTATTAAGTCATTGAACGGTTATGAATATAATGGTGAAGTATATTTGATAAAGGGTAAATAGAGAAAAGGATATTTATTGAATTTAGTCGTTTATGAATATTTTTATTCCAGTTTGTAGTATTTACCAAGTTTTTTTTTATTAAAAAGAATATTATTTATTAATATCTCAAATCTTACAATTGATAATGGAAAGTCATCAGTTTTCATTTAGGTTCCGTAGGAAAAATTTTAGGAATTATATGTAAAGATTTTTTAGGATAAAAAAAATCGGCTTCTCTTTAATCCGTTGATTTCTTTCATTTCCCCATAGACTTTCGCCATTGTAAAACCTTAGTTACTTTTTAAAGAAAGTAATAAAAAACTTAACACATCTTCATCTAACCTAAAAAGTAGTATAAAAAAACATTTGAATATTTCACAATCAATTTAGTTCACTTTTAGAAATAAAAATATTTTGACAAACATAGCTTGAGAGGTAATAAAAAAAATAAAAATCACATTTATTTCTAAGCCTGTCATACCATGGTTATCTTGTATGGAATCTTTCAAGAGATAAGATTAAGCTTTTCTTCACCATGCACAAAATTTCGTATTCTCAATCAACGCTGATGACATATTTTTTTCATATATTAAATGAGATATGAAGCATTTACATTTTCCTTGTACTGTATTATCGAAATATTGGATATACTGTATATTATAGTATACTGTGTTAAATACTGTAGTATATTATATTATATACTTGTTAACAATATTTTCTGTTTGATATTCATTTGGAGGAGATGATTTTTTTTATTGCAATCTTTATTCATTTGTACGTAAATCAAAGTTATTTATTGAGAAATATCACTTTCTAACATGAAATTTTCTTGAAATCCTTCTCATAAATACTGATTTTATCGTATATTTTACCAGTTCTATTCATATTTATTATATTAAAGTATATTTACCTAACAAAGTAGGTCAGAATACATACTTTAATATATTACTCCAATTTTATACTCAAAATTTCATTTTCAACAATAGAAAACATGCTATCTTTATTATAGAATTATATTATAATTTATTTTCATTTTTTATTTTCATCTAAAGTTTTTACATGATTTCTCTTAATATTCTAACGAAAAATGGGAGGAGAGAGAGAGAGAGAGAGAGAGAGAGAAGGAGAGATGGATGAAGATAGACAGAAAGAAAGAAAGAAAAAAGATAAACTACCGAGAATTTTCTTGCGCATAATTATACTAATCGATTCTTGCCTTAGGAAATATTTCAAATGATTGGAATAAGCTTTCTTTTTTTTTTGTTTTTACATCTCTAATCTCGATGAATCATCTTTCGTATTGGTCTAGGAAATTCTGAATTTTGTATGAAAATTAATAAACCTAGCAGCGTTTTTGACATTAGAAAAAAACTCTTGTATTTTAAATACACTTCTCTTTTCTTCTTGGATAATTAATGAAAGTTGGATAAATAAACCAAAGCGTAAACTATTTGATTTATTGCTTCTACTTTTTATGATATGTGTATTCCTTCATCAGAGATATCGCGAATGAAGACGATAAGGACACATACATACATACTATATATATATATATATATATATATATATATATAAATTTATAGAGACAGAGAGAAAGAGAGAGAGAGGCAGAAAGGAGAATGGAAAAGAGAAATATACAAAATAAATTTCATATGTTTCAATTTATCAATTATCTAACTACTTTTGTATTCTTATACAATAGACCTTTACAAGAAGATAAAAGTATCTTATATTTTATTCTGTAAGTTGAGCATATGTATATTGACTTGATTGACTTGATTTCATTTTCTTTGGCGGTCTGTGAATTTAAAGTTTGTTCGAATTCCGAATTAGTTATTATTAAGAATGAAACTCAAACATATGCTGCTATTGAAGAGTGTAAAGAAACGTGTTCAACTGGATATTATATAGTTTTTTAAAAGTGATGTTTGAAATATAAGAATGTGCTACTAATTTTCTTCTCAATAAATCTTTTAGTTAGATCTTCAATTATGTTTGGATAGTTTTATTTTTCTTATAAGCTCAATTGCGATTGAAAATCATTTTTAGAGGAAATGTTCTTATAGATTATTACCTATTTCTATTTTTCACATAAAGAATGAAAGATAGATGAAAAGATATATAACCATTTTAATAATAGAAGGAGTGTTTTGTCATTTTTCAATCGTAATACAAAAAGCATTACCATACTTTACAAACAAAGAAAATTAGGTTATATAATGCTTTTTCTTGAGAATGTATTTACAAATAAGACTAGAAAATGATAAAGTTTTATTATTTATTCGCACCATCTGGGCGTTTTTATTGAATCTTTCTTTGTAAACGACATTTTACAGTTGACTTATACTATCATGGAAAAATTCCCAATTGAGTAAGTAATTTTGTACGGATTAAATAAGGAGAAATGTTGATAAGATATCAATAAATTGACTTAGAATTGGGTTCTTTCCACATAAAAAAGCATAAAATACTAAGGAATAATATTTACAGTATTATATACGGGATTTATTTAACTAACAAGATGAATCTAATCAACAGAGATATTCTAACAAGGCGCCATCTATCGATTAATTAATATTGTAATTATATATTTTCTTTTCTAATTAACTTTGCTTAACTTTTCTGGTAAGTTGGGCTATAAAGGTAGATGATATAAAGCCTAATAGGTTGTTGTTATTATATTATCAAAATTTACTTTTGTAAAGGTTTTATCGTTCTCCAATTGTCCATCATAGACACTGGCTAAAATATTCCAAGAGTAAAGCTAATTTACATCTCTTTCAAAGTTTCAATAAACAGGAAATTGTATTGACGAGATTACAAGTACTTTCCTTCTCTAAGGATATAGCTCTTGCCGCAGATGCGATGAATAAACTTTGGACGAAGGTCAAGTCATTTCGCTTTTATCGAGTTTCCATTGATAAGGAATTTATAAGTTTTTCAGGGTAAATACTTGTTGACTTTCCTTTAAGTATCGTCCAACGATTTGTGAATATTCCCCTCCTCTCACGCCCCATATCTTCATTTTCGGCTATTCACAAAAGTAGGATCAATGTTAGTATTTTCTTCAACAAATAGATATACTGTCCTTGGAATAGAAAATTGTGAAATGTTGAAAAATTGATCGTTAGATGTCGCTTTTACTTCTTTTGACATTTTTCAGATATTCAAAGAAAAATTGATTGATATTAAGATGTATTAAGAATTTTAAGACAACTGTTATTTTACTATATAAAATCTTAAAAAAGAATCATATAAATGGAAGCCGTTGCTGCGATATGTAAAACAAGCGGTGTACTTGGTTTAGCATTGGAAGATTAATTGCTTATTTTACGCATCAAAGGATCAGATCTTCTACGAAAGAACAAAATATATTTTGTTGCCAATAGGGTCAGTTTTAATAATTTTTCCCTTCTATTTGTTTCTTTTTTTTTTATAAATTATCCATAGAATACTCTGCAAACTCTATTAACTTATCAGCTTTTGTCATAATTGTTGAAAAACATCTGCCAACTGAGGAGTTCGGAATTTTGTCTGTAATTTTTCTTTTCTTTTATTTTTCGTATTCTTTAAACGCCAGACTAATTTGTTCCTAATAAGTAATAGAATGATGATAAATCAGATTCACCCCCTTTTCCTGATTGATCTTTAAGATTATGGATACTTTTCACCTGATTGTGTAAAGAGATTAGATTAGTCTTAAATCAGTATACGATAACTCGCAATGATAGAAAATTCTTTGAAATAATAAAATATAGTTATGAATGAAAGGATGTTTAAGTAATCTGATTGCTATAAATTATCTATTTTTCATTCCTTCTTACTTAACCTCGTCACTCGCCGAAAATAAAAAGGCTATAGATTTTCGTCTCCCTCCAGTTTTCCAGTTTGGATTTTCCCTAGTCGATGAAACGAACGTTGGGCATAGAATTAAACCTACTTCATATGAATTCCGCGAAGCAATTATGCTGTTAGCTTTTGAGCAATCCCTTAGCGATTCGAATATTGAGATCTCTTTGTATTTTATCACACTTTACATCCTACTTTAGCAAACAATTGAACAGGTGCAGGATAAAAACAAACATTTAAATCTAATTTAAATATTCAACTACAAGTGACAAACATTATGGAAACCTTATTTAAATATTGATATATAGAAATTAAGGTAAACAAGTACTTATAATACAAGTAAAATGTGTCTTAATCATAATCCCTTCTATCCGTCTTTGAACTATAACTCACTATCATTTTTAACCCTTTTCTCCTCGATTCCATTCGACAAATTTTAAATGTAAATTATTACCAAAAACTATGCAAGGAAACGAATGGAAGAGAAAAGAGAAATGATAAGGAAAGGAGAAAAAAGTAGTGGGCTCTACCGACTATATATGAATATTAGATTAGGAGTGAAGCGAAATAAAATGAGGCGATTGGTGGTGCCGAAAAAAAAATATTTTTAGCTCTGTCTCTTTCCTATAAACGTCTGCCATAGAATCGGCCGATCTCGAGTTGTTGTGAGTAACACTTCTCTCCTCTAACTCTGGTTTTTTTTTTTGGTATTTATTTCTTTTGTTTTACTAAACTTCTTTTTTTTTTATTAAAAAAAAAACAAATATTGCTAAAGGTAAAAACTTTACACTGATATTTTTCAATTTTAACGCAATAACATATAATTTCTCTAACAATATTAATAATAAATTGATAATATATGATATATATATATATATGTACTGTATATATTGTATATATATATATATATATATATATATATATATATATATGTTGTATTGTTAATGAACAATGTTTTAAATATTGACTAATGTTCAGCTTTAATACAAATCTATTAAACAAGAGTATTATACAATTGGAAGCATAAAAAAAATAGAAAAAATACCCGAAAAAGCGTCAATTCTAATAATATAAATAATCCTGTTTTTTTACTTGGTCATTAGATAAAATATTAGTAGGATTTAAAATAATAATACTATAGAAAAAAAGAATTTAGACGCTTTGCATCTCTCGTATTTGTTAGCGTTACTTATATATATATGCATTAAATTTATTGTTTTGTTGTTTTATCGACAAATCTGAAAATTTTGGTTGGGGAAGGTTGATTATATTTATTTAACCATATACTGTATAGGCTATTTGATTACACCATATTAGCAATAATACCAAGCCAATTTGTTAAAAGTTATGTTTCATTAATAATGAAAATATATATATGGTTGGTAATTGGGCCTTTTAAGCCCTCGAAGGTTAGATTGGTGAACCGTATAGGACGATATTTCTTATTTATTAGTAGAAAAGGATCTAGACAGAGGACAAGATAGTGGAAATTTGGTCTAATTTTACAGTTGAGTCACATACCTTACTGGCGGAAAAAAGTGCCATACGATTCGCCGCCCTCAAGATTAATCGTCTTATAAGAAAATCGCGTGTATTATTAGACGCCGAAAGTTTGTCCAAGTGGGCCTATAAAACGCACCGAATCGATAAAGCGCCAAGTTTGTCAGCTGCTACCAAGCTAGTGTTTTTTACTAGCTCTAGGTCACATATGCGTTTAGAATAGGCGAGTTTGAAATTAATTGATGTGGATGCGAGCTTTATTTATTATCAACTACTTAGGAATTTTATAAAGAGTGAAGTGTCTAACGTCAAGGGAGGTTATTAGGCTTTACATATTTAGTCTTATCCACAGCTCTCTCCCTTTACTCTTATTTTCGATTTATCTAGTTTGTCCAAAATCTACATGTCAAATGGTGTTTTTCAATAAATTATACTAATAAAGAATAAATATACAGGTCTGGGATATGATGACCTTGGTTTAAACATCTAGCATGAATAACTTTACAAGCAAGGTTAGTTCTTTTAATTAGTTGTTGTTGTCTTTTAGTAGCTGAAAAGCTACTGAATTTGATTCATTCTTTTTTTGGCCTTCCCGCCTAATCAATATTGTTACTTTGTACAGTCATGTTTGAATATTTCTACACAACTGTCCTTTTATATTAGGTGACTTCTTTAAGTATTAAAGGATGGAAAGACTTTTCGTCGGTCTTTACCGAACAAAAAACAACTTTGGCAAGCGTCGACTCGGGACCATCCGAAGGCAGTTCACTTTTAGAGGGGAAAAAGAAGGTTCAAAATAAATTCTCCTCTAAGTAAGTAATGGAAAATAAGCATTTCTATCTATTCGATAGTCCTTTTGGGAATAATTTCAATTGAGAATTCAATTATCAATTATTGTCACCTAGTATGAAGTTTATAGGTCTAATTTACTTATTGCGAAGTAAAATATATCATTTTTGATATTAGACTATCAGTTAGTTGATCTGTGGCTTTAAATAAAAAGATTCTAATTATGATGATTGACTTATCATCTTAAGAGATGTAGCATCTTTTTCCCTAAACTCCATCAACATAAAATTCTTGTTGGTGAAATATTGAAAGATTTCTTCTGTTTACATAAAAACGCTATATTTTCATATAGGAAACGGAAAAGCGTCCATTTCGATGGACTTAGATAGAAATGTTTTAATTTTTTTTCATTTTTTTAGTAAAAATAACAAAAACGAAGATCCTGGACAAGTTCAACCTTTGCTTGATAGTTCCCCCGATAAAGAATGGGAAGATAGACCAACATGGAATGGACTTGAAAGGGAATTTAAAGCAGATTTGGGCGTTGATAACAATATTGAGCATGAGAGTCGAGCGAAAGACCCCCTAGAAGAACAACTAAAAGACGATAAAAAACCAAAGCATAGAGATGCAATGAATTTGATTGATTTTACCCAGTAGTGGATAGTTTATTAAAAATAACGTATAGAAATAACAAAAGATAAGAAATATACTATTATAATCTCTCTCTTTTTTTACCTCTCTCTCTCTCTCTCTCTCTGTGTCTTTCTCTCTCTTTCATTCTCTCTTCATTTTGAATATTTCCATATATTTTTTTTTATTAAACAAAAGGAAAAGTTCAAATTTTCTTGCAAGAGGAAATAAATTTAAATATATTTTCTAAAAGGCCTACAAGATGTAAAATATCAGTCCTATACTTGATAATAGTTTTCCAAATGTTAATTATATTATACTTTTTAAAACGGAAAAGAAAATAACGAGAAAGATTCTGAATGTGAACTTTATTTTTGCCGATGTTATATTCATCAATTTTTTATGTTATATATATATATATAGATAATAATAACAATAAAAGAATAGTAATATACACAATACGTGTAAAAAGTATTTGCAACATATTCATAGTCAAAAGATGGCGCTTATTTAAACTAGTTTGCACGGCTTTCTACCTTCAATCCACTACAGTCTATACAATAATAGTTACTGTTAATAGAGTGTTAAAATGGATGTTAAAAAAAAATGATAAGGAAGGAAAAGAGGGATAGAGAAAGTCTTTTACACTCTAAAAAAGAAAAAGTTACTTAGTTTCCAATTTCTTCTGGGTTAGAATCCAAATGAATCCTAAATTACAAATAAAACTATACTTTTAGCAGGTAATTTACAAAATTTCCTCTCTTATCCATAAACTTGAAGGAGCGAAAAAAATAAGAGTAATTCACCTATTTCCTTTCCCCCCCTAATAAGATATAAAAGCTAGTCTTTAGAGAATATATTGACGGTCAAACGTATAGTAGCTGATTATATATACAATATATTATGTAATATATATTTATATATTATTTAATAAATCGTTATAATTAGTAATTAAAAAAAAATTAGATAATATTCATCCGAAAAAACGAATAGACGAAAATAGAGTTTATATCCGTCAATTGAGAATATTTAGAATTGTAAAATTATCTCTTTTAAAAGCAAAAACAAGATATTTAAAGTGTAAACTTATCCAACTTTATCGGATAAATTAATTCCTTTTTTCACTTTATTTAATCAGAAATAAATTTAATTAAAATAAATTTTGATATTTCTATTCTTGAAAACAAACATAAAAAGGAAAAACGAGACAAATTTGACAAACAAAAACAGTTATATCGTTTTTATGTGTTTTGCCAAAATACTGTTATTTTCTTATTTATACTAAGGTTTTATTCAGTTTATAGTAATTAATAGTTATAAACAAGTCTGCTACTTTATTGTCGAATTGGGGTAGATGGAAATGAAATTATTAATTTTATTGATTGCTTATCAAACAGGTTAAAATTTTTTTTTTAAAAAGAAAAATAAAATAGAAATAATTCCTTTTCTAAAATAGTTGGCTCTCGGGCTTATACTTGCTATCAATGCGGCGAGAAGGATCAACCTCCCTGCTATTCTTCTAAAATAGAAACTTGCGAAGGGATAAATTGCGTTATAAATTACTATTACGGAGTTTTAAAGACCAGATCTTGTGCGATTAATAAAGCCTATGGGACAACTGATCAATGTATGAGAACACCCATTCATAAAGTTTGTTATTGTCTATCAGACTTTTGTAATAACGATAAAATGAATAGAAAAGAAAAGGAACAAGGTAAAAATAGATTGTTAAAAATAGTCAATAGACAATTTCTTCATTTCCCTGATATTTAACATTTTTTCAACTAGATAAAATGAATGGAATAAGACAAATGCAAACAACGAATTCCTTCTCTACTCTTACAGTTAAACAACCATTTAAAACAATCGTAAGAAACAATGTTAAAAACAATTCATCATTAGTTTGCAATTCTAAATATCAATTGTTATTTATCCTAATTAATTATATAAACGTATAAACGAATTAATAAGAAAATATACAATTTTACAATAACAAATGTATTATATAAACAGTACATTACTAGTAAATTGTAGAATCAAAAAATATACAATTTCCAGCTATATACAGTAACCAAATATTAACCGTTTCTATGTAGTTTAGCAAGTTATCGGGGCAAAAATCAAATTACTTTGCGTAAAAGTTATTAATTTTCAAGTAATGATGTACGCAAAACAAATTTTATGGAATAACAAAACCAATTGTTACTTCCTAGAATTAGACAAAATGATAAACTTATTCTATGTTGTCTACCGAAAATTTTATGAAGGAAAAAAAATATCTTTTCCTTATCTTCCTCTTCTTCTTATCGTTCTTATCGAAAAAATTGTATATAAAAAATATCGCCAACTTTAAACTTTATCCAAAGATACAAAATGAATCTTTCGTTGTTTTAGGTAGTGACGCCACTTTTGACAAGATAATCGATCTTATTTCTTTAAATGTGTTACTTCATAAATATTTAATATTTATAAAAGATTAAACAAAGAAAAATCTTTATATTTCAGCAGATAGAATAATTAAATCTTTCAGTTTGCGTAAATATCAAAGTATTTTTTGCAGGTTCAAAGAAATAGTCTTTAAAAATGGTATCAAAATTGAACTTTGATAAGTAACAAACATTAATCGTCTTTTTAAAAGCTACACCTTGACAAACAGCGTATCTTTGGCATAATGTTAAACATTCATTAAGATTTTGAACAATTTCTTTCGTTTCTATAAATTCTTCTTTAATTATATTATCTACGGCTACCAAAACATAGTCTTTAAAGAATGAAAAGCGAATTATTAGCGAAATATAATTGGCAAAACCAATATTTACTTACCAGTTAATTTGGTAATAGGTTGAGATATAAATTCAACTTTGCATAATTCAAAACTTTGATTACTTTGTGAATAAATCTTGAAATATGAGGTGAGGCTATGATTTGAACAAGGGTGAACTAGTCGGTTGGATGTCTTATTTTCTGTTTCGAAGCAGTCAAAGGATTTAAGTGGCATTAAAATAGTTTTTATTGGTTGAATAATAGATCCAAAAATAATCAAAATACTCTTTATTCTTACTAATTCGCCGGTATAGAAAATAAATTGATAACTTTTCACACATTGACTGGTATACGGAATAAGGTTTACATGATTGGAATGAACAAAATGCGTGGGAGTTAAAATAGGAGCTGCTTACAAAAGAAATAAATTATTAAGTCTTGAAATGTATCTTGTTTTTAGTACCTTTTGCTCCATAAGCAATTATTTCGCATATATGTATTATCGTACTGGGTAAACCTCGATAAAATGATAACATATTTCCCACAGAATCCTCGGGGCAGGAATAAAAAATTGGTCTGCGTGTCGCATAAGGTTGCTGATAACAACTTTTTCCATCATGCAAACTATTTTGAATTCCAACTACAAGTTCTACGTATTCATAAAGAAAGCTAAACTGGTATCTTGGGACTACTGTCACTTCTGAAACGTCGTATTCACCATCAAAATAAACAGTGAAAACAGACATTTTCTCGTGACTAACAGTTGAACAATACCCATAGTCTTTAACATTTCCAAAATATTGTAACACATAACCGTCAATAGCTTTTGCGGGATATTGTTCATAAGGTTCAACCTTGTGTGCACCTGGATCGAGTCCACTTCCTTCTGCTCTTATCATCGGAATTTTAATGATATCCAAGTTCTTCTTCTTAAGAATACCTAATACTTCAATTTCAGGAACATTAGCAGAGTTTCCTTCTAAAAATTCCCAAAATACTATTGCATATCGTCCAATTGGATTTGGTTCAAAACATTTTAAAGAAAGTAGTGAACCAGGAGCTGGATTAACAGTATTGTTAAAACAATTCGCAATAAAAGTGATTGAATTTCTAGGTCGAGTATTTTCAATTCTACCGAACATATTTGAAAATCTTTCCGTAATCAAAGCTAAAAATGAAAAATATAAAGATACTGAACTCTAGTAATGTAAACTTAATAACCTAAAGGTCTAATTAAAATTCGAAATCTGAAAACAAGATATTCTTGTAGTAGATCAATACATATCCATGGTTTTTTTGACATTCTTGAATGATACATTTTGAAGTTATAGATTCCATCATTTATCATCATTTCAAAGCCGAAAGCATCTTTTTCCGAGCCGAAAGTTTGCTGACTTGACGCCCATACAGGCTTTTTTAGAGCTATATTTTTTGTTATTTCACCTAATAAATGCAAATAAAACTGTTCAATATCGGTTATTTATAACCAGGAATTTTTTTCTTACTTGATTTTTTCACAAAATATCCCCATACATTGATTGTTTCGAATGAAATTATAGTAAAAGCGTCTCTTATTATTGTAACGTACTGACCAAATATCTTATTTCCAGGGCAAATTACTGTTGTCATACTAAAATCATTAACGTTAATAAATTGTCCACAAAAATCTTCATCGTCAGAGGTTAAATTATCAGATGGATGCGTCATAGTGACATAAACTATTGCATTTTCCAAATAATGTTTTCTATTAGAAAGGATGTCTATAGCTTTTGTTATATAAATGTTTAATAAACTTAAGCCAAACCATGGCTTAGTTTCTTCGGAGGTTTCAAAAATATTTATAGGATTATCTATTGTGGCCTGATAAGCCATACTGTAATGGCCCGTAGCGCTAGAAGAGAATGCCGGTAAAAAAGATGAAAGGGTAGCTATTGTAAAAGTATTAAATTAACATAGGAAACACCATATTTTCTATTACCTGAATAAGCTTTTATTTCACAAATCTGGAGTTCATTTGCAGATTTAAATGTTGCGTATCTGCCAGGAAAAAGATATATAGATGTACAATGGATACTATTATGATGATTGTTTATCAATGGATAATCTTCTACACAAATTTCATTCTTTTCGTAATGTGTTATATGAGCTCCTGCATTATTCAAGTAAATACTAATAGTTTGATTATCTGTTGAAAATTAAAAAAAAAACAATGAAATATTGCAGCTAGAGAATACTTTCATAAGAAAAAATATGTACCACAGCAATTTGGAGTCGTTATTATGAATTTTCTAATAAAGTTTTTAGTGGATAAAAAATCAATGATCAGCCAATAGTCATTGCTATCTTTTATGTTAAAATTAGAACAACCCCCTAAATTTTTTTCGGTAAATTCAACACCATCTACAACATGAGTAGGATGTAATAAATCCTCGTATGAGCCCGACGGAAAAGAGATAGGTTTGCGGAAGGCCAAATTTTCCCCTTCAAATATATCTGTCATTAGACAGAGATATCTTTTATAAACTTTATGTCCATCTATGTTTCTAATTCCGCCTTCTATGGTAAAATGATAAGAAATCATATCTTTTTTGATATCCTCAATGGACATTGAATCCCAATTTTCGTCTTTTATAAACTCTCCTCGACATCCAACACTTTGGTACCAAAGAAATTTTAAACATTCCAGGGGATGATCGACAGACCTATTGGCTGAACCACACATACCCTTTTCCTTATCTATTTATATAAGAACAATATATGAATGTTGACTTGTAAAAAACAAATGCAAATGACCTTTAAGAATGAAAGAATGACTAGAATTCTTGAACCCAACGAGAGGATAAACAAAATATGATTTTAGTTCACAAGAGATGTTTTGGAGAACTGTGGATGTTGTGAAGCCAACACAATTTTCCATTTGGGTACATTTCTCAAAGCATTTGATATAGTTATCAAAAGTATACGAAACCAATGTATAGCCATAACTGATATAATTAGCGACGAATAGTACTTCTCTTCCTTTATATCAATTTAAATATCATACACTTATAAACAGTATAGAATACATAACTTATATATAAGTTACCTTTATTGCAAATTTCATCATTTAAAATTGGACTACAATTGCATGATCCCGATACACACTTTCCTCCATTTAAACAAAATTCATCATTAATGCAGTGAGCTTTTAAAGTTTTGATTGATGTCAAGTATGTTTTAACTGAGAAAAAAAAGAAAACTTACTGGAAAGACGAATAATCAGAAAAAAATGCAATAAGCAAAAGAGATAATTCATAGTTCTACAAAAAGGACTGGAGAAGTAACTAACGTAAAGTAAATTCATAATTTAGTACTAATAAATAATCAACATGCTCAGCTGGAAAACTTTTATATGCTATTGATAGAATGAATGTAGAGAAATTTAAACTTAAAAAAATGACTTTAGCATAACTTATTCTATCTTTTACATTGTATTTGGCCAATTTTTTATCTATATCTATTACTGTAATATAACACATTATGTATATACTGTATATACATAAATTATTATTAACTTAACAAAAGATTTTGTTTTTTATTAAAAAAAATATTTTGTAAATTATAAACATACTAGAATTACATTTAAAATATCAATTAATACTGTTTTTTTAAGTCGTATTTTATTTTTTTTAAGGGGAAATAATATCCTATTACTCACTTTCAAATTTCCCTTAATTATCTAATTAAATGTTGACCGGAAATGATTCACTAAAAAAATCTTTGCATATTCTCTCTCTCTCTCTTTTTTTTAATCAATTACAATAACCTTATTTATTTTTGTATTGATTGTATTCACATAGCAGTTTAGAAGGAAAGCTCAATAGTTATTTCTTTTTGTTTTGTACATAAATTCATCCTTATTGATTATTGATGTCGTTTTATTTAACATATCCTAAATAATGTATTCTGCCGTTGTTTTAAGGTTTATGAGGATCGATACAACTTACTAGGATAGATAATTGGATTGGTTTTTTTTTTCTTATGGTAAAATTCATGACCATGGCTTCTCTACGGTTTAGGATTTTACGGAATACCAGTGATCAATGATCCATGATTACTCAGTTTCCAATTCAATAACATTAAGCTTAACGATATGACAACTTAATCTGTTAATTGTTCAGACCATTTTCAATATCCAAATAGGGTTAGAATATTTAGGCCGAAATGTTTTGAATTATTAAGTGAATCAATATAGTATAAATTACAACTTTTATATAAAGTATGGTATATAATATTTCGGCGCTGTAGTGAAATTATTATATATTTCAGGCTTTATAATATATGCCATATACTGTATATATATTTAATCTAATTAATTAAATATTCACCCAAAGATATAAAAATTTCTTCGATTTGACGCCATCTAACGGATTTTTTATTGAAAAGAAGACCCCACCCCTTTCACTCGTCCCCATTTCCTATATTTTTTTTGTAAAAAAGCTCAGCGGAATTCACTTTGTACAACAATTATTGTGTAGCGATTCACTGAAAAATACATCTACTGAATATAAGTCTGAATTCAGCTGAACCAATCAAAAGCAAGAATTTCCCTTTCGCCTGATAAATGATAAAGGAATGAAGAACGTGGGCGAGAAATGTTTATGTAATAAAAAGCAAAGAAATATTAAAATTTCTCTCTCGAGTTTTTTAATTACTTGGTCCTTTATGAATGCGAATATGCGCTATATGAAAATTGTTCACTTTACATAATTCCTAGCTTTGAACTCTATTCTAAACTTGTTAAACATTTCAAAAAACAAAAGTATGAGCCTATGCTCTACATATAATTAAATAGCATATATATATTTGATATACACTTTTTTTTTACTTTCAAGCAACTTGAATTGGAACGTCGATAATGAAAGATATAGTATTATTTTACTACAATGCATAAATATTGCTCTTTTGAAAAAGCAAAGACATTGATCAAATATAAGCATATACACAAATTTACCTTTATAAAGTTTATATTATATATATATATATATATATATATATATATATATACGATCATCGATATAGAAGAATAAGAAAAGTGTGAATAAAAAAAATGACTGAATGTTAAAGACAACACCCCTTTTATGTTCCAGTTCTTGAATAACATAGATAAAGCGATTATTCAATCATAAAATGAATATTTAAATAAGAAATAAATAAAGAAGACAATGATTCATTTTCAGAATATTTTAAATTCCGTTTATTTATTCTAAATTCGATAAAAATTTTTAATATAGATTTATACTTTGTTTACTACATATCTTTATATTAGTATAGAGTATATAAATTATATATGTATATATAATACATTGCTCTAATCATCTTTCTATCTAATTTAAATTCTGTATTTAAAAAAAAACCATATTTATTCCATATAACTGTGAAAAATTTATATAACATACTATATATACGTATATTTATATACTGTATATTAGAGCTAAAATATTTGATATCGTCACAAAGATGTAGAGAGAGTGAGAGAGATACAAATATTGAAAGTTCTATTATTTTAAAACATCTAAAAATAGACACATTTATATATATATATATATATTTGTTATACATAAAAGATTCATAATAAATATTGTGTATTCTTTACAGAGGTTTGTAAAAATAATCCTCAATTTATAAAATAAAAACTAAAGTGAAATTCAATCATTTTCAGTTGTAAAAACAATAATTAAGTGAATTCATTATAAATAGTAATGTGATAAAGGAAATTATATACTTTCAAAACTTATTATATAATTACATATATATATTTTTTAAAGATCTCTTTTTCTTTTTGTATTTTATTCCTTAGTAACAAAATGAGAGGATTATCTTATAAGAGAGAGAGAGAGAGAGAGCGAGAGTAAGATACAAAAGGTACAAGCACAGCAACTCATTTTACTTAATAATTTGTTTATCAAATTAATAGCAACTCTATGAATGAATTAATATGTATAAAGAAAATATATATTGATAAATATACATGCTATTTATAAATATGTTAAATAATTTTCTTTTCTTTTTTTTTAGTGGTTTTTTTTTTTCTTGAAATAAAAAAGGTTTTTTTTACTATTTGGCTTTCCTTCTTAGTGTGCAACAAAGGAAGCACGCAATTATAAAACCAACAATTTGGATAGCTGCTATACCAATTCCAACACCAGCTAAGATGACGATATTATCTTCTACCTCCGTTTTAAGCTTTTCATAACAGGTAGCTTTCCAAATATAGTCATCTTCTTTATTCTTACATTTGTCCTTGTCTTTCATATCATCTTCGTAAGTAGAGAATTTTATAGCATTTTGAAAGTTGTCTTTATCTTCGATAGCGGTTTTAAATACACAGCAACTCCATGGCATTTCTTCACCAGTAGGAAAATCAGCAAGACCTTCTTTCAAGCCGCAGCACTTTAGTTTAACTTGTGCGAAATGTATTAAAGAGGTAAACGCTGTATCGACGTTATACTTCTTAGTAATTAACTCTGATCCTTTATCTTTTATCTTGTCGTCTATTTCGCCTCTGAAAATCATCGCTAAAACACCGAAAGCTAGCTCAGCAGCAAAAATAATAACTAAAAATGTTGCGTATGTTACTAGCATCCAAACAGACTCCGTCAATGCACCACAGCATCCACAGAAACCAACTGCTAGAACGAAAACTCCAACACCGATCATCACGTATAGTGCATATTTTGCATAGTCCTTATCTAGGATCTCGTTCGAAAGATCGATGTAATTGAGCATATTCGGATCGACAAGAATCCATACCGCAATTGCCGCTATAGCGAGTCCACTAAGCCAAAAGAGAAAATTAAAGGTGAAGAGAATACCCTTACACAATCCTGTTCCGCAACCCATATTTCCAGCAAAATTATTTCGAGGGCGTTGGTTGTTGAACTGCCGAAATGACGATCTACACTGAACGAAACGGGTGAGGTCTGAATCACAAATATTGAACAAGGGGTGACTTCAGAAGGGGTTTGAAAAAGTCATAATAGCACTTAGCCTGAACGGATTGTATAGCCAACAGCCTCTCTGGCAAACTATATATAAGTACTAAGAGGGTGTAGGCATATGTTTAGTGTTTGCCAAATTGCATTTTACGCCCTCGTTTACTCCAACTTTGTTTTTCCCCCGTGAACATTTTACCGTGCCTCAGCTCTAGCGCGAAGTACGCTTCATTGATCTTCTTTGGCGTTCAATACGAGTTACAGTTTCCATGGGGCCGATTTACAATGATCACGCCACCTTCCGGTAATTGTAGCAGACTATACCTACACCTTGAACTTGTTGGCTTTCCTATTGTTAATGGAGCAAAAAAAAATACTATAAAGCACTTTAGCAGAATTTTAATGCTCTGACCCACCAAAGAGAAAAATATCACCAGCGTAAAAAGTTAATGATGGTATTTCTACTATAAATGTTCATCAATAGTTTGAACAAGACTTTTATATTAATTCAAACCAATTTAGATCATTGATTATTTCCCATTCAATTGTACTATAAATATATATATATTTTTTTCCCTTGTACGACTCAAAAAGTGATTGTTTTAACTGAAAACCAAGTGTTGTTTGCATGTTGGCTTTTAACAGTTTTTTTTCTCAATTTTAAAGATATATAGAATGATTAAGTTCGCCCTAGAAAACATTAAATTACTCAAATATTTTAGTTATTCACCTTAGCATGTCGCAAAATATAGGCGGGGTTCGAAACCCACAATGATTTACTCTTTCCCACAACGCATGCGTAATTCTACACAAACTTAGCTACAGAAGAGGGGCGGTTTTCTCTCTGTATGCTTGGCCCCATTGATAAGTTTCTTGTCATTCATATTTGAACCAGACAATTTTGTCACTTATAAGACAAGGGTTTTATCTATATCAATTGTAAAACACTTTTCATTGATAAATGTTTAGCTTTTGTTTAGCTTTTTTTCCATATTTTCCAATATAGTAGTTTGGTACACTTAAAAATTCAATATAATAAGTGTATATATATATATATACAAATATAGATATATTTATTCATTTGTGAACTATTTATAAGACAATATAATAAGTTGATATACTGTATAAATTGTATAGTTTTGCATATAAAGATACTGTTCTGTTGTAAGAAAAAAAAAGCACTGTACAAACTGAGACTAAACTTTTGTTTGCCCCTCATTTGCTGTAGGATTGTCTAATGATGTATCGTAAGAAGCATTGTTATAACCGTTTGTCGCTCCTCCATTACCTAAGTTGTTAAAACTTCTTGCTGATATTTGAGATTTTTGATCATCCATTGGTCCGTAATTCGTCTTTACCCTCTTATATTTTATAATAAAGACGATGGAAACGATAATAAGAATGAGTAAGAAACTAACGCAAACGCATATAATAATTATATTTGATTTACTAATGGAGCTCGAACTACTTTCAGGATCCGGCTCTTTTTCTGGTGTTTTTGATGACTTTTGAATATTTGGCTTTGTTGCTGGTCCACTTACTGACGAGTTTTCCTTTTTCGTTGAGGACGAAGATAAGGGTGGGGCAGCAGTGCTTTTCAAAATCGAACTGTCACTTATTATAGGCCAATTTGAAGTTTCTGCTTCAGTTCTAGTTGTAGCAGCAGTACGGGCCGAAGTTCTAGATGTAGACTTGCGATCTGTTATAGCCGAAGAAAGATCAGTCAAGGTCGAAAGTATCTTTGAGTTTTTGGTTGATTCAAAGGTTGAAAGTTCAGAGATGAAACTTTTGGATGTTTCATAGGTCGATGAAGTAGGGATAGGTCGTTTAGAAGTTGATTTGTAGTTCGTAGTTGATTTATAACTTTGAGTTGTTTGAGAGCTTGCAGTCGTTGATGGCATGCAAAATTCGTGTTTCTTCTTCTTGATATCGTCTCCAAAAGTACATTTGTCCACACTAAAACATACTACAAACTCCCCAGTTAAAACGTCCGGTTTAGCGCACCTGGCCTTATCCATTACTAAACTTGAACTTCTAAGCCAACCTAAATTACAAGTACAAGCAAAGCTATTACCAGATATCATTATGGATTTGAGATTAGGTAAATTTTGTTCTATATCTTTCGAAAGAGTTGATAATTGATTATTTTTCATATCTAACTTGTTTAAGGACTGCCCCAATTCCAATATACTTTGAGGGTTTACTTGAGAAATTTTGTTATCATTTATCAACAAAGTCTTAATGGTGGGCGTAATTCCCTTGTTTGCTGACCATTCAATAGAAGATATATTGTTATATCCTAAATTTACATCAGTAAATTTATCCGAAAGGTTAACAATGACAGACGGAATAGCTTTCAATTGGTTCCTGCTAAGATCCAACGATTTTATACTTTTTACCCTAGTGAAAAATTTAGAATCGATATTTTCGTCCGTTAATTGATTTGAGTTCAAATTTAGACTATTTATTCTACCGCTGAATATCGAATCCATTGAAAGTCTACTAATTTTATTATTGGAAAAATCGCATATAGTGTCGGACACTTTTTCCTTTGGGGTTTGAATGTTGATTTTTCCAAGACTTGTTAATTGATTATTCGACATATCAATTACATTAACAAACTCAAGATTGTTGAATGGTACCTCTGTAAGTCGATTGTTTGAAAGATCAATGTTCCGTAAAGACGGCATATTATAGCGTAATTTGAGAGTTGAAAATCCATTATTTTCCAAATTCAGATACGACAATGAAATAAGAGACTCGAACGCTGATTCTTGAATGTCTTGTATATTACAAGACGACATGTCAAAGGAATTTAGAAAATTCAAACCATTTAATGAATTGTTTCCAATACTCTTAATTGGATTTCCCGAAAAGTCCAATTTGTTTAGTAGGCTGACATTTTCAAATGTATTGTCAGGTATTTTGGTGATTTTATTGTTATTTAATTTCAATTCTTTCAATTCCCTGGTTTCTTTTAATATACCCAAAATATTTTCATCAATAAGATTATAGGATAAATCTAATTGTTCTAGATTCTGTGGCTTAGGAAGAAAGTTTGGGGACAAATTCTTCAATTGATTATTTGCTAAGAAAATAATACGTATAGAGGTGCAATTTTCAAAGAGATTATTGACGTTCTTATCATTTAACTGGTTGTTTGTTGCGTCAAACTCTTGAAGGCTACTAGGAAGTGACGTCAGGCTTGTAAGACTGTTGTTTCTTATTGATAAGCTAGTTATTTGTGTGTTAACGATGGCTTCGCCTAGGCCATTTGATATTTCATTGTCATCCAATTTTAAAATTTGTAGACTTTTTAGTTCGGTAAATGTTTTCGCATGTATAGATTTTATTTTATTTCCCGAGAGATCTATATTATATACTCGTCCAAGGTTTATAAAGGTCTTATCGTCCAAGTCCCCTAGTGATAAATTGGCCATTTTTAATACTTCCAAACTCTCTAAGAATTTCATCTCTGGCATATTCTTTTTCTTGAAGAGGGTATTGGATATATCTAGATCGTATATTGTTTTTAGTCCGCTTAAGGATCCTTTCTGGAATTTTAAAGGATTATTTTGCAGTTTTAAACTTTGTAGATTCTCCAGCTTATTAAATATATTCGAAGGTAAAAGAAATAGTTTATTATCATTAAGAGAAAGTTCACGAAGATCTTTTATACCGCTAAATGTATCCTGGTCAATCTTTTCCAAAAGATTATGATCCAAATAAAGATTTTCCAAATTGATAAGATTAAGGTCACTTGTAAACTTTGGTATTTCTTTCAATTGATTATTTTTTAAGTTGATGTTGGATAATTCTCTCGCATTCTCAAAAGATTTATCATTGATCTTATTAATTTTATTATTAGAGAGATCTAAGTTCAATATCTTAGAGTTATACATCAACTTATTCGGTATCTCCTCTATCTGATTATCTTGTAAATAAAGATATTTCAAACCGTTTAATGTTGTGAAAACATTGGGAAAAGTTGTAAATTGATTTCCATTAAGATAAAGAGTCTCTATCACATTCGTTTCTCTGAAGGCTTTCTCGTGTAGCTTCTTCAATTTATTATTACTTAAATCAACGTGAACATCACTCTTTAGATTATCCATAAATCCCTCTTCTAATCCCTCAAGCAAATTATTTCCCAAGAAGATTGAATATGCCTTTTTTAAATCTTTAAATATTCCAGAAGGTATTCTCTTCAATTGATTATTATTAAGCTTTATCGAGTCTAAGTTGTTAAAACCATCGAATATTCCAGATTCCAGTACACTTAGTACATTATGTCCAAGATTTATCTTGGTTAAAGAATCTTTCAAAGGTGATAATAGCTCTTTTGTTACTTTGCTTATTTTATTACTTTCCAAGTTGAGAACGCTTAACATTCCTAATCCATCGAAAGATTTTGGTGATAATTTATATATTTTATTCCCGTTTAAATATAGAACATGTAGTTTTTGCAATCTTTTAAAATCATTATCTTCAATTGTAGCTATTTGATTAGCTTCCAAGTCTAATTTGTATAATTCTTGTAAATCGTCAAATTGGCCAGGATTAAACTTTTTAATCTCGTTATTTGATAAGGTTAACTCTGTCAGAGACGTTAATTTAGAGAAAACTTCGGAGTTTATATCATTAATGCGATTTTTAGACAAGTGTAATTTTTTCAAATCACTTAAATTACTAAATACTTTATCTTGAAGTTTTGTTATTCTATTTTGCGACAAGTAAAGTTCATTTAGAGAAACCAAATTTGAAAATAAATCATCTGCTAGATTATCCAACTGATTATCAGAAATATCTAATTCTTGAAGTTTCTTCATTGAATTGAAGATTTTAGGTGATAGACTTCTAATTTGATTATTTTCAAGCTTCAAAGTATTAATTCTTTCGCTATGTTGAAAGATATTTTCATTTAATTCTTGAAGCTCATTAATATCCAAATATAGATAGTGAAGGCTTGGTAAATTCATAAAAAGCCTTTCAGGTATGACTTTTAATCTATTATTGGACAATACAAGAGTATGAAGATTACTTAAACCATTAAAAGCATTAGGATGAATTGTTCTTATATGATTTTCAGCTAAATTTAAATTTGCCAAATTCTCACCAATACCAATAAAAGCATCCTCCTCAATTACTTCTATTTCCAATTTATTTAAATCTAGAGCGTATCCACGAATATTTTTAAATGCTTCCCTTTGTATAGTCGAGATGGCGCTATTTTCAAAATCTACGGCATTGTAGACGGTCACGGAAAATTTAAAGGCAGGTATCTATTTTTTTTTTAAAAAAAAAAGTTTTACTAAATAAAAAATAAATTTCCTTAATTAAATCTAATCCTAGAAATATTTTTGTAAAATTTTCCTCTTATTTCTATTCACTTTTTTTTCTCTCTTTTAATAATATTATTGAATTGCTTTGATTTCGTCACGAAATTTTATTGAAGCTTCTAAGCTTCGCTCTATTTACTAAGAATTTATCATTTACAAATATTTCATTCAAATTAGCTTTTTACCTTAACCAGTCATAAAAAATATTTACTTTTTATAGGCTTAGAAAAACATTACGTAATTAAATTATAAATATAACTTATTTGTAGGATTAATTCAATTTTGAAGAAGCCTCACCTCATTAATTCTTCCTAAATTTTTACACTTGATTATATGACCGGTAAAGGACATCTCACAGACGCAATTTTCGTGTATAACTGGACATCCTTCAGGAGGTTTGGGTGTTGACGGTGCAATTGTAGAACTACTTGCCATTGGGGTAGTACTGGGTATTTTCGTAGCAGTTGTTGGAGGTGGAATATGACAAATAGATATATTATATTGGGTAATAAGTGAATCTCTATATCGACATCTCGGTTTATCTAGATTAAGAGATCTAATCCACGTTAATTCACAGTCGCAAATCCAGGGATTTCCCTCCAACAAAACTCTTTCAAACTTTACAAAATTCTCGAAAATGTCTGACTGTAAAGTTGTCAAAAGATTATCCCTCAAGTCGAGTGTTTTTAATGAATTCCTGACGGCAACAATATGGGAATTTTCAACTTTTGTCAACAAATTTCCCCTCAATTCCAAATTCTCCAATGTTGAATATATGTTCATTTTAGTCCAATCTTCTAGCGTAGATAATGAACATTGATTTATTCTAAGACTTTTCATGCGCGTAATCAATTGTTTAACGTTATCTGGCATCTTCCCAACAGGATTATTACTTATATCTAATTCATCAACAAGTCTAACTCCATGGAAGAAATTATCAGGTAATTTTGAAATATTATTCTTGGAAAGCTTTATATTTTCAACTCTACCAGAAATAAACAAATTATCGATGTTTGTCAATCGATTATTCTCAAAGGAAATTAATCTAGTTTTACTATCAACTTCCGACGAGGATTCAATAAATAATTCTGGCAAACTTTCCATTAAGTTATTTGATAAATCGAATTCCAACACGTTTGTGAAACTTTTAGCTCCATTAGGGAAAGATTTCAATTTGTTCGAATTTAATAGCAAAGTATTAATATTAATGGGAGAAGAAGGTAAAGTTAATTCCTCAATCTGATTATCTTGCAGATTGAAATATCTGAAATGATAAATGATTATCAATGATATGCTCTAATAAGATTGCGATTTGTTTAATATATATTTTCTTAAAATTACCTTAATCTATTGAGTCCTTTCACAGTTCCTGTATTTACAATACTAATCTGATTGTTGGCTATTGACAAAGTCTCGATCGATTGTCCATTCTTTCCAAACAGTTTTGGCAGTTCTTTAAGTGAAGTTTTATCCAAATTCAAATTCCTTAATACAGTCAGATCTTCGAAGAGGTTATCCTCCAACACTGACAATTCATTTTCACTAAGATTTAGCTCGGAGAGACTCGTTAATTGCTTTACATTAACTATGCCACCCTGTGATAATTTGTTATTAGAGACGCTTAAGGTATCTAACGTATTTGGTAATCCTATCAAAGATTCTATCTTATTAGAGTCTATCCAAAGTTTCTTTAACTTTAAATTATTCAAAGATTGGAGACTGTCCTTTATAGCATTTCTCGAAAGATCTAATTCATTTAGAGAATTAAGTTTCGATAGAAACTTAGGTAATATAGTTAATAGATTTCCATCTAAATTAAGAGTTTCTAATAAACTCTTGTCTCCGATACCTTCAAAAGAATCATCCTCTAATTGATTGTCGCCGAGATCGATATGTTTTAGCTTTGTTAAAGGATTTAAAGTTCCAAGTCTCAATTGGCTAATTCGATTATTTCTTGAAATAAGGTTCGTAACATTGGTAAAATAATTAAAAACTTTTGTTGATAGCGTTCCCAAATTATTATCGCTTATATCTAATATCAATAGTTCATTGCCTGTTGTAATTCTCTCTATTTCGAATAACGTCAACTTATTTCCCTTTACATGTAATTCTTCAAGTTTGCATCCTGTAAATGCTCTTGGATGAATGCCAATTATTTTATTGTTATCCAACGACAACTTGTAAATATTGTTCGCGCCAAGAAACAGATTCTCCGGTAAGCTTTGTATTAAATTATTATTCAGATTAATATCAAAGACCGTTTTAAGACCAAGAAATGAATTTCTATTGACATATTCTATCTGATTGGAGGATAGATCAATAGCTCGTAGATAATCTACTTCAGAAAGGAACATTCTGTCTGGTAGATTTCGTATTTTGTTACCCTGTAGTTGTAGTCTCTCTAAATTTTGAAGATTTCTAAAGCTTATCTCTGTCAGATCAGTAATTTTGTTAAAACTCAGATCAATAAAGCGAATCCTTGTATTACTAAAGGCCAAGGCTTGTACCTCCATAATTTCGTTGTGATTCAGTTTAATTTCATGCAAAGAATTCGGTAATGATGACGTAGGAATTTCAGTGAGTAGGTTGTTTGACAAGAAGAGTTGGAGCATGTTTTTACAATTTACGAATGAATTCTCGTGTAAACTTTGAATTTTATTGTTACTTAGGTCAACGAAATCCAAACTTGTCAATTCAGAAAAGCTATTAGCATCAATTTTCTTGATTAGATTGCCATTTAGATGAATAGAGCGTAAAGCTGGTAAATTCTTAAATATTCCATTAGGTATGGCCGTTAATCTATTGTTGTCCATCTTAATTGTTGCTATCGATTTAGTCGCCGTAAATATTCCATTAAGAATAAGTTCAATGTTGTTTCTTGATAATGATATTGAATTTATCTTACTCATTTTATCAAAAAGACCAACGGGAAGTTGTTCAATATCGTTGTCGTCCAAATTCAAATCATAGAGATTATCTAATCCTTGAAATGTGGCTACTGAGAGGGAAGAAATCTCATTAGCATATATATGTAAATTAAGAAGAGATTTTTGATTTAGAAATAATCGATCGGGTAAATCATCTATTTGATTATGCTCCAGATTAAGTGTGTTCAATTTCTCAAGCGAATTGAAAATGTTCAAAGGTAAAGTTTTCAGCCGATTATAAGACAAATTCAAAGTTTTTAAATTTGAACATTTCTTGAACAGATTTCCGTCTATTGTCTGTAGTCCGTTCTTTTTTAAGTCGAGAGTTTGTAGATATTCTAGTTTGTCAAAAATATCTGAATCAAGGCTTCTCAAACGATTATTCGCTAGATGTAACGTTTGTAGTCCAGTAGTAGTATCAAATATTTCTTTATCTAAATCTTCGATGTTATTCGATTCCATATTTAATTCATCTAAGTGGGGTAATTTGGAAAATGTTTTTTTACTTATCATCTCCAATTTATTGTCAGCTATATTGAGCTCAGTCAATTTCGGTAGAATATCAAAAGCTTTTTCATCAATGTTATCAATTTCATTCAAATCTAGATGTAGATATTGTAAGTTATCCAAGCCGATAAATGTCTTATTACCAATCGTTTTTAATTTATTGTTACGTATAGATAAATGAGTAGCGCTTCGTAGATCTTTGAACAAATAATCCGGAATGCTAGTTAAGAGATTCTCTCCCAAGGAAATAGTATCTACAGTAGTGCCGATAAAAGCGTCCTTATGTATTTCTTGTATTCCCAAACTGCTTAATTGTAAATCATTAACTTTTAATCCAGTAAAGGCGTTCGCTTGAAGCTTCCTTATAATTGTATTTCCACTGAACGACAATTCTGAGTAAAGAGTGTTGGATGGTCGCACGAATGGAAATTCCTCTAAAGTTCCTAAATCTTCACAAACTATTTTACGCGTATTGATAAACTGCGTCTTACACTTGCACTTCTCCAAAAGAATAGGACAATCTTGAGAATTTACCTTTAAGATTATATACAAAAATATACACACAAAATTTAATACATTCTTCATCCTCTCCATTTTTCTCTCTGACTAAAATGCTCTGGCCTGCTAAAAGGCCGACATGTATTGAAATTGCCGACGCACTATTCGAATGATTCACGTAAATCGGATCTTAAACAGGAGTCACTTCGAGAATTTCTTTATATCTATTCTCTGTTTATTATAAGCTTGTTCCGTGAAAGTAATGACTTTAATATCCTAATAGACAAGGTATAGGAATTGATGTGCACTGAATGGCAGCGTTCTTTCGATTAACTATACAGGTGTTACGGTTAGTAGCGAACTTAATGGCTGCCTAGCAATTTTCTACATAATTTCATCAATATTCTATCCAATTAAAATAAATTTCCATGCTATACGAATTTGCATTAAGACAGTGTAAATATTAGAATGTTATATTATGGATTTTATTCACTCTATTCGTCCTGCAAATAAAACTTATTATTTACCCACTAGATACGCCCCTGAAAGGGGAATTTACGATGAATCACACTCCCTTTCCTGTTCTGTCATGCAACTATAGACTACAGTTGTTTAAATTTAGAGCAAACAAAACAGAACGATTTTATTGAAATTCTATCCTGTTTGCAAAAAATTTGGGTCTAGGTTAGGTGAGGAAAAGGTAAGAAAAGAGAGAGTGTATGTGTGAGGGGGTGAGGGTTAAGAGGGGAATTTTCTCTTTCTTGTGTAATATTCAAAATAGATCAAGTATTATGAGATTTTTACGCTCTAGTACATCTAAATCATTAGCTATTTTGAAAAGGACCCAAATTCTAAGCAAAACTGTCTATTTCTCCATTTAAAAAAGGAACATAGATAAGATAAAAATCTCCTTAGGAATTACTAAGCAAAAAATTAATACCCAACGATCTTTTAAAAATGGAGGAAAAAAATGCTTAACTGGCATCCAATTAAATCCTTATCAAGAAATATTTTCACTATTCTATCATCACTGTAACCTTTCGGTCCTTATCAATATTTTTTTTATTCCACATTTCCTTTCATGCCACTGTTTACGAAATAGTACTTTATTAATAAAAAAAACCATAACAATAGGGTATAATTTTCCAAATGCCATGCATTCCCTTTCCGTTGGTGATATTTATAAAAAAGATCGATCCAAACAAACCGTTTGATCTTTTTTTTTTCGCACCGGAACAGGTGACTAGGCACCTTTGTGGAAAGTTTACTGAGGTGTCGCTTATTCATGTCTACACATTTTAACAAGATCCAATTACTTAAATATTCAAATAAATTTAACCAATTTATGCTCAAGATCCGTAATAATCGGTAAAAATTATTGATATCTATAAGAGGATTGAAGAATGGGAAGCTGTTTATGCTCTTTGTTAATAGTCCTTCCATTTTCCTCCTCTCTTTTATAAGAGGAGATAGACATGGAGAGTTTGAATATATTTTAAGAGGAAACTAGATTTTATCCAACTAGGAAGTATTTGTAAAGGTGAAGAATTAGCTGTAATTTTTTCTTCAATGATGAGTATTATTAAACTCTTTCTTTATGCTCTTATATTCATTCTATAGTTTCTCTCCTATATAGCTGTATTTACGTAAGGAAAGAAACTAGCATGACAGAAGATAAAACTATAATTTTGAACAAAACTTAGTATTCAAAACAGCGAATACAGTGCATATAGAAAAAAAGAAATAATGAAATTCTAGACGTCTCCCTCACATATTTAAAAAATGTTTATAGAGCTATTTCTCTTATTAAAACGAAGAATCGACATCGAGGCATTTACTATCATTTAATACTTGACATTAATTATATACGAAAGAAAGAGGGATACGCGTGCTTGAACATCATGACTAAAAAAAAATCGAGATAATTAGCGTCGGAGACTGGAAGTTCCTTTAGGAGGTCATTGAATAATTGAATCCCCCATCGCGGTTTTCTAGCAAATTACTCTACGACTGAAGGGTGGGCGTCTACAAGGACAAAGTTCTGCATTAGTTGAATTCAATTGGCACTTTTAGGTTACGTAGGAAATATTTTAACTGCGCTAACGAATGAGTGAAAAAAATTTTCTAAAAAACTTAAAAAGATCATTTAAAAAAAACGGTAACACTAAGAGGTATACTTCAAGAGAACTTGCTCGAGCATTAAACATAGAGGGGGACCTTTTTGTTGTTTTATAAAAAAAAAGAAAAGTGATGATAATGTCCTATTCAATCTTCAACCAAATAGATTTTATCCTATTGAAATATCATAAAAATCTCTCCCTTACCCTCTTCCTACCCCCTACCGTTTTATTTAAAGGGAAGGAATTACCATTATGCTTCTCTTTTAATTTATTAACAGCCCAAAAAGAAAGTTTAACAAATCTGACAAATATTTTCAAGCAAATAATAAAGTATGAAAGGATTTTTTCGCTTGTCTTCTTCCAGAAAAGAGATTAAATGAGTACTTTCTTTTTATACTTTGTTTCAAATTTTATCCTCTTTTTATTTTAATTATTCCTTTTTATTGTTGTTTTCTTTTTTTTTGACAATAAAGCACTTTTGCATTTCTTTCAATTTAAAAAAAATGCATATTCCTGATAAGTTTTAATAGTTTTTTTGTTTTTTTTTTATTTATGTCGAGTTTACATGCAGAGGAAAAAGAACAAGGTAAAAAAAATAAACAGCAAAACCGGGCTATACTATATACTTTCTATTTGTATAGCCAATTGTACAGCTTATTCTAGTGAATAAGAGTAAAAAAAATGCATCTCAAAAATTATTACTCTGATCTAAATCCAATGTTGAGTAGCGCCATCTGGTAAGAAAGCATCTCCATAGTCCCATTGCATGCTTAACGAACTTTGAACAACGGATGAGGCTGACTGTAAAATGAAAATTGGCAATTAAACATATTAATTAAATACTATTCTTTATTAAAAGTAAATCTAGCGGAAGATCTTAGTATCTTACCGAAGGACCAATACCCGGGCCTCCAGGCGAGTTAACCTGACGGGGAACTACGTTCGCTGTTCGCATCGGGGTTCCCAACATGTTGACCGGGGCCGAAGAAATTCCACTATTAGCGGGAATAGGATAATTTGGAACATAGCTTTGAGGAGTTTGCTCAAGTATATTAGATGTAACAGATTGTTCAAAAGACGGTAGAGGAGTTTCACCGAGTATGTCGGGTAGGGCAGGTGTTTCGTCCTGCTATTATTAAATACAATGTTAAAAACGTAGACAGATTTAAATTTGAGATACATACAAATGATGAAAGATATCGTATCGTACAATCCATTACTTCACTAGAAGGACTCTTTTCAACTGCTTCTCTATCAATCATCTCCGTGTAATTAACTGAAGCTAACAGATTCTTTGTATAATTAACCAATGACTCTTCGTAGGGTGGAGGACCCTCATTATTTCTTCTCCGGAAACAATATTGCATAAAAGGAATAGAGTTAACCGGTAAGGATCTTCTTTTAAAGTCATAACTAGGCAATAACCAATCACAACCATCCGACGTCGAATATCTTGTCATCCTTGGTTCTGAGGCGCAAACTTCATTCAAAAAACCGGGAGATGCATGATTCGAGTGCGGAGGAGCGATTTGCGGAGTTGACGATAAATTTGGAAATGGTAGAGGGGTTTGATGTTCCTTAGGTACTCTTTGAACATTTCGAGGCGGCGAGCCTCTAAGACTTTCCGATTCATAATAAGTTGGCGGTGTTGCTTCTCTATCCATTTCTTCTTCAGTTGGTGGACTAAGCCAAGCTAGTCTATAAGGAGCACAATCTGCTTGAACATTCCAATTTCTATACGACGTAGCTTCTTCTGGTTCAATGTAGGATACAGTCGGATTCGGTATGACATCATTACCCTTTGAAAAACAATTGTTGTTCACGAAAGAATCTATCATAAGGCGTTATAGGCCTTAGTGAGATAGAGATTTGATGTAAGCTTAATTTATTTTTGTCTATAAAACTACTCTTTGTTGTAAAAAATATGTAAAAAAAATGGCGATATATACATTAATGACAAGTCAGGTCAATTAACATGCCGATAATACAAAAATATCTATAGTGGTAAATATAGGCCAAGAAAAGTCTGTACATACCTCGAAGGCTTCTATACCGCTTTCTGGTGCGATGTTTTCAAAACGTTTAGGTGCACTCCATGATATTCTTCTTGTATTAAAAGCATCCGAATAATCAAGCATTTGTTGCCTATTTTTTCTGGACCGAATTATATAACAGGACAGTGCCGCGCAGAGAACTGTTAGAATGAGGATAACGACGACCAATGGCAGAACAAGTTGTAAATATTCCATCCTCTTCCAGATTAGATGTTCGGTCGGTGAGTTGAGGAAATGGCAAAGGCTTGATAAAATGTTCTCTCCGGAAATATTTGTACTAACTAGTAGCTGGCCGCCGTCGATTTCGAAGGTTCCTTTCAACGGCATTCGAAAAACATAAGGAAAAGAAGAAAAGAAAAAAATATTGGGTCTACATACGAACTAGCCGACAGTAGAAGTTAAAGTGACGTCCAACGGCGTTGTTTTCAGCTCGCAAACGCGGACCGAAAGCGTTTCGACAGTTTACCGTTGAGTAGCCGTTAAAATCTGAATACCGTGGCCGAGGACTGTCTTACAATACTCAATCATTTAGTCTCTACTCTTTACGTTCTATGCAATAAAAAAAATTAAAAGTCGTTGCTAATTCGTCAGTTAAGTATAAAAAGCTAAGTAGACGAATCGTTCTCGGACACATCAACACTGCTTGAAACCTTAATTAGGGGGATAAAAACTCTTGTCAAACACCCTCTTACTCTTTTTAGCATGATAAAAAGTAGCATAAAAATATCTGATTTCTGAACAAGAGAACCCTCTTTTTATGTTCAAGAGTTTGCTTGAAAAGTCCAGGCATGAGCTCTATCTTGAGTGAATGTTAGTAAAAAAAATGATGTTTTCGAGACACAAAATACACTGTATTGAGATGAAAAATAAAAATAATAATTGAATTCAATAAACGAGAAAAGCTTCTATCTTCTTTTTATAGAAGATAGATCATTTTTAATAGTCTTTGCTTATTTAGATTCATCGACGTCGAGTTCCACCGAAACCTTAAATGATTAAGAAACAAAACTAACCCTTTATGACTTATGACGTAAATTTAAACTCACCAGAAGCTGTTCTCGTTCCCGAACTACTTGGAGCTGATGGAGTTGCTGGAGAAAAAGTTTACTTTAAAAGTACAGTTTAACAAGTTTAATTGAATAACATACGTCTTGAACTCCAGCCGCTGCTTCCGCCAGTGGAACCCCAACCACTGCTTCCACCAGTAAAACCCCAGCCACCCCATCCCCTATTTCTTGTTCCATAATAAGGTTGATTATAATATCTAGTATTTGTTCCACTACCAAACAAATAGCCTAATAACCCTCCAGTGGCCGCTCCTGTCCAAAATCCTCCACCTCCAGTTCCAGTTCCAGCTCCGGTTCCTGAAGAATATCCAGAGTTAGTGTGGCATCCTTGCGAGTTATCTGTAACATCAGTTTAATAATATAAAATTTTCTGTTTTAGACTCTCAAAAGTTTATGAACCTGGGTAGCCTCCGGTATACTCTGGACGGAAACCGTATGGAGGAGGAGCATCTTCCGCTTGATGATTAGTTGATAAACACGTTTTGTATATAACATAAATAACAAAAGCAATTATTCCTAAAGTGACAATATGCCCCAGCATAGATCCTTCACTGCAAAATTATTGAATTAACTTAATATTATTAAACTATAAAACTTGGTTTCTCCTTACCTGTGATGATGTTGACTATAACCAGACTGTTTATGATAATGAGGTTTATTATATCCATAGTTGTGTTGATGGTTTTTCTTTTCATGGCCCTCTTTTGTATAGTCCAAAGTATACTCTAACTGTTTGAAAGAAAAAATAGCTTAAATTCTATTTGTCATGATAATAGTTTGTTTACTTTTGTAGATATTGGAAAGCTTGTGTAAAACAGAACCTACTAATAGATAACACACGAAATAGAATAATAACTTACTCCACATGAGCCTTTTAAAACGTAAGGATCATCTGGATAGTCGTAGCCCTCGCAGGATACTTCAATCTTTCCAAAACGATATTCATTATCCATATCAGTTTTACATTCCCATTGAACGTCATAGCCATCGCTTCCCCTATTATAGCATTGAACAGTCTGAGGTATAAATGAGCTGCAACCTGAAGTTCCACCGACACATTTGAGATGAGGTACTGGCGAAGATCTTCTGGCATTTGTCATTCTTCCAGAATGTAAGGTTATCACTTTCAAGTCGGTAAGTAGAATTTTATCCTTACTTTTCCAAGCTAATGATAATACAATTATATAGTGAAAATAATATTTCTCTCATTAAACTTTCTCTCTACCTGTTGTTAAATGTATCAAGATGAATACGATCGGTAACACAAGCGACTTCATTTTTTATTAAGAAGCTTTTCAAGTTTAATTTAAAAAGAAAAATTCGAATGATGAGAGATTTTCTGGCTGTTTCTGTAGTTTAGATTTAATGACACGTCAGGGTTCTCTCTATTTATAAAGCTCCTGAGAGTCGATAAAAGAAACGAATTTCTCAACCAAATGACTCACTCAAATGTTTACTACGCATAAGAAAATAACGCAGAGAAAAAGTATTTTTTTCTAGGAAAAGGTAACTTTAAGAAAATTTTCTGTGATACCTAAAATAATAAAAATATATTTTAAAGTATATTATATGAGTTTTAGATCAGTTAGAGTTAATAAAAAAAGGCGTAATTTTACAGAAACGGAAGAATGACGAGGATTAAAATGGTTTGTGGGATTGGAGATCTTTGCAAAATTTAACTGATTTACTCCTCCAAGGTCAAGGACAAGGTGAAAAGAACAGGGCTAAAAATTAAAAAAATATGAAATTCTTTAATCCTAAGGCAATTTATGACTCTCCTGATGGGGATAATTGCTTGGGAAAAACCTATGAATTTACCAAGCTATTTACTGTAGGAGGTAAAGTAATCATACAAATAATAAAGACTATTTTGTATTATCCTCGATTTGCGGTTTTTAGGTCTGTGGTTGTCTTCGATGGAGATGCTAGCTTTGAAAAGGCCCACTAATGCTGCAGGTATTGCTACTAGGGCAGCAACTTTTGCTCTTCCTGCAGGTAAGCAGACAACAATTTTATTGGCTGATACAGATAGTTTAAATCTAATATTCTAGCTGGAATTGGAGCTACATATGCTAGTGTCTCTTGTTTACTTGGATCTTTACGGAATAAGGACGATGAAATAAATCATTTAATAGCTGGTGCTCTAGCTGGATCTATTGTTGGAATAAAGAGTTTGTAGTTTTATTTGTTTGTTTTTCTTTCTCGTTAAAGTTTTTCATATGGTTATCTATACTAAACAGGCGGAAAACCTATGGTAATGTTGAGCGGTGCAGTCATTGGAGGTCTTGCAGGATATTTCCCTAAATACTTTATTGTAAGAGGATTCGATTTACTTAAATGGAACAAACCAATTACGAAAGAAATGGCTTTCAATTGGGATCATGATAAGAAATCCTACTTCTGTGAGAGGACGAAGGTTAAAGAACCCACAAACTATTAAAATTGACTGCAATCTATTGAATGTTAAACCATACATTTTATTCAACATAAAGATATAGGGACTCTCTACCTGACTAGTTAATGGAATTCTTGAAATGTATATCTTTTAACGCACACATACGTATATATATATATATATATAAAGATTAAATCTATTAAGTCACATCTTCTTTACAGCTTTCTAAAACATATGTAATTGTTCAAAGTTTTTCTCCCATTTTTGCTTTTGATACCTAAAAATTTAGGTGGATTATAAATATTTTAATAATGAACAATTTAAGATGGTTCTTACTTGTAAAATGGAAACTATAACGCCGAAAAGTCCAATGGCCGATCCAAAAATTTCCACAATAAGAATTTTGACAAAGAGTGCTCCGTTCTGAGCATCAGCCAGTGCAGCTCCAGAGCCAACTATTCCCACACATATCCCGCAGAATAAATTTGACAATCCAACAGTTAATCCAGCTCCGAACATAGCATAGCCAGCAAAATAATTTTTTACCTTTAGCTGAGGATTATTATTAAATAATTCTGGATTTACATTTTCTACGTTGTTACTTATAACAATTGCCATGATAATTCCGTAAATAGCAACTGCTTCGCAAAAGATAATGCTAACTAAATTTTTCGTTTTAATTCTTGGTGCTTTCACACCACCTCCCAATATACTTGTTCCGGTTGCATAAATGCCACTGAAATTTGTAAAGTAACATAAATAAACGTCTTGAATATTTCATTTATAATTCTAACATGTGGATTAAGGTTATGCAAAATGAACTAGAGGCTTTAATATAAAAAAAGCATAGTCTTAAGATACGTTTTAAGGATAATTTGAAATTAAAGTATGCCTCATTAAGAAGCTCTCTATTTTTTTAATTTACCTTGCTGCCCCTACTACTGAGAGTGATATCGCTAAACCAATTCCTATGCAGGCCCATAAATACGGTGATGTAGATTCAAGGAACCTATAAATTATATGATTTATAACTAGAAACATTTAACCTTAATTTTAATAATTACCATTGTACATCAAATCGATGCCCTTGTCCGGTTAGACAGTAATATAACCCTTAAAATGAAAGTAAATGCAAAATCTGTGAAGATAATAAAGAATTCAAAAGCATCTTACCTATAATGACGAGAACACCCAATATCGTCCCATACGATGTATGATATCCAACACCATACGCTGCCATGAAGATGAATTTATTATTAATTAACTATTTTATTTGGATAAAACAATATTGAAGTTTATTTATGACGAATATCATGTGACTATCAACTTCTCGCGAGATTTAGTCATATCCGGTGTATATATTATAGAGCAGATTCTGTTTCGCGCTTTTTTTCAAAAATTTATTTTTTCTTTACAAGTTTTTTATGCCATACTGAAACTCAATTAATGAACATGTAAATAGAATTAAAAAATTTAGGATCAGTTAATCATAGATCGTTGGTGTCCATCCTCCTTTTGAGAATTCTATTACTTTTATACTTTCAAGCCTTGTCATACCTAGCTCCTCCATTAAAGTTTCCACAGAAGAAATAGAAGTCAATATCTTTCCATCTATCGAAAGTTCTCGAAATCTTTTTATATATTTTTCCAATTTTAAAAGAGATAAACAAGTAGACACTTCATTAACAGTTAAACTTGAACGATCACTAGGAATGTCCCCCCAACCATTAATGTAACTGTGATGGCAGACATTGTAGTCAAGTGATTGACGTATAGATATTCTTTTATGAGGACGAGGAGGAATTGGTGGTGGAACTTCAATTGGTAAATCATTCTTGTCCACAAGATATTGTTCAACTTCCTTTCTTAGAGTAATAATAGGAGGAATTTTAATTGGTGCAAAATGTGAATTGTTGGATGCACCATTAGAAGCTATCATTGGGACTGTAGCATAATCAAAGCCTTCGAAATGAAATCGATTATAATCTTCATATACATTAGGATTCTCTTGCAACAAATGGAAATCGGTGAAACGCAATATAGCTATTGAAAAGATAAATTCAATAAAATATATTAAAAGAGTTGTTTAAATTTTTTTAAAGAATAGAATGTACCGTTATTTAATTTTACTTTTGAATAATCAATATTTATTGCCTGTTTTTGAAGAGAGTATAAAAGTAAATTTAAGTCCTCTTGTCTTTCAGTATTTATCCCAATTCCAATTGATATTTTAATCGGTAAGTAACAAGGAAGCGCAAAACATTCCCTAGATATGCCATTTCGTGCTGAGACTAGAAAAGCCATAAGTCAATGCTTGTATTAGTTAATTTTCATATAAAAACTTACCAACGAAGCTATTAGCTATAATGTATCTTAAATCGTACGTTTGGTAAAAATTTAATCGGCTTATTTTTACTGTTGATGTTTTATTTACACCGACTTGATAGGTTAATTTTGGTTTTTCGTATTCAAACGTTGCTCTTTGTAATTGTTTGGTCTTTAAAGTTTCTAAAAGTGAACCCAATGGGACGAATTTATTGCCGTCTAAAAGAGAAACAAATTAGATAAGTAGTCTTTTATAATCTTATGCTTTTTGACAAAATTTTCTACATGGGGTAGCGGTTTTTCTGTCGCGAATCCTAAATTTATATGGTGGATCGCATAAAATTGGTAGACTTATGGCCAAATTTATGCCAGAATCTTCGTCTCTTCCTATAAGTATAGCTCGTTGTTGAATAACTATGCCTGCCAATCGAAGTTGCTGAAATATCAAATATGTTTGATATTGAAAATATGTAAATATATGCACAAAAATAGTATTTATTACATCTTCCCTGGCATATGAATGCATAAGATCCTGACCCAAATATCCTGTTTCAACTCTAGCTACTGAAGGTAAAGAGTGTTCGTAAGTATCTGCAAATTCTACGCAGTCTATATAGTTTGAGCTATAAACGAAGGAGAACTTCGAAATTGACTTTTCTACATCAGGTAATAAAGGTTCATAATCGTATTCTTTTTCATTGCTCCGGAGTGGCTCATAAATCCCCTCTGACTTTTTATTGTTATGAAGCGGTTCATAGGTCCCTGTTTGTACTCCATCATTCTTAAGCGATTCATAAATCCCACTCATATTATCCATTTGAATATGTTTTCTTAATATTTCATCAAAATATTTCCTCTTTTGAATCGTTCTTTACTATCGTAGGCTATTGCACGTTATGGGATTTCCCAACAAATATCTTACTTTATCACGCTCACTTTTATCATAAAAGATTAGAGCAATATGAAAAGCTTATTTCCTTTATATCGATTTGGGATCTTTTTATTGTTTTTAAGCTTTTTTAAGTATATATGCCTTTATTTCAATTGGATTTAAGTAATGTTATAAAATATTATTACAATACAGTACAGACGATTGAGTTTTATTGTGTTAATGTCTTTTGGAATTATTATCAAATAGGAAGCAGAATGAGATCTATCAGTCGAATTTTGGTGTCCACCCCTCAATAGCAAATTTATACAATTTAGCCGCTTCAAGACGTAACATACCAAACTGTTCAACAAAATCAGATGGATCTGAAGCTTGAACTAATAATTCTCCATCCATGGCCTGTTCTTCGAATTTTTTAGAATATTTACTCAAACCCATCAAGTATAAGCAGTCCAATAGTTGTCTTATAGATAGTTTGCCCCTATCTTCGGGCACTTTACTCCATGAATCTGTAGAACAGAGTTCCTCGTAATAATCAATAGATGGTTCACTGGAATTATTGGAAAGTGGTCTCTCAGGAAGAGGAATATTTTTCCCTCTCGGCCTAGGCGGAATAGGTGGAGGCTTATCTGAGCATTTTGAACTGTTGTTGCTAATATTATCTCTAAAATCTTTGGCACTGGCTCCATCGTCCGGTAAAGAGTCATAATCATCAAGATCATCTCTCTCATTTATCGTTGATACATTTTTCTCGCTTTCTGCTCCTTCCTCACCCGCTATGACATAATTGCAATTATCATCATCATCGTCGTCGTCGTCGTCATCATCGTCGTCGTCGTCGTCGTCGTCGTCGTTATTGTCAGCGTCGTCATTTCCGTCGACCTTTTGATCAACATCACTTGATTCGTCGCTGTCTCCTTTAAAGGTTATGTAGTATTCCTCATCTTCATATTCAACACCTTCGACTTTCAAAGAATTATAATTAACATTCTCTTCATCTGCACTATAGTCCAGGAATATTAAAATATCTGAAATAGCATAAAAGAAACTAAGTATATGTAAAACTAAATGCTTATAAATATTTCACCAACTGTTATTTAACTGAGTATCCGAGGTACCAAAATCTGCAAAGCTCTGCTCCATTTCTTGCCAGATACTTAAAGGATTGTCATTTTCATCATTTCCCAATTTTAATGCAGGTACCCATTTTAAAGGTAAATAACTTGGTAATATCTTTCTATTTTTCGAAAATTCAAGGTTTCCGTTATTTGCTAATAAATTATACTATTACTATTAAGAATATTATGTAAATAAAACGTTTACCTTCAAATTCAGTAATAACTATATACTCAAGTGGATAAGAAGATATAAAATTTAATTCTCCAAAATGATTTTCTTCAATCTATGATGAAATTATGTGAAAGAAGGATTTTCAAAAATCTTTTGAATGAATACCTGAATTTTTGAACAGTCTCTGCGAAATTCTAGTTTTACATCACCAATATCAGACAAATTTCTTACAAATTGTCCTATACTCATTGTATCTTTATCCCCATCAGCAGAATATACATATAATTCATACGGATCTTGACATTCAATGGGAACGCTTATAGTCTTACGGCCAGTAAATACAGCCCTTTCCTGCCTTCTTATACTCTGAACTAGAACCGACTATTGTCATTTCAATTAAAAATTAATAAAATCGAAATATATTTTATTTATATAAATCAAACCTTCTCTTCATTCAGTAGAGCGACAATTGGTAATTTATCCTCATAATGTTCAATAAATTCGTGACATGAGAACGTGTTGTCTAAAGAAAAGCTAAAGCCTCCAATAGTTAAAATATCGCTTGTGTCCACCTGATAAAATCCCCCGTTTTCACTGTCTCCTGAATTTAGACAAACGAAAAGGTATTTTTAGTTACAAAATATAAAAAATAAACAAAATAAAAGAAACCTTTATTTATGTTTTCCACATTATCAACATAGAATTGCGAATTTCCTGAAATTTTTCGACTTTGGCGAGATTCTAATGTCTTTTTAGTTTTACGTCCAAATGTTATACGTTTGATAGTTGCTGCTAAATCATTTAAGGATTTAGTTAATTCTCGTAATCTCTTTCTTGATTTACCCATATCTTTTCTTGAATATTGTTTTTATCATTTGGTGAGAATTTACCTTAAACAGCAGTACTATATAACAATTAGCAAGAAAATAAAATCGATAGAAGGCAGTAATACTATTCAAGGTGATTTTTTAAGACTTAGTCATGAGCCTTAACAAAGGGATGTCTTGTTATTTCTTTCCGGCCTGATAGGTTATGTATCAAGACCTGACTATTCAAAAGCATTTATAATTGTTGAACACCTTTTTCCTATAAATATACTATTAAATAGTATGGATATTTCCCTTTAAACACCCTCTCATTATCCGTCTATCTATCTTAATCACAATAAAACGAAAATTTCAAATCAATACTGTTCCAGCTATTACGTAATTTCATTGTGACTGAACTTTTGGCTTTAATCTTAAACACCAACGAATTTTACGATTTATATTTACATTTAAAGTATTAAAAAATTATCAATATCCAATTTAAAAAGAGGTCAAAGGGTGTTATTGAATCTATTTTGTGTATGTTTTACCAAAAATTGTTTAAGTAGTAAATATAATTGTATTAAATTTCTCGTCTAACGTAAGATTTTAGTCATTTTCTCTCGAAATATTGAATATTCTTAACATTGGTAAAAACTGCTAAATGTGCTAAGCCTTTTATTTGTGTAAAGAAATATTGCACTGTTGACCTTTCAAATAACTTAAATTCCTTCCAACTTTAGTGATTAGGATATGTTTGAGAGTCGGTTCAATTCTTGTGGAATATGTATTAGATATTTGTTTCATTCGGTAGTTTATATAACAAGTTAATAACATTGTATATCAAGAGACGTGGTGGCCGAGTGGTTAAGGCGATGGACTGCTACCATATCAATCAATAGTTATCCATTGTGCTCTGCACGCGTGGGTTCGAATCCCACCCGCGTCGCGATTTTTTTTCAACCACTTTTAACTAATTACTATCGTGTTAAACCTTAATTTTTTCACCGTGTACCTTTTATTTTTTTTCTAATTATCACAATTTTTTAAAATGGACATTTTACAACCTAATTATTAACAATTATCATATTTTTTTAAAATTTCCTATTCATTCAGTGGTGCCATCTATATCGAATATATCTTATTAGAAGTTTATAAGGATTTTCAACATAAATAGTTAAAGCGATATTTTAGTTTTTCAAATGCTTTTATTTAAAAAAAAATCATGGATTTATGGTACAAAATTATTATTTCTTTTTTTTTACTATAACAAACAACAATTTCGCTTTGTCTATAAATAAATAGTTAAAATAATTGAAAACTAAATCAATAAGCCATTTTGTAACTATAGCATTTTTTTTTCATAGTTTACAGTTAATATTTTATATTTATATGGTGAGATTTTTACATTTTTATATAGAATATATATAGATATATAATATATATGTACATTTGTTCTATTAAAATACACATGTATATTTGGTTTTGATGCATAGTATTGCTTACAAACAACATAGTTTAGTTAGAGTATATGTTTTTCATTGAATAAAACAAAAAGGTAAACGTTCAAGAGACTTTCTCCACCGATAATAATAAACAGTTGTATGCAGTCTTTCAAATTTACAATTTCATTTATTAATCTTTATGTTACTAGTAAGAAATACTTAGAGCCAAGATAAAGAGCAAACTAATAACACTTGTAGAAGGAGTGTGGTAATTAGATTTACTATCTTCCTGGTGTATTCTTCTTGGCCTATCTCTACTTATTTTGTCGTATGGTGGATTTTGCTGAGCTTTATCTTCCTTAACTTTTTCACTTCTCCTATTCGTCTCTTGAGGTTGATAGCAGCGATCTATAGCTGTTTTAAATAAGGATAAAAAAAGAAGAAAAGTTTTTACTTAATAAATCAAAGGAGAAGATAGGGAAAATCCCCTGATAAGATAAAGTATATTATCTTTAATCTAAACCAAACTAATACTTATTTAATACAGATTTATTATGTGTTGTGAAATACTGTTTTAGAATTTAAACCTTGTGCAACTCATTCTTTTCCTTAGAATTCTGTTGCAAAGTAAAGTTGAAATAACTTGACATTTTTTTGTCAATTATACTTAAAAAGAGAAAAGTAGGCTATTTCCTGCATAAATTCTTACCTTTCCTGTTAGTTAGAAAAAAAGAGTTTGGTTTGAAGATGGTTGACGCACCGTAACTGCACCAAGACTCTCTTTCGAATTTTAAGCTATTTTTTGAGATTTCCTGGAATGACTGGAAGTAAAAAAGTAATGTAATAACGTTAGAAATTGGGGTTATATACTATTAATCAGTAAGAGAATCGGAAAGGAGAGGGAGGAAAATACTTACATAGCAGTTGGCAATTTCTCCATCTAGACTCTTTGCTAAAACGTAGTGCTTACGACGAGCTTTCCAAGTGTAGACGCACTTTAGATTGGAAGCTTTAAACAAAATGTTAAAGGTTAAAGAATTAGAATTGTACAAATGTTTTTCTTTTTTTGTTTTTTCAACTATAAAATCCCTTACTTATTGACCCAAAGCATTCATTATCGATTTCCATACGATCGGGAGCGCTACAACCTATTCGAAATGTTCCAGAGCAAATACCTTTACCGTTTAAAGTTGCACTATATTTTCCCATGAACGGACAAATTACGTTATGGTCTTCGTCATCAGCTGTAAGGAAATGAAATTCTCAATTAAATGTAAATGTTAACCTATTTATGTGTGGTCTTTGCATTCGTATTAGCAGTTTATATTTACATTCTTGATATGTTTACTATATACAACATGCTTATCATATATATTAAAAAACGACGCTTCTACTCGATTCGTTTCGCTGACTAATACAGTTTAGATGAGTTACGCGCTACAAGGGTAAACTAAGTCAGGGGTATCCAGATGAAAAGAATTATCGAAATTATTTGACTATATGAGCTTTTCTTCATCTAAAACTTTTTAACAACATCAAACTAGTTAATTAACGAAATCTAATTACCGTATATTATAGATTTTTCATAATTTTTCAACTCCCTTGGTCGACATCGTAAACGCGGATCGTTGCTTTTTTCGGAGAAATCGATTTCGATCAATTTTTCTTGCTTCTTCATGAAGCGAATACACTGGAACGTTGAATCGCTACAATAAATAAAAGTAAATTGTTTAAACATAGAGCGTTGTTTCTTTCGTCCTACTTGAGTGGTTATATATAATATATTATACAAAATTGAATGTTTAGATTATCCTATTCAAATGTTCCTTTCTCAGAATTCCCTGCATATAGATGGCGACACGTATGAAGATTATTTGAATCCTTTGTTTTTCTTTACTCATAGTGTATCTATTTTAAACCCTTTGTTTTATAACTTACCATCCTTGTTTTACGTAGAAGAGAGCAATGAATTTCCGATGGCGGTGGGCTGTCTCCTCTGATCGAATACAACTCGCCCGGAAGTCAGTTTGTCCGTTTAAATCCTTTATAGCCAGCTGTTTTAGGCTGCTGAAATCGTATATTTCGTTTCCGGCTATAGTACGGAAGAAGCGGCTGTCGGTTATCCAGTTCGGAAATGCACAAGAGGCCGGTAGTTCTTCTTTCGAAAAATCTGGTCGAGTGGGGAGGAGAGAAGAGCACAAAGATAAAAACGAGATAATCAATTTCTCAGATATATTAGAGTATCTTAACAGTAGCATTTCTTGGTAAGGAAACACCCTAAGGCTGTGAACTAAATCCTCTAATAACAAGTTCAATCACACCTTTTCCTAAATCTCTAAAGTGAAACTTCGGGGATAATAGATTTAGATATATTCATAAAAAGCGAGTGGCACCTATAATCTCCTCTTTTCTTCTTATTGACAAATAAAAGGTTGATTTGAAGTGAAAGAAACATAATTGCTTATATTCAATTTATATTCATGTTACCGAAGATAAGGTTCAAAAAGTTCAATTACTCATTTTTTCCTTATTATTGTTTCTGAGTTTGTCAGTGTACTTTCTCATCAAGGTTAAAGGATTGTTAATCCTTTTGTGCCCCCTTTCTCGTTTTATTATTATTGTTCGTTTGGGGCTATGTCTTTATAGTCGGAAAATTCCCTTTTAATCTCATTTTTACTAATTCCCCTGGAACAAATCAAGAACTAATAAAGTTCCTGTTATTCCCTTCAGTATTTGTCAAGCCTTTTGAAAAACAAAATTAATAAGTTCCGGTGAAAAAATTCTGCTACCAGAGAAGTTTGGTGCAAATTAGGTACAATCAATTTATTTCTCGAAGGGAAGAATGTAAACTTCTTCATAAATATGGATTTTTTTCCCGTCATAGATACGATACGAATAGCGCTAATCGTTACAATGCTTAAGAAGGCTTTAATAGGGCTTCTGAACATATCGTTAGATGGCAATGTGGGTTTATATTAAGCTTTGTTCTCTATAAAACATATCGGTAGTTGATGGCTAAACGATGAAATGAAAGGGTGGAGTAGTTTATGCATCAAATAGGCTAAAGGGTAACGCGTTTAAATGGTGCTTCCTCATCAAAGGAACGCTACTAAATTAACATAATGAGTATAAACCATTCCATTATACCTCTAGTCATTTGTATCTTTAAAGGGCCATTCTCTGGACTCCTTAAACCCCAGCATGTACCGTCAGGTGTCATTGTAACATAATAGTTATTTCCTGCTCTACGATACATCTGCAAAAAAAAAATACAGAAACAAGTGAACTAATTATGCTGAATAAACGTTTTTTTTGTGGGAAATGGTAAAATAACGTCTTATCAACGAACCATACAACGATAAATGTCCCGATAAGGTCCAAACGGCTCCCGATTAACGATCGCTCCGTATAAATAATCGTGACCATTCCTCCACTCGGCTAGGCAGAGTATGTCGAAATCTGGAATTATATCGGCCTATATATGACGTTGGATGAACAAAAGATGAAGACGGATCGCAAAGAATTCGCTTATCTGTAGCTCGCTGACTTTCTAATAGGATTTGCATTTGCGCTCCGTTCACTCTACTATTTATCAAAGTCTTCTCTGTCTTGTATATGTATCTGGAATCATCTAACCTTCTTTTTTCCCTATTACTCTTATTAATAAAAGATAAAGCATTTCAATCATTGTTCGTAAGGCTACATGGAAATAGAGGAGAGGAAAAGGGATAAAGGCGCATCTTTCAATTAATCCCTGCCTTAATACTTCTCATTGTTTATAATGTCGCATAAATTTGGTTAAATTATGCAAACTTTTCATTGTTGCTAATCCAAGATTTTCTATGTTTAGTAGTTTTCTTGATATAAATTACCATTTTTCTTTTTCTTTTTAAATAGATTATATATAACATTTGCTTCGTTATAACCTCTTCCATTATTTCTACTATTTTTCTTAGCTTTTCATTTAGCTCACGTATAACATTTCTTTGTAGCTTAAAAAGAACTTCTAAAGGGATCACGTAATGAAAATAACCACGGCGCATGTATGGATTTCCTTTAAACAGACTTGGTATTAAATAGGCTATAAATGTTCATAGAATGCATATAATTTACATTAATGTATACTTTAAGTCAATTAATTGCATTACTTTCGAATGGAAAAATATCGAATATAATTATTTCATAAATCATTTTTTTCGCCAATATATTTCTAATATTTTCCTTCTAGAATATTTTATAACCAACTTCTTTTCAAAATTGTATAGCAGAAGAAATTGCACTGGTATGATATCGCTCTAGTACAGCATAAGGAAGGAACATAGCTCGACAAGATAATCAATCAAAAGGCCTATTAATAAAACACGTCAACGGTCGTTTCCTACGATGTGAGAAAAACCCGTTTGCCAAATGATGAATTATACAGGGCGGGCGAGAAAAAAATTCCAAACCAAAATTTATGGCGATTAGAGTAAATAGGCGGCGATGTAATAAAAAGAGAAAAAAGGGAGAAATGATAGAAAGAAAAAGAAGTGATTGAAATGAAGGAAAACATTAGAAAAATAAAAAAGCTCGCGATTTTCGTTCATTAGCAACCCCTTTCTAGTCAATACATTGCATTAGAGACGGTCGGCGCCTCCAATAAGCCTGTATCAATATTACGTGGATGGGGAGCGAATGTAGGCCTATAACTCGCTAAATTATAAGTCTAACACTCTAATTATCCTATAAGGCGATGCCTATGGGTAAAACAAACAAATGACGCCCTACTGCCCGATCGATGCATTTTGGCGTCAAATTTTTTGCAGTCTACTGTTTTCAGTCGATAGACACACCATATATACTGCAATTGGCAGCGCATACTTGAACGAGCAAAGTACTGTATGGGAAAAGAAATCCTTTTTCCGATAAAATTTATGTAAATAGGCCTGGGAAACGCATTTTGCCTACTCATCTCCTCCCAATCATCTGAATAAAAAAGGAAAATGGTTTTCTCTTATTTTGAAAGGAATAGAAGAAAAGGGAAGGGAGAGGTGGAAGGTGGAACGGGTTTAAACACAAAGGGACGGTCGATAAAGATTTAGCGTTGTAAATAAATAAATAAACGGCGTGCTGCGAATAAATCCACCACTCGAAAACTACAGTTTGATTAGAATCGTCTTTTGTGAGCTCTCAAAACGGCTGTTTAATCAAGTTAAAAAGGCAAAAGGGAGGTACTTCACCAAGGGAACACCTTTTTACTGCTTTTTTTTTATATAAAAACAGAATTATGCAATTTTAACAAATTATTCTAAACCCTATTTGACATCTCGGTATTAGATTTCAACCTTTCAATCGTCTTTGAACCTACTTTGGCTAAATTTAATTAGATTATTGAAAGGGATTTATTAATAAATATTCCCATACTAAAAGCCACTTATAAATATAAAAACAACCCACATCAAAAGGTGTTAGGGGCTTATAAATCTTTTCACCCAAACTAATTAGGCAATGAAGAAGGAGTATAGGGAAAATTTGAAGGTCGTTTAACCCTTTAAGGAAAAGGTCGAGACGTCTTAAAGAAGAACTCCAAACAGTCGATAGAAGATTTGCTCTACGCAATTCATGTTTATACAAACATTGTTTGCCGGTCCGTTAAGAAATTTCCATACACAAAAATCGCCGACTAAAACGTAATTTACTATTGATAGTAGTTTGGCGTTCGAAAGCGAAATGAAATTCTGTATTTGCAAAGTAAATTCATTTCGAAACCCTCTCCTCTTTCAACTTCTCTATTTCTATTCTAAACTTTTCTTTATTCTTTTTTTTTTTAAAAAAAAAACCTCAACTCGCCCCTCTTATCCCCCCGAAAACAACAAGCTTATTCTTTGTACTTGTTAGAAGCGAAAGCAATACGAACCTTGATCGAATGTGTAAGCAAAATCTCCTGGACAAAACCTAAACGAAAATCTATATTTCGAATCGCTGGCGCAATTATGACCATTGCTCGGAGGAGATTTACACCAGCCGCCGCTTTGGTTGTTGTACTTGAAATGGAAGGCGTCATTAAAGGGACATTTTATTGGTTGAGCGTTTTCTGCGTAGGGTAATGAAAAAAAGTGGAACAGCTAATTATTATTTACGCTCCAGATATAATTAGGACGAATATTGGATCAAAAGTATACTTTAATACCAACTAATAGTCGGTATAATTCCGATAATTTTGCTGCCAAATTTAATCACTTAGAATCGCTTTCTTTATATTCCCCTTCATTCCCTGCATCTATCTATATATGTTTCTCTCTCTCTCTCTCTCTCTCTCTCTTCTATCCTATTTGTATTCTCTATTTTCCAATTTTTAAGTTTCTCAGTATACGTAAGACACTAAAAAGTAGTTAGCGTTTATTTCTGCTCTTGCTATGAAATGATTGTGAAATTTATTAATGATTAGTTTCGCAAAGGGGGATAGCTTAGAGAAATTGAGAATGAAAATGGTAAAAAGGTACTAGCAATAAACTGCAATACTGTTATAATACTCTGCTATATCCGATCTATTAATACTGATGAATTTTAATGGGATTCCAGCAGCAACAAAAATATTTTTAGCGTCTCAAATTGCATACTTTTCAACCAAAAGAATTAATAAAAGGTTTTTTACTAATATTTGAATATAGCTGTTGGTACTTACCTCTTACAAGAGTAT